TGCACCCGGAAATCCACACACCAGTCAAAGAGCAACCTTGTCTAGGAAGCCTGCATCGGCAACCACAATCCTGGCCGGCAACAACTATACCACGTCAAGACGTCACTACAACACAACAGATTCAAGGCTCATCAAGTCAAGACGCAAGATCAAAAGTCTTTTCCCTACCAAAGGGTCCCCTACACCCAAGGTCGAACCCACTAGGCTCACCCCGCCTATTACACAGCCCAACACAGGCAGTTCTCATCACATCCAGTACTTCCTAAATGACAAAGGTATCCGGGCTTTCCACACCCACAAGATCCACAATAGCCCACACGACAAGCAAGCCTCCAAGATCGAACCTGATGCATCCCCTGTGAATGCAGAAGGTGTACACTGGGTACACCAGCAAGAGAACTCAACACCAGACAGCACAAACACAGAGCACATGGCAGATGAGGAGAATTACAGGAAATCAGTGAACACCCAGCACTCACCAAAAGGGACACCATCATCATGAGTATCAAGCAGCTACATCCATGCTCTGTCTGTCCAGCAATGAAGGTCAGCAAACAGACGATAGTTCCGCAAAACTTCAGCATCACCATCAGAGACATCTGTTACCCTCTACATGTACGTAGTAGCTCAAACATGCACAGACCTCCGATTCCCTTCCTCCTCCAATTTCTTAGACCTCCTCCTCCAATGTCTTCTAAGGACGTGACATTTTATTTCCTAAATGTTTAGCAAATATTAAGAACCACTTCAATCAATGTTTAGCCATTTCACAAAGACTGACGACTGCCCAATGTGCAGACCAACGTGATCGACACAATAAATAAAAATGAGTAACATAATAAAAAGAAGGCAGTCATTGAAATCATTAAAACGATAAATTTGTAGCCTGAATGTAATCAAGTGCTGTTTTGGAAAATTTGCAGATAGATTTAGAATTTTTTATCATTTTCAATGTTCAAAAGTGTAAATTTGGTCACATCCATAATTTCCTCACTCCACCAATACATAGTTCCCCTATTGCCTGTGGATTTCAGTTTAATGTTGACACTCAGCCTGCAAAGGATGAAATTACTTTTTCGATATCAGATTTTATATATTTATTGAGTTTATATATTTATTGAAATTGATGTGCAAAGTTTAACTTGCTAAATTACATTTATGATAGTATCTTTTGTCAGAGGATTTTTGTTTGCTTATTTTCACCCTCTGCTTCTTGTTTCAACTTACTTTCAATAATTCAATGTACCCATTGACACCCTATAGTGAACAGAACTTCAATAATTGTTTATTTCAAACCATCTTTGGGGTAACCCATCCAGCAGAAGCTGACCATTTGGGGCCCTCACAAAATGTAAACAAAGACAAGACAAAAAAAACAACGGTAGGTTATTAAAAACAAGTAATCTTAAGGACAATTACTTAAGAAATACATGTAGATTAAAAAAAATCATTAAATCTAACAAACCCCATCCAAGTTGATTATAATAAAAGCACGATAAAAAAAACAAGACCAAAAAAGGAGTAAAAATTTAAAAGTAATAAAATTAACATGTAACAGTACAACTGGCCATTGCATCAAGTTTACACTAAAATCATTTGTGCGTTTACCTTTATCCAGAATCCTGGAAATGTTTATCCTGAATTTGTTCCTGCATGTACACTCCATTCAAGTTCTTATTAAATATATGGCCACAACTGAAAAATACTTCAGACGGCCTAGGAAATATTCATTATTTTAAAAGATAACAGGTTCGGAGTTGGCCTGCAACTCTTCTTATTTGTCAATGTAAAAACATGAAGCGAATCAAATAATCCAGGATTATAGCTTTGTAAAGGTTTTTTATTTTAGGATAATGGGGCAGCCATAAAATAAATCGAAGTCTTAAACAAAATCAGGTTTTCCTCAATTGAGAGACTGAGATTTTTTTCTCTTCCATAGAATTAACATGGATTGTTTTTCATGATAGTGGAGAAGAGTTCAAACCAAGGATTTTTTTCAAGTAAACTGTATTCCCCAACAGTAATCAAAATCAATATTTTTTTAGTTTTAGCCCTTTTAAAAAACAAACAAAAAAACAGCATTATTTCCTTTAGAAACTTATTTCACCCTTCCTATAGAGACTAACATTACAGAGAGAAATATGATGCAAGTATTGAATGAGGTCACTGAAAGCCATCAGCCTTATTTTTAGTATAATAATTGTTCAATTATTAGATTAATTAATCTTAAACAGGCCAATTAAATATGTTAGAGATTCAACATGAATGAAATGCACTTATTGTGATGTACGTGATACCCCCGTCACACTGGAGGCGCGGTGCCACTACGGTTTTTGGTCAAAACCGCCATCACCGTAGTGACACCGGCAGTAGTTTTTCATAGTTTTCCCCTACCCGTCATACCCCCATCACACCGGAGGTGCGGTGCCACTGGGGTGCTTGTACTGCATAAACCGCAGTCGCCAATTAAATATGTTAGAGATTCAACATAAAATGCACTTATTGTGATGTACGTGAGTAACCACTTGCATGTCACTTCCTCAACATGCTCAACGTCCGAAATATTTAAACACCTAGCCTTAAGTTTGGAAATCTCAGATCTACGGTAAATGGCGATTGCGTATTTATGGGCCCAGTTCCAAAGGGAACAAAACCCACTTAAAATTTTTGACCTATCAAACTAGTTGGCGACATTGAAAATATAGATGTAGAGGGCAGGGTTTTGAATTTTCTATGGCGATCACCGCGTGATATACCGTGAATGCGCCAGTCGCGCTTCACAGCACCAACCGGACTGTAAACTTGGTAGGAAAATCGTAATTTCTACCCCAAGAAACTGTTTAAAAATGTAAAAATGGTGTCATTGCATTGAGAGAAGTCTGCTTTAGGCTGACATAAACAATGTCAGTTTTTAGTAATTAAAAAAAAATCTTGATTCTAGTTTGATAGAAAAAACAAACAAACATGGGCCCTACACTACACGATCGCCCAGTTTACGCGACAGGATTGGTAATGCTTTGCATGCGATTGCGAACACCGGGCTTTGTGAATCAATGCACATCGCCATGATCGCAACCGTATGCGCTTCTTTCCCAGCTAAATACTCACGACCGGACCATGGCATGGACGTCTTGCAGTTTTTCAGGTTTTTATAACATTGGGTTGACGGCGGACAAAACCACCTCACAGGTCAGCAGAAATACAACCATAACAACAGCTCCAGTTCCATGACATTAATCATTATTAACATGGCGACAGTGCGGCGAGACAACCTTTAAAAAATGGCGGGCTTCAGCATGACAGCCATTCCATTGTAGTCGTAATCTGTTCGTAGCACACGTGCAATGCAGAACAGATCCCATTCATTTCGCATGCCTCTCACAAAACAGCAACACCTGTGCGCACGACAGGTGTAGTGTGAATATCCGACTCCATGAAATGTGGACTCATTGGTAGTACTGCGCACGCGCGAGTCCGATACTATGCTATTTTTAGGATCGTTTTCGGAGAGTGACCTGTCACGTGCGAGGGATCAACCAATAATAGGGAAATAGGGGTCCGATTTTCATAGGAGTCGGATTTTCATGTGACAACGGCAGTGGACAGTGTGATGCGCATACCTTCGGATTTTGAGCAAACGTGGGTTTCGTTTGAAACTGGGCTTTCACTTCCAGAGTATTTGTCACTTTCGCGATATACTGGTATTGGTTTTTGTTCTGCTTTGAAAGCATTGAATAATTGTTGACAGTCCAAATGTTACAGTTGCTAATCCATTTTTCTTCTTGGTTCAAATCAAACAAACTTTCTCGTAATCCAGGTAAAACCAAATTCATGCTCTTCAGTAAATCCAATACTCACCTTATTCTTCCTCTTCCTGTTTGCATTGACGGCGAACCTCTTTCGCAGGTACATTCAACTAAATTTCTTGGAGTTCTAATCAATGATAAATTGACGTGGAATGACCATATCTCTTCTATTACTAAAATCACTTCTAGGTACACTGGTGTTCTCTCCAAACTTCGATCGTTTCTTCCCGCCTCTTACTCTCCATCTACAATGCTCTCATTCTTATCTCAACTACTCCAACATTGTCTGGGCGCGCTCTAGTAAGTCAACTGTATTCTCTTATTACCATCCAAAAAAAAACAAGCCATTACAATCTGCACCCTCTCTTCTCCCAGTTTGCTCCTCAGTTTAATGTTATTTTTTTAATGGACTCATTGTGCATTTTGTGTCAGCAATATTGAAATAAATGTTTGTATGAATGAATGAATGAATGAATGAATGAATGAATGAATGAATGAATAAGACATCTGGTGCACTAGAAAGCAGGAGGTCGTGGGTTCGAGTCCCACCCGAATGATTTCTCCAACTTTCACTCGGGAGGTAACACAGTAAACAGTGTCTAAACGTCGGTGAAGGGCAAACCTTAATTTGATTTATCTAGAGCTATCGTCTAGGGCTCTGGCAATAAGTACATGTACACGGACAAATGCTGACAATAGACGTAGCCGTAGCTCTGGATGCCTGTTTTAGACACTGCGCCTTATTTTACATCTAGGGAGGTGCAAAAAGAAGAAAACCCACTTTTGACAGGAATTTTAACCTACTGTATTAATACCTAACTTATTTGAACTGGTGTTTTTTTTTATAACGTAGTGAAGTACAACTCTTCAACCATACGAAACTTCAAAAGGTTAGATTTTGAACATTCTTCTTTTGGATTTGAGTGGTGCTATTATTGGAAAAGAACAAAATGCATGAAAAGCAAATGAGGTTTAAGGATTGAGCTGATGGTTTCATAGCACCTTTACAGAAAAATATTGATATTTTTTTTTGGTAATTTGGTTGCTACACAGTTCTGCAGTTGTGTCTGCTGTGTGAAGTGAAGGACTGAGGGGAGAGAGTTGTTAGCGATAGAAAGGCTGGTGGTGATAACGGAAAAGCCTTGAGAACTGAAGACATGCAGTTGATGTAATAAAACAGACTTTTGAAGTTGATATAAGTATGCACTAGAATGGTTTAATTTGTTTTGTTTGCCTGTCTGGGACAGCAAGAGGGTTAATTATACATTTTCATATAATTATACAGTTTTTAAAATGTCATTTAATGACAAGATACAAAAAGTTATTGATAAATTTCATGCAGTTTTTTTAGGAAACAGTTTACAGTAGTGATTGACTGATTTTTTATCCTCATCTGCTTTAAGTAAGTACTGTAACTCCAAACTCATTCTTTCTTGCAGCATTGTCAGCTATTTCATACACCACCTCATTTCAGTAATTGTAAATATGCTCTACATTGTCTTGCTTATGTAAATAAAGCTTAATTGATATTTTAAACCGAGGCAGTAGTTTGTTGGTTTTTTTCTCCATACAATTGCAACACAAATGATATTTGACTGATATAAGCTCTATAGAATAACTTTACCTGGTACATTTTTAAAAAATTAAAGGAGACAATATTAATTACCCTCCCTCTCTTAGTGACAATCTGTAGTGAGTAACCCAACAAGTCAAAATCTATCAGGTTACAGTTTTGAACAGGTCTGTAAACTGGCTTCATGTTGGTACAATTGACAGGTTAAATTACTGCAACACAAGCTGTACCAGTATTAATAGTCACCCTATCTATCAAACCACTTAAACAGGTTTTGGCAGTTATACGGTGCAATCCTGAGGGATTTGTGGCAGTTGTTGACCAGCCTGTACAAAAGCTACCCAGATGAGGTAGGCGTTAGATTATTTGGCAGTTTGTGAAAGTTATAAGTACAGGAGGGTTTTAAAAGCACAAACAGAATCGGAATTTATGCTTCATTTCCCTGGACAAGAAAATCAGCAGAACAGTGACAAAATAAGAATGGAGGGCAACGGAACAGGACAATACGATTTCAACAGCAAAAACTAAACAAAAACAGAAAATTAACATCAAAACAGGACAATCAGTAGAATAAACGTACCGGTACATGTTTTGATAAGTATCAAAATTAGGTTTTCTATCAACTTCTGCTATTTGTAAATGATGATAGCCAAGAAAATATTAAAGGGGGAAGGTTTCCCTTGTCTGAGTATCCGATAAAAGTATACAAAACCGATTACCCATCAGAAACATCAAAACCAGTTTGGCCCTTGACCTCAACTTGACCAATCTCAATGTGGTAAAAAAACACATATAAATCCAACAATATGTGAGCAATGGTCGTTACAGTAATAAAGATTTGCATTTCTAAGACACTTTTCATGTATCACCTTTAACTCTATCAAATACACCAATAACTCAAGAAAAACAAAAACAATACCACCACCAACGCATAATACATGTACAGGTACATGTACGTGAGATCTTTTTAACACAAAAACATAAAGTTCTGACAAAATGTGGATCTGAAACTAATTTGTAGGATACTGCAACTGCTATCAACAAAAGTATCCAGCCCTAAGTTGGCACTCCTCGATTTTCTTTTCAAGGCAATCTGTGTAACTTACAAGTAAAGAAATGTAATGAGTACATATAATATCAAGTATTTCAGTATTACAAGTATTTCAAACTATAATGTAAACGTGGATTACTTGATTCATTAATTCAATTCTTAAGTCAGTTAAGAAAAAAAGTGTTTCAGATCAATGGGAGTGGAACGCTATAAATGTACATTACCAAACTGTTGAAACATCTACTTTTTTGTGTGGCCTGCTGAACAGGGGTAATATTGAGTTATATAGAGAAAATGTTGTGTGTGACTGCATGCGCCTATGAGATGTATGCTTCACTGGTTGCAAATATGCCACGCAGTGTCATCAACAGTTCCTATGCAGCACTCCCACAATACAGTGGTGTAGCTAGGAGGGGGAATGCGGGGATGGGGGTATCATGTCAACCCACCCCCCCCCCCCTCCCCTTTTAACTTATGCCCTACCCAGATTTTGGGGAAGATGATCCAGCCGTTAACTGCAGTAACGACCGAGGTGATTGGCTGAGTACGTAGCAGCACCTTCAGCTCCCCTATATTTACATAAAGGTCCTTGGATAGGTTGCTAAACTGTGTCCATTATTTGAACAACTAGTAGAGAATTACAGCTTCAAAAAACTTGCACTTTACGCCAATCATTTGCTAAACTCCAAACCAAATTTCTGCAATTTGAGCCTATCTGAGCTGGAGCAAATTATTTGCAATGCTTCCCGGCCTTAGACACTGCAGTAACATTTCAGTGACCTTAACCCGATTTCTTGGCTCTGCTTACCGCTGGGGAAAAACTCCGCTTACTGTAGCAGAAAATTCAAAGCTTACAGTCAGCATATTTCACGGGTAAGCGAGGAATTTTGGCTTCTGCGCATGCGTACATCCCGTAGATAAGGATTTTGTGCTTACAGGGTGAGCGCAGAATTTATCGGCTAGCGCTGTTAGTGCGAAATGGTGATCGTAAGCGGGGAATTCTGTGGTTGGCAGAGCCTTGAAATTGGGCCTAGATTGGGCCTAGATTCATTCATTGACCAATCAACGGGGCAGTTATACGTAAGTCTGGTGGCATTGCTCGCTATCTGAGTACATGCAGATGTATGCGTCTCCCAGTAACCTCTCCATAATCTCAGTCAGTTGCTTGGCCTCGATGCGGGCCTTGATGTGATCCACGTCCACCCATTTCCGGAAATCCTTGAGGAGTGTGATCTGAGGGATGTAATAACCCTGCTGGTCACCTTAAAAAGAAAAAAATACATAAACAAAAAAAATCAATAAATAAAATATTTTTTCTACACATGTTACGACTAACCCTATTTTTTTACCATCAGTTGCAGCTATCCAAAAAGTAAATGACCAATTTATTGTTAAAAAGCTTACTTGGTTTAAAGATAGTAATGGCACTAAACTCCCTGTGAAATTATTCCTTCTGGCATGCTGTCATTTTGAAGAAAACCATTAAAAAAGGTCATTTCCAATGATTGGAAATTCCATTAGTAGTTGGTTTTGTAATTGGGTGAACCTGCATGTGAATGGGTGCGTGCAAGCGATGACAGGACACGTGTGCATGTGGTTCCTATTATTTGTCGATTCAGTGCGTAATATCATTCACGTACATTCTCAATCGGTTGAATGAGAACGTGTTCCCGATGCTGATTTTGGGCGCAATTCAAAATATGGCTCGATCGGCGACTATTGAATTAAAATCTAGATCTTAAAATAATGTTTTCTCAGAATATACAACATTCACAGAGTTAAAACTTCATCAGGTTAGTTGTTAAGTACCCTTTAGACTTGGAGCCCTTTTGTTGCTTTAAACAAAACATATGCACAAATGACAAATGATCTTCTCTACCTTTAAAGCTAAAATTGTGATTGGTTATAAGGACATTTAGAAATAATTTTCATGATGTCTGTGAACATTTCTTTATGAAAAAAATAAGTGCTTTAATAACCAAATTCTAAAACATGGTTCCACAGTACCCTGATGTACTGAATCTGAGTACTGAACAAAAAGTGCTGAAACAATTCAAAAGAATACCCAGATGTGACTCCAGCCCATGACCTCTTACTTACAAGTACAGTAATTAAAAAACGTCGGTGAAGGGCAAAACCTAATTTGAAGTACAGTAATTGTTATACGCATCTGCACATTTTTATGCAAATCTGCACATTATAAATGTTTTCATTATTATACTCGCAAAAAGTACCATTCGAGAAACGCCTTAGCATCAGAAGTTATACCTTTGGGAGACGGGGGCAATATGGAGACAATTCAATGTCGCCCTAATACCTGAGCTCCTAATTAGAGGAAAAATGTTACTGTCACAAATACGCTAGATCGATTGCTCATGGTCCAATACATAAATGTACCAAAGTGTTTGGGGGTAGGATAAGGTAACATTGGGGTTAGAGGTCATTAAAGTTGGAAAACTTTACAGCAAAACTCTATGGGAATGTCCCCCTAAGGTACATCTTCGGCATTATTATTATCATTATGCCTGAATCTAACCACTGAGCTATCCCGCTGCTGCTTGGCAGATTCCTAGTCCAATTTTTTTTTTTTTGTCACATGCTTACCCTGCCGATCGGCCATACTGTCAAAGAACACCCATTCCGAATCCTTCTCCCTTCCAGCTTTGACAAACGCTACGTAGTGACTGGTCCGGATGCAGATGACTGCAAACAGGTCCATCAGCTTGGTAGGCAGTAGTCTCTGACGGTGCTGGTCCACTACCAATTCCGAGAAACCTTTCTCCATTGTCTTGGAGAAGAATTCCTTCAGGAAATGGTCTGGGACGGTCAGGAAGCTGGGCTTGTGGTGTTCTCGATGGGTGCCTCCATGCATCTGGTTTGTGGGAAAGAAGATATGAATACGAGGATTCACAATACAGAATGGAAATCTGCTTTATCCGCTAAAAAGTATACTTCACAATTCATAAAATTTACAATTTGAAAAAGAAATTGAGACACAGTGGTTTTTTTCCATGTCATAGGTATTTAAATTTTTATCCAGCCGGAAAAGCTCCAATCAGTGTTGGCCTAGGTGTTTCTACCATAGCGACACTCCATTAACGACTGGTGAAAGAGATTAAAATGTATTATTTAAATAAAATCACAAATTGTGGAAAATCATTAAAACATATTTTGTGGGACAAATTGTAAAGCAATCGGATAGTTCATTGGAAAAGTCAAATAGTTGGATTTCCGACTAAAATCGGAAACGTTTCATCTCTGTGTAAAGGCCATTGACTGTGACTTACCATGAGGAAACAGTTTTCACAGAAGTTCTTGATAAGTGTGGTATCTTCCAAAGCTTCCTCCGTTTTGCACTCACTGCACTCAAAGACAGCCAGGTTGCCGCACACTAAACACTGCCTGGGATCTGTCATGCAAAACAGTAAAATGATGACAGTTTTGAAACAACCATGTTGTCCTATCCAATTCTGGCATTCAAGCCAATCAATTTTAAGTCTGATCACATGTAATAAGGGATAAACAAGGACACAGAAATGCTTTTGTCGCGGTTCATTTGAATTGCATGTGACTTGACTTCGGACGAGATGACTAGTGATGGACTTGTGATGGACTTTCAATGACTAACATCAAGTTGTGATCAAACTCCATTATGACTGCTACCTGTGAAGAAAGACCAACAGACTGAAAGACTGGAACGTCTTATTGTTCAGAATCAGAAATATGCTTTACATCACATTCTGCTGCCCAAACTTTTTTTTTCACAAAATTCCAGAGCATAATATAGCCAGAACATGAATTCCTGTGTTCAAGACAGAAAGCTTTGGTGGTTGTGTTGCTAAAAGTCATCTGTACTTCCAAGTGGCAAATCATGGGTTTGAACCCCCCCCCCCCCAAGCCATGAGTGATTTTCTGGAGTAAGCAACTTTACCCTTTATACCAAGAGACATACACAAATTTGCAGAGGTTGAGTCTTTACTTACATTCTTCAATGATATTAGTGACATCGAGCTGAAGCGATGGCAAAATGCGATTGTACATTTTGTAGTCTTTGCCAAATCTTGGCATCTGCACAATCAAGCATGACGGGGCCTGCAAAGAGAAAAACATACAGAAATATGGAATGACTACATAGATTCTTTGCTTAAACTTGACCTCATAATACCAGGTACATATCACCACACTTGTTCTGTTATGTCAGCCATGTGTCCCAGAGTTGTGCTGAACAATATTTTTTATGAATATTAGAATTTATTAGAAACGACTACACGTGAACGATCAACCGTCGCAGTTCTTTGAATTGACTCCAACTTCAGAAAGCATAAAGCCTAAATCCTCCCAGATCTTTCAAAATGCACCAGGGATTCCGAAGGATTATGCAGGATACAGGAAAGAAGAGCTCAGTCACAATTACTTGATGAAGAGGTGGATGTACCTTTTATCCACAAATAATGTGCCATTTGGGTTCCTACAAAGTGTTTTTTTTTTGTTTTGAGGATGCATAAAAGAAAGATTCCCATATCTGACCACCACTTGTCACCCTGAGCACATTCGTATGAGACTGGTCTGAAAATGTCTAAGGGTGCATACCTGCAAATAAACTCCCATAGACACTAGTGCTAAATGACCATACTTCAAAATTCTTTTAAAAATACTCAAAACTCTCACAGGTATTCAAGCTGCACAGAAAAATGATGATCAATGTGTCATCTTTCATTTTCTTTTCAATTTATGGTGGGTTGACCATTGACTTTTCGAGATATTTTCACGCAAAGAAGACGACCCCTATTTTCCCCAAAGTGGAAAAGTAGCCATCTTGAAAAACGATCCCTCCACAACATGGCAAAATAGCACCACTTTCGAGCCCAATAGCATCCAAAATGCTCAGAATTGGAAGCCCCAAGTCCGGGCCAGAGGTTCACTACCATATCTCTTCAATTCCCCAATTTTACGGCGCTCAGAACTCTCTAATATAGAATATTTTGAGGGTATAACTTTTATTCATGAGCTTGGCGGATCGATTTACCGGTGTGCACCCTTTAATAGCAGGCAACTTTTAAATTTTAGCACAAAATCACATTCAGGACAAGCAGAATATCTCCAAAGTCAATATTTTGAAAAAAAAAATGAAAGAAAAATATTATCCGAGGTCGATATTAAGCCCGAAAATAGTGATTGTTTTGCCCCTGCTAAGCTGTAGAGCGCCCCCAGCGACAATAAATTGAGTTCCAGCTACTTTTAAGCTCAAAATGCCCCCCCCCCCTTTTCAACTATCAATTGTTGTAATCGGGTGATAGCCTACTGCTCCCTTATGATTTGGAAGCATCCGTTACGGAAACAAACCTTGTTGATACCTTTAAAACACTTTGTCCCCCTCCCCGTAGGTTCCGCCCACTGAAAAGACCACTGCCGCGGCACAGCGCATGCGCGAAACGGCCATCTTTGTGATTCTTTATAGGGTGCATACCTGCAAATAAACTCCCATAGACACTAGTGCTAAATGACCATACTTCAAAATTCTTTTAAAAATACTCAAAACTCTCACAGGTATTCAAGCTGCACAGAAAAATGATGATCAATGTGTCATCTTTCATTTTCTTTTCAATTTATGGTGGGTTGACCATTGACTTTTCGAGATATTTTCACGCAAAGAAGACGACCCCTATTTTCCCCAAAGTGGAAAAGTAGCCATCTTGAAAAACGATCCCTCCACAACATGGCAAAATAGCGCCACTTTCGAGCCCAATAGCATCCAAAATGCTCAGAATTGGAAGCCCCAAGTCCGGGCCAGAGGTTCACTACCATATCTCTTCAATTCCCCAATTTTACGGCGCTCAGAACTCTCTAATATAGAATATTTTGAGGGTATAACTTTTATTCATGAGCTTGGCGGATCGATTTACCGGTGTGCACCCTTTAATAGCAGGCAACTTTTAAATTTTAGCACAAAATCACATTCAGGACAAGCAGAATATCTCCAAAGTCAATATTTTGAAAAAAAAAAATGAAAGAAAAATATTATCCGAGGTCGATATTAAGCCCGAAAATAGTGATTGTTTTGCCCCTGCTAAGCTGTAGAGCGCCCCCAGCGACAATAAATTGAGTTCCAGCTACTTTTAAGCTCAAAATGCCCCCCCCCCCCTTTTCAACTATCAATTGTTGTAATCGGGTGATAGCCTACTGCTCCCTTATGATTTGGAAGCATCCGTTACGGAAACAAACCTTGTTGATACCTTTAAAACACTTTGTCCCCCTCCCCGTAGGTTCCGCCCACTGAAAAGACCACTGCCGCGGCACAGCGCATGCGCGAAACGGCCATCTTTGTGATTCTTTATAGGGTGCATACCTGCAAATAAACTCCCATAGACACTAGTGCTAAATGACCATACTTCAAAATTCTTTTAAAAATACTCAAAACTCTCACAGGTATTCAAGCTGCACAGAAAAATGATGATCAATGTGTCATCTTTCATTTTCTTTTCAATTTATGGTGGGTTGACCATTGACTTTTCGAGATATTTTCACGCAAAGAAGACGACCCCTATTTTCCCCAAAGTGGAAAAGTAGCCATCTTGAAAAACGATCCCTCCACAACATGGCAAAATAGCGCCACTTTCGAGCCCAATAGCATCCAAAATGCTCAGAATTGGAAGCCCCAAGTCCGGGCCAGAGGTTCACTACCATATCTCTTCAATTCCCCAATTTTACGGCGCTCAGAACTCTCTAATATAGAATATTTTGAGGGTATAACTTTTATTCATGAGCTTGGCGGATCGATTTACCGGTGTGCACCCCTAAGTGTTTTCTCAGTATGTCCCTGCTAAAGTCGACTTTTTAGGACATATTATCACTTTCTGATGGCTGATAGGTCCCTGAAGGGAAAAATTAGTGGTGACCAGATATGGGAATCTTTCCTGCAGAAAGTTTCTTAGAACAAAGTCAGGGATAAGGGATCAATCTGAGCTCAGTGGCGTAGCCACCGGGGGGGCATGGGGGGGGGGGGGGGCCGACCGCCCCCCCATGAAACCTTGTCGCCCCCCCACTGAGATTTTGAGTTTCTCAAAAAAATTATCATTGATCTACATGACGCCATGGGCCCTATTATGTACTACAATGTATCTTTTGCTTAGAAAATATTGGTTAAAGTGGTCAGAAATTGCCTCAGATAGCACCAAAATTTTTCGGGGCCCTTAAGCGGGCCCCGAACCCCACGCCTATAGCTCAGAATTCTGGTAGCTGATTCAATGACTCCAACCTCGAAAACAATGTTCACAAAATTTTCTTGTGCCTTTAGCTGAGAAAACCTCGAAAATTATGTTTAAATTATTATCTTTTGTGCTAAGATAATTATTGGTTAAAGTGGTAAGAAATTGCCTCAGATCACACCACAGAGCATCAAAAATCCATTTTTTTTTTCGGGGCCCTTAAACGGGCCCCGAACCCCACGCCAATAGCTCAGAATACTGATAGCTGATTCAATGCCTCCAACCTCGAAAACGATGTTCAAATAATTATCTTTTGCCATGAAAATATTAGTTAAAGCATGGAGGAAAGTCGTAAGAAATTGCTTCAAATCACACCACAGAGCATCGAAAATCCAATTTTGTTTGGGCCCCTTAAGCGGGCCCCGAACCCCACGCCGTAAGGGCTTCGCGCTTCGCGCTTGCATCAGTTATGATCAAGGTATGTCCCCCCCCCCCCACTTTTGAGAAGCGAGTGACGCCCCTGCTTGATGCCCCCCCATGAAATGTTCCAGCCCCCCCAGCGCCCCCCCACTAAAAAATTCCTGGCTACCCCACTGTCTGAGCTTGAGGTTAAACTTTTGAATTCAACTTTCTGAAGTACTGGGGAGGTGTCCTTAAAACAATTAGGTAGGAAAATTGTTCTGAAAGCAGTAGCACATGCCTATCAATGCAGCCCCTCCTCACATCCAAAGCTGGATCTGCACCTGACATTTGATGACCCACCAGCTGCGACAACTGACCAAGGCAAGAGGCCCCTTATGACTTGATTGACTTACCTCTACTAGTTTGAGGTCATGTTCCTGAAATGACTGCAGTAATAGCTGCTCTACCGTCGGGAGTGTCAAGGACTCATCTTTCTCTAGGAATATCTGATGAATGTTGGACTCATCCACTTCTTCGTTAGCCCCGTGCCTTTGTAATAAAATGGTTTAAGCAATCAATAAGGGGTTATTTTATTAGAAGTTGGTCACAGTCACCTCATCACAGTCATCTCGTCCCAGTCACCTTGTCACATTAACCTCATCAGTCGCCTTGTAACAGTCACCTCATCACAGTAACTTTGTCACAGTCACCTCATCACAGTCACCTCGCCACAGTCACCTTGTCACAGTCAACTCGTCACAGTCACCTCATCACAGTAACCTCGTGATAGTAACTTAGTCAGTCACTTCGTCATAGTCATCTCATCGAAGTTACCTCGTTACAGCCACCTCGTCACAGTCACCTCATCAAAGTCAAATTGTCACAGTCACCTCTTAGAAGTCACCTCGTCACAGTAACAGTTGTTTCATCACAGCCTCCGAGACACAGTCTTCTCTTCATGTCACAGTAACCTTGTCAAAGTCATTGCATCACAGTCACCTAATCACAATCACCTTGTAACAGTCACCTCATCACAATCATCTAGTAACAGTCACCTTGTCACAGTAACCTTGTCACAGTCATCTCATCACAGTCACCTAATCACAATCACCTTGTAACAGTCACCTTGTCACAGTCATCTTGTCCCAGCCACCTTGCCACAGTGCTTGATGCAACTCACTCCAAATAGATGCAACTCACCTGATCTTCAGGAGGGGTCGAGACTTGAAGACCTCTGACAGCAAGGTATGTAGGAACTCTTCCGGATCTTTCTCTTCACTCATGAGACCCTTGGTTGTGCCTAACTGATCCAGGTGCTCCCTCAGCTGAAGAATACGATCAGCTCGAACGAAGCCATTCCTGTTATCAAAATCAAGTATAAGGTTGACAACATTATATACAACCAAGGCAGTAAATAAGTTGTTCATGTGTATGGCAGCGATTATTATGTCAAGCTTATTATTGTTTGATCCAAACCAGATAGACTTTTGCTCTTGACCTTGAAGAAATCAAAATCCGTCAGTCAAATTTCAGCCCAATTTTATAACTCGACCTGATGCATATTCATTGCGACAGGTCAGCCAATCTGCCTAAGCACTTTGACTTCTAAGTTTTTCAGTTTAGCAGATCCATAAATTTCTTGGTACGGACTTAAACCTTCAAACCATTGTCAAGAGGTAGACTAAGACTGAAAACTGAAAATCCTCTCAAAATGGACCTAAATCTTTCCAATTTTGGTCCTGTGTTGGCAAAGTAAAGGCATTCAAGTTTAGGTTAATTGTTATGTAAAACTCTCAAAATCAGTCATAGAATTCACTTAGAGGATTCAATTCACTTTGTTACGTCAGAATTCCTTCTCATCGAAACGTCCCATCCTTCCCGATACAAAACGAGACTCACTTTCTCAAGGGGTTGACAATGCTCTCTCTGAGAGTCTTCTGGACTTTCTCGTACTCCTGAAGATCGCCCTGGCCCTGCATGCGTTGCAGGAGCGGATCGAAGACGCCGTTGTAGGCAAACATACTGAAGAGTGTGCTGTCCAGGTAGCAAGAGTTCTGATCCCCCTGGATGCCCTTCTGCATGCCCACGAACTCCGGTCTGAGATGGAGTGGGGGGTCGACGAAACCCTCCACTAACGGCGACGCAAAACCCCCAAAATCTTTAGAAGGGCAAAATCAGGAATAATAATAATAACATTGCATTTTTATAAAGCGCATGTATCCACAATTATTGTATTACCCATGCTCAACGGGCCAATAAAACATCCCGAGCCCGTCTCAGTTCCCTGAGGGGGAGTACAAGAACTGATTTTAACTGACTATTTTGTTCAGTTATCTTTTCTTCTTCGTTGTTGAAATCAACTTCTGCAAGATGTTTCTTTTCTTCAAATATTTCAAGATCAAATATTTCAGGGATGTGTTTATCAACAAAGGAATAATATAAGCGGAGCAATGGTTAAGATTGTGAGTATAAGAAGCTTAATATGCGAGAAAGAAGGGTTAAGATTATATACAGGAAAGCCAGGTTAATGTGAGCCAAATTTTCCACCATAGAATAATGGGACACACAAATCGGGATGCGTTGGCAATCTCCTTTTTTGTTTACTTTTATAACAGAACAGGTCTGATGATTGGCGTCACACGGTTAAGCCCCTGTCACACCTTTGCGTACCTTAATTCCTTATGAGTTCCTTATCAAAAATTTTCAATACGCAGCCGTACGCTCAATTAACGTTGAAATGTTTTGAGATGCGTATGAGTTGCGTATGCAGTGCACAACATTATTTTTCGGGCTGCAAATAGGTCAGTATGCAGTGCGCATGCCGAGCGTATTCCGGACGCACCCGACTTATGCTGACCGCATGCTTGACGCACTTCTGAGCGTATTTCCGCCGCTCGCCGTTCAGCGTGCGCCTCATCTGCGCTGCAAGTACGCTATGTATACGTCCAATACAGGCGGCTCATATGCTGACAGGGTGCGTCACGAACACATAGCGTACTCGTAACGCACTCGACCGATGCGGGACCGATGCGCTGCGTATTTATAACCTATGACCTGCGTAACAGGGTACGCAGCGTAGTTTTGTGCATGCCCAAAACTATCCTGCGTACTGGGCCGTACCATGCGTATATCTGCGTACATAAAACCTACACAAAACGATAGAGATGCATATGAGGTGAGTATTGTGCGTACGACTGCGTATGAAAAAAATGTCAATGCGCAACTCATAAGGAATTAATTACGCAGAAGTGTGACAGGGCCCTTACACCAAAAACCCTGTAAAAAAACATACGAAAAACAAAATTACAATAAAATAATAAAAATCAACAGAATTGGTATCACTTAAGAATTTCATTTTAACAATTGATCATTTACTGATCTGTCCCTGTTAAAATGTAACATCAATACAAATCATGACTTCAATCAACCAGATACATAAACATGATCTCAGAACAAAGAGTCAATTTTCACTGGCCAAAGCAATATTCTGACACTGCATCAACAACAACATCAGCTGGAACAGTTTAAGTTTTTCAGTGAAAGTCTTGTCCTCAACCACAGGTCAAAAGCATAAATCACAATTAAGCATAAAACAAAGAAATAATTAAGTACACAGAGTACTTAATCAGTTAGAAGACTAAACATACCCCATTCAGCCTCTAGGGGTACTTTTACGACCCTCCCAGGCCAGTGGCACCAAGGCCAACTGGTTGGCTTGCCTGCCTGAGCTTACTCTCCACCTGTTCTCAGGTCTCACCCTATTATAAGGTCAAAAGATTCACAAACAAACCACAATAAAGGTCTAGCTTGTAACCTACGAAATACGCAGAAATAACATATGACTGGCAAAATGAGTCAACTTTACAATTGATTTCGTCATCTGACCAATTCAGTCAAATCTTTCAGGCAAATCCCCCTTATTACGACACTTAAACCATAACAAACAAAAGTACCTATCGAGTACCTATAGACCAATATAGCAAAGAAAAGGGAGAATTTCCTCAGCAATGAAGCTGAAATTCAACAACTGTTACATATACATTGTGCCATTTAATCTTAATCACCGGCTCCACCGTAAGAACTTAAGAGCAACAATTATATTTTATACTCAAAAAGCCTCTTTCTCCTTGCAATACTCTCATCAGATCAAAATTAAATTTATCCTTGTTTTTCATATTCAGCAATCCAAATACCATGACATAAACTATAGATAAAACGTGAAAACAAAATGATTTCGGGCGCTCTCTTTCTTTGTCAAAGAATTCTGAGAACTACCACTTATAAAGCATAAATCTCACTGCTGCTTTATAGAACTAAAAGTATCAAAAGATATGGACATTATTTACCTTATCCGTTGATTAATACAAATCCGGAAAACTTGAAAACCCAGCGCTTAGCTTTGAAGAGGTGGTTCAAGGGCTGGAACATGGTGCTTGCATAGAGAATGGCTGATCCCAAAGTGGTCTGCTGAGTCTGGACTTATTGCCCACGCCCAGTAACAGAGGCAAGCACGTACCCTGAGGTCTCCCATCACACGTGACACCAGACCTGCAGTGGCCAAGGCTGCATGCTCATGAAATTTATGGAAACTGCACAAATTTGACTGCATCCAGGGATCTGGGCGAGACCATGAGGTTTTACAGCACACAACTGAGGTAAATTGGAGAAAACTTTACAGGTTAGTATGTTAGTAAGATATGGAAATGCAACAGACTATATAGGGACTAACTACACAAATACAGCAGTAACACTTGCGCATCCCCCTGGCATGCTGCCAGTTTGCATATGTACAGGCATGACAGGCAGTTAGTACGGACAATTTTCAGTGTTCCTAACCAAAACATAAATCATTTGCTACCTATAGGACCAAGGTCTGTGGAGGTCATGACCATGTTGCCTGATGAGTCTAATCACTTTACCAGATATAATAACCTCATATCAAGTTTGGTTGAGATTGATGACTGAGCTTACAGTGAACCTTACCAAAGCTGCATGGCTGGCTCCATTCTGCAGTTGGTACTGCATGCATACACACACGGACATGCAGTCGTGAATTTCTATACGCTCGAGGACAATGCTTTGTGTTTCCCTTTGTCTCTGTAATATAAAACTCTCCCATAGACTAAGCGCATAACCGTACGATCGAGGACCGGTTTCAACAAAAGACCCAACTCCCGAGGACTGAAAGGATCTTTTGTTCTTTTGTGTGTCTGTCCTCTATTGTAAAGCCATACAAGAGCACACACACAAACGTGTGTTCACCGTCTATCGTGGACGTCCTATTGTCCCTCTTTTGTTTGTAACCCATAGGTTTTGTACACGACCCCAATCACGAACGTATGCTGGGAATCGTGGACGATATTGTTCTCTTTTGTTCTCTGGTATTTTTCGTCCACAGTTTGAAAAGATGAACACATACACCCACCCACGGAAGGGCAAGGCGGAAAAAGTAAACACAATAAGATACAAGGGGCTCTAATTCACCCCGTTACATTAAGATTGCGGGAAAGGAGGTTAAGATTGCGGGAAAGGAAGGTTAAGATTGCAGGAATGGAAGGTTAAAATTACGGGAAACGAAGGTTAAGATTGCGGGAAAGTATGGTTAAGATTGCGGGAAAGGAAGGTTAAGATTATGGGAAAGGAAGGTTAAGATTATGGGAAAGGAAAAGATGCAAGTCAGTTGTCATATCTGGGCTCTGACCTTACATGTTGCATGTGTCTTATTAGAGGATATTCTTTGTCATTTTAATGTGTTAACAATGATGCCTATCCTAGCGTAGTGCTACAAAACCATTGCCCTCTAACTTCGTCTCTGTGCATATGGTCTGTCCATTTGCGTGACGTGTGTTAAGGCTGAAGACCATACACATTAAGGCAGAGTTAGAGGGCAGGGGGGATCAAAATACCCACCTTGGCTAGTCTGGCACTTCGTCGAGCTGAAAGTCTGCGCCTGAGACAGGACGTGAGAATCGGGTCGGCATTTGGATAAGTAGACAAATATGGCCTTGTTAGGCTCACACTGGAAGTAGCGCTGCTTGTTGAAAGTGCCGTCTGTTGCTCCGTAGTCAATCGAAGACTCCTTGTTTTCATTAAAAAAGCACAAACAATAGCACAATAGGAAAGCTTGAACCAATTAGAAATCATACAAGTGATAAATGTTTACCATTCTGGATAAATTTACTCTCTGCGCATTTTACCTTCCTAAATTCTCCAAAGTTATGACCCTGGCAAAAGCTGATGGCACATTATTTGTTCTTAAATTTCAAGGGATATCAAGCATCATGAAAAGCATTAGTAGCTGGATTCAACTACCTTCCTTGATCCTACAAAATCCTTAAAAAAAAAATTCTTGGTTGGTTTCGACAAATCTGCATGCGCAAAAAAAAGTAAGAAAAAGTGGCAAATTTCATGGAGCAAAGGCATAGAAATTAGCTTACTGAAAAAAACCCATTTACTTAGCAGAAACAGGTTACCAACCAAAATGCCATACTTTGTATATTGCTTGTGACAGGTTACCAGTGAATGTTTTGTTACAACTTAAGATTTGGTAAGCAATCTTTTCTGCTTAATAGCTCGGTGAAGTTGGGCCCTGGTGTTTATCCACCTACCAGTTCAATGCCGGCAACAGGCTTGTTACTCTTGCTTACTGCTGGCACACCTATCCAGCGTATGACCCCAAACAGGGTCTTGTCTGAGGGCTTAACCTCAACCATAGAGTTGACCTCGAGGTCAGGGTAACAGGGTTCGTCCTGGGGTTCGTCCTGGGGCTCATCAGGCAGGGTGGGGAAGGTGAAACTGGTGTACTCTGATGGGAGTTGCTTCATTGGATTGACTTCCTCCTTGTCATCGGCAGCTGCCAAATGTCATCAGAGACAAAGATAATCAATGGTTTGCCGAAATAATTTTTAAGAATTAAATTTCTCGGTTGACGGTTCCTGCCAAACTATCTACGATATCAATCAAAAATGTGAAGCTTAAAAACAACACATCCACTTTTTCGTCTGAAATGTGCTTTCCTCATGTAAATTCTTCCTGTAATTTGTGAATTTTTATGTTGTCATATTTCATATCTGACAATTGTAGACGATAATAATGTAAAAGTTCATAAAAGTAGAATGAAACGTTAACATATCAATCAATGCATGTACAGCATGTATACATGTATTCCTATCTACTGACAGAAATTCTCACGAAATATCAATGGAAAAACACAACATCTTTTTTCTACATTAATAAAAGTAGCTGATGTGAATGATGTGAAGGTTACAACAAAAAGGAATAAACAGAGATGGGCAGGACACCTGGCAAGAAAAGAGGATGACAGATGGAGCCGACTTACAAGAGAATGGCAAGCACTATATGGCAAAGAGAGGGAGGCTTCAGTCAAGATGTTGGTGTTGGTTGTGAAAATGAGGACAGCAGCCTGGCAGAGACATACATGTACCAGAGATAAAGAGATATGGCTTGCAATGACAGAGACCTTTGCCAAGCAGTGGGATTATAAAGGCTGATCATGATGATGATGAGCAAATAATTTTTTTAAACAGAGGCCACTTCAATATCTAAGTTTGTTGACAAGAATTCTGACAAATGACATTAATAATTCATTATAAAGACAAGCTACAGAAACTTTACCTTTGTCTTTGGCATATCCAGGGTATTCTTCTGTCTTTGCACAAGGAGCAACCTTCTTAGACTGCTCCACTCTACGTCTATCTTCTTCCATTGACTCGGCGAGGTTGCCCAAGTCACAAGCCCTCAGTGCCTCCATGAGGAAACCAAACCGGTCCCTGGTGTAGTCATGGCGCTCCCTCCATTTGGTAAGCATGTTGAGGATGGTGGTGGTGGTTTCAGAAAACTTGTCACTTTTGAGTTCCGCGAGTTCCTCCTCAGTGAATCCCAGATGCAGAGCGATGACCTCCCACTTGTCTCCTATCATCATAGCTAGCTTGTAGAGCATTTCATCAGTGACTCCTGCCACATCACATAAACAAATATACAAAGCCACTTTGTGGTTTATGTGGTTTACATGGTAAAGATGTTAAAACAGACTCAACAGTGTTGAAGTAAAGTCCATCACAAGAAGTCTGTTGCAATCAAATCCCCCAGATACTAAATCCTACAGACACTAATTGCGAAATACTAAGATGCTGCCTTCTTTACTTGCTTCAAAAGGGAATATGAATGTTTAAGTTTATATGATTTGTGTTGTAGTCAGGTCCATCACAACTCTGATGACAAGTCCAGGCATAAGTAAATCTATAGTCAATTCACAAGTCTGGCAGCGACAGGACCTGTGCAATAACAAAGGAACGCCTGAGTTGCAGCTGCAACTTGACATGGGGCTGGAGGGCTAGTGATTGACTTGTAATGGACTTATGACTTCTTGTGATCCATCATAATCACATCAAGTCTACAACTACTTCATTGAGCATTACATGGTCTCCGTGCACAATTACCATCCTCAATGGTAAGAAATAGAGAGTTGAGGAGACCACTGGGAGAGACATTTGAACCCATTACTGATGAGGCCTGATGCTGTCATAAACAACACGCAATAGCTATGTGCACATTCAGAATAAAATAAGTTGAGCTACTTCAGGCCCTCGAAAGTGGAAATAAAGTTCCTTCTCTTGTTCACGCATAGAGCCCATAAGCATGTACCTTGCACGAGGCCGTATGCTAGATCAAGGAGTCCACTCTCCCGTAGTCCCTTGGCCAGAGCACCCAGCACATCCACGCTGCGATGTTGTCTCCTCCGCCACAACATCAGCATCTGATAGGGCTGCTTGTCCTCAGAGAAATCCTCCAACTGCTGGATGTCTTTGACGTCGAGACGAAGAGTCTTTGCAAGATTCTTCCAGCCTTGGCCAATTTGGACGGCAAACGAGAGCATGATGTCGTCATCCAGGCCTTAAATGGAGTGCAAAATAGAGGGTTTGCATTAGTCAAGGCATTTTGCTACTAGTCCCAACTGCCAAAACCAATGGGGACCTGTGGTTTAGGGGCTATTAAATCGGTAAATAGCAGTAAATCTTCAATATAAATCTGCAGGAATGTTTAATATATTTTTGTTTTCATTCTAGCTCACCTCTGGCAACCTCCAGCGCCAACTGCCTGAGCCCACAGCTCTGCAGTGTGTTACTCAGCAGCATGATCTTGTCCGAGTTATGAGACTGCCTGGTCCGCCATTTGGCCAGCATGAAGCGCACACGGGCCAGTGTGTGCGGTGCCTTGGCATCAAAATAGTCTAGTTCCTCATCGGAGAAATTCAGGAACGTGCCAAATGGTCGGGCTTTCTCCGGGGGTATGCCACATGCTATCTTGCACAACAATGTCTCGTCCAAGCCTGTTGGGATTTGTTTATAATACTTTCAATGCCATCACTTGGTATGACAGTTCACAACAAACTCAACATAAACTTAAGCAAAAGCTTTCAGACCATTTTAGGCAAGTGTTCCACACAGGTGGTTCAGACAGGTGAATTTAATTTTTTTCTAAGATATAAATCAGGTTAAACATTTCAATAAATTTGAAGTAACTTCCCATACAAGTCTTCAAAAGATTGACTTTTGCAGTCATATGGAACCACACAAAGTCAACTGAAAATTAATATTTGCCTGTCTGAAATGGGTAAAAGACACAACAGCACAACTTAAAGGAATAAATGTGTTTGGCTGGTTTTAAATACTCTGTTTAAGACTGGTTGGAGTCTGGATGCTGATAATTACTCAAGCTGAAGGCATGAGTAATTATCAGTATCCAGACTCCAACCGGTCTTAAACAAAGTGTTCAATACATATTTATTCCAATTCATAAAAAATAACTTTTTGGTTAAATAATCAAAACGTTTCAGTCCATAAGTCAAACAAGTAAAAATTATACATTTCTAACGATTTTGTTCAACAACTGTACCTCAGGTTTTTCAGGCCTCCCTCTAATTATATTATGGTATGTCCAGTGTTGCGAGCGTCGTAAACAACTCCACATTGGCATCCACATCGCACATACTGGGCAATGTGGCATACTCAATACTGGTAGTATTGAGTATGCCTACATGAGAATTGTGAACGTTCAACCAATGGCAAAAGGCACCAGCACCCGATTTCACGAAGCGCTGTGACGCGTCTCAACTCGAGTTACGATGTGTAACACGTCGCAACTCGCGACGCGTCGTATCTTCCATTTCATGAAAGTTGCGATGTGTTGAACCATTTCTCCATGGTTGAACGCGTCGTAAGTTCCTTGACAACGGCTTAAAACACGTCGCAAGTTAAGACGTGCCTTGTGGTCGTCGCAAAATAAGAAGAGTCATTTCTAAGCCAGTTTTATGCCATAAACACTACATTAACGAGATTATAATACCGAGGCAATGTGTGTAAAGTTGTAAATAGAAAATTCATTGAATAATTATGAATTAGACCGGAATATTAGAATTTAAATTTCAAAGTAGTTATACAGTCCAATGTGAGTTTGTTTTCCTTCAAAATAGCATCGCACGGCCGCCATTTTGTTTTACGTTTTAACAAATTTTGAGCTGAGATCCGACGACTCTTTGTTGATTTACTGTACGCTGACTAAATACATAAAACAGTCACCGAGTTGTGCTATAAATACACCTACGATGCGTCGCACTTACGACGTGTTTTGTGAAATGGATCGCAGGACGCGTCGCAGCTGCGAGGCATCGTAGAGATACGACGCGTCGCATCGCTGCCATGCATCGTAAGTTACGAAGAGTTTGATGAAATCGGGTGCTGATATCATAGGAGTCCAAATTTCAAGTGACACTTGAAAAGTGTTTAAGTCCAGCCAGCTGGTCTTTATTAACTATATAAGACCGGCCACGTGACCGAAAAGCATTCATCAGCCATTTAAGGCCAGCCACGTGACGGGCCCTCAACCAATATGAATGGGTAAACTGTCTTCGGTATTTATGAATATTTGAAAATGGTACATATAATTGCAAACCAGATAATATATTACCTTGTTCCAATTTATTGGCAAGTTCATCAAAGTGACAGCTCCGACAAGCCTCAGCCAGTCGGGAAATATTATTATATCCAGTTGTTTTCCTCTGCCAGGCTCTGAGCATTTCTGCTGTGCGGTCTTTCTCCGTCTCACAGTCTGCTGCAATTCTGTCAATTTCTTCTCTGCTCAGATATAGAGAAAAGCCAACTGTCCTCCAGTCCTTGTAAATTGTCTTCGCGACTTCTTCAACCACATCCTCCTCAAGAAAATCTGTTTTATGAATAAAGCAGCTGACTGTAATTGAGTTCATGTCTTATTTGTTTAAACAGTGCCAATGTGAAAAAAACATTTGTGCACATTCTGTTGAAAAACATTGTCTCATGTGAACCCTGCATTAGTTGGTCTACAAAATCTCAGTGACCAGGATGTGAAGTTTGAGTTTCAAGAAAACAGAAGTAAAGTTCAACAGAAGTGGCTTCCCATCAACTATGCATGCACGTCAAGTGTCTCTGTGCACTTGCCGTGTTGTAGTCAAGTGCATTACAAGTCTGTCTGAAGTTCCGGCAAAAGTAAATCACAAAACCTTTCACAAGGCCAGTCATAGGTAGCAGGGGATGAACTTGAACAATAACAAAGGAATGTCTTTGTTCTAGTTCACTTGAATAGCTTGTGACTTGACTTGACTTGAGATTGGAGGACTTGTGCTGGACTTGTGAGGATATCTGATGGACTTGACTACAACGCTCATGTACCGAGCACACTAGGGTTCCAGACCAGTAAATAAACTTCCATTGACCCCAACGATACATGCTCCCAGTCCTGTACACGGCTTCCACCCATATTTTTTACAAACCTTCCAGTGCATGGCCCACAGTATGCTCAAATACTGAAGATTTTGAGGGCATGCAAATCGTGATTTGGCCGGCGTAGGCAATTTCGGACCGATTTACTGGTCTGCAACCCTAGGGCTCTCATGAGTGTTCTCACAGAGCCATCTAGTGTTCCCAAGCAGAGTTGACTGGATGCCAGACTCACTTGTGTCTAGGTAGCTTCCTCGAGCCACATCTCCCGGCCCGTTGTAGTTCTCCGTGTACCAGGAGGTTTTGGTAGTTTCCTCATCTTTGCCCCCACTGCTCCATTTGCTCTTCATCTTGTTCACGAATCCAGAAAAGCTCTTGCGTTTGGATTTGCTTCCTTCGTGACCTGAGGCAAATTGGAGGTCGTCAGATGAATCCTGATGCATATCTGTCTTGCGTGCTTGGGATGCTGACAATGATACAAAAACATTAGGAAAGTGTGAAAGATAAAATGTGGAGGCTAGGTACACATGCAATAGAACGTGCAAAGAGAAGTCTTTCAAGGATGATAACTTTCCCAAATAAGTTTGTCCCACTGATATTTCAGTTGATTACTTGTGTGAAAAGAATTTGAAAATTGTTATTATCACTTTGAACCAAAACTGAGTCTGAAACGCTTTGGTTCTGGACAAACTGTCTGAGACTTGTTGGGGATTAAATTTTAGACATTTGGTCACCGTTTCAAACATTTTGTTTAAAATCCTTTTACAAATCTGATTTTTCGAAGGTCTGAAACAAAAACCTGTTACAACTTCTCACTTTTTAGACATTCTGTTCACCTCAAAATATCTTAAATGTCAGCCTATGTCAAGAAACCTGCTAGGTTTCAGAAATTTCCATTTAAAGGCTTAAATTTCAGACCATCAAAATGTCCGAAACGTAAGAAGGGATTAAAACAAATCTGGCATTTGGTCCAAAACAAAAGCATTTTGACACTTCTGGTTCACAGGGTTTTGCTAGTATAATTTATGGTAACAAAAACAAGGATTTTTTTTAAACCCAAAGTAAACATAACAAATCCAAGGGCCTTGGTTAAAATAAATACAAGTTCAAACATTTCTGTTGTGTTTTACTGACCTGGATAAAAGCTATCGCTCACATCACGTTTGCCACCAGATGGATTGTGGCTTCCCTTATCAAGCTTTTCGCTGCTACCGTACGGAGAGGGTGTCTTACGTGGCTTGTTGTTGGCTGCAAAGAACGATTCTGGGCAAAAAAAAGGCAAGTTAACATATTTCCTGTCCAGGCAAAAATTCCAGTTGAAACCAGCTGTACTGGAAATTGGTGACTGCTTTTGAACTAGTTTACCTAGTTTTAAACTGGATTACCTGGTTTGAACTAGTTTAACTGGTTCAAAACCAGTTCGTACCAGTTCAAAACCAGTAAAACTAGTTGAAACCAGTCATCAATTGCCAATCTAACTGGTCCAATTGAAACCACATGAACCAGTTGAACTAGTTTTGAGTTGAATTTTCACCTGGGTAATGTCTCACTGACCTGGGTTATAGTTATCGCTCACATCACGGCTGCCACCAGATGGCTTGTGGCTTCTTTTATCTAGCTTCTCGCTGCTACCGTACGGAGAGGGTGTCTTGCGTGGCTTGGCGTTGGCTGCCCAGAACGGTTCTGAAGATTTCTTTCCTTTGTTTTTCGCCTTCGAAGGCGGAGTTTGGGATGGCTCCTTTGGGATGGCTCCTGTGTATAAATCCTGGTATTCTAGCATCAAGACAAAAGAACAATGTCCACTGTATTGTTGTGTAGAAACCCTGTCTAATGCAACAACACACAGATCCAACAAGTCAATAATTCCATAGCCCAAACTGCCTCAGAGTCTGTAGTTGCCAACTGCAGCAGGATTCAACTGTGGCATTGTTCAATGGGACTAGCTCTCATTGAATCAGAACTGGCCGTTCATACTTGGTGTTGACAGCCTAATGCAACAAGGTGTCATAGACTTTTACACCTGTCGTATTGTGTTAAATGGAAGGGTTTGGATTTCTGGTTGGATATTTACAGACAGTCAAATAGTGAGTTCACTTTCTTTTCATTGTCTTATACACACGCTACCTAGTCACCAAACTAAGCAACACACGTATACAGTAGTATGACTTAGTCAGATTCAGTCAACATTCAGCAGGCAACCGGTACATTTAAAGCTTGCATACCAATCGCCTGGAGTCAAAGCATGGCTGTATCAAGTAACATCAACAACCACAGCCAGTCTATCTCGCTCATGTAGGCTTAGCAATTCTAACAAGCAAAACCAGTCACTCGAGTGAAATCTGACTATACAGACAGATTCGTTCCTCTTTGTCAGAGAGCAAGTGAAAGTAAATATTTTGGAACAATTTAATAAGTCACAAGTCTTCGGACTAGAAGAAAACTTGGTTACGAGCAAATATTGTATCAGTGGCTTCTTTCACCAGGACTTTTGGAAATATTGTAGAAAAAGACAAGACAACCTAGTAAAGCAGGTCTCACAGTGCACAAACTTGTATTCAATCGATTCGGGAATTTCTACTCAATGCAAGTCTTTTCATGCATCTGGTCTACACAATGGGCCGGTTTTAGCCCATTCATTGGCATTATGGGGGTAATCCTATACAACAGAACTGCCCGGCCCACAAGCAACAGTCAATGGGGGAGTGAGTCAATCATTCAGTCAGTCAGGTAACAAGGCTGACCCTCTGGGACTATCGGTCGCATAGCTATGGACTGGTTACCGCATTTTCATCATGTCTTCGAAATTGGCCCCTGCGCGGCGCGGCGGGAACCAGTCGTCGCCACGTGATTATAGTCGCCGTGACATCGCATTGCGAAGTAGCTATATCGCGAAGCGAATTTGTAAAAATAACGGAGGTTTCTTTTGAAATAAAGCGAATGTAAGTAAGAAAACAAATAAATACAAGCATTTTTTTATGCAAAAGGGTTGTTGAGAGGTATTTTGTGAAGACAGAAAAGACAACAAAATTTTATTTTTATTTATTCAATCTTTTTTTTTTTTTTTTTTTTTAATTGCCGATAAAATTTTTAGGGTCGTAGCCTAAAAATAGGGTCGGTCGGGTAACCGGAAGCAGAACTATTCTTTTTTTTTGCCTAACCTTAATTAGGCTCATTTTTAATGATTTCAGTAGGAACTTACCTTCGGGGGCACGTGTTGTCAAATTGTTGACCGGTACAAACGTTGTGAAGACATCATTTCTAGGAGTGAACACACGATACCCCCTGTGTATTCCATTCCACATCATATCACCCTCTTGTTTGGGCTTTAAAAATGCCAAAGAAAAACATACATGACATTGTATTACATGCTTAGGTTAAACTTTTTTTTTTTTTAAATTCCACTTTTAAAATGAAAAATCGAAGGGCTCCATGCTAAGTGACGTGCCACATTAAGTATTACAACACCTCAACCCTATTATTGACAGTCACTGTGACCGCAGCCCATTGTGGTGTGGCCAACGTACGTACTATCAAGTTCCCACGGTATTAATTTCTCCAGTCGGAACGGGACTGACAGTGAAATAGATCGTAACAGTTTTCATGATACTAAACGGAGTTACTCTCGATCAACCCACTGAGTATGATAGATAGAGACGATGGTTTTGCATAAGAATTCATGCCACGTGGGTAAAGGCAGGCACAAAAAAGTAATCACTTTGTCCAAGCCAGATATTCAGGGTTTTTTTCGGGTCGGTTCGGGTTCTGGTCGGTTTTACCTTATTTTTTGTCGGGTCGGGTAGGGTCGGTTTAAGGGAGTTAAGATCGGTTTCGGTTCGGATTCGGTTTATATCTCTAATGTTTCGGGTCAGTTTGGCCTGGTAAACCCGACCCAAAGCACATCATTATTGCGCCCGTATTGTTCCCAAGCGCTAGTGCACTACAGAGACGGGTTCAAACATTGCGTGAAGGGGTGGTTTGGAAAAGTGCAGGTAATTTTTCAACTGATTTCGTATTTATCAAATTAGGTTTTGCTCTTCACCGACGTTTCAACACTGTATACATGTACTCAGTGTGTTACCTCCCGAGTGAAAGTTGGAAAAAATCACTCGGGTGGGACTCGAACCCACGACCTCCTGCTTTCTAGTGCAGATGTCTTACCACTCGACCACCGAGCTAACGGGATCGGTTGGCTGGTTCGAATCTGACGTACATAGCAGCGGGTACCGCATAAACTATTATAAGATGGAATTTTGCATCGAGGTATTTTTTTACTATCAACGATATTGTACAAAATATTTACAACTGGAAAAATGCATGTGTACTCCGTCGTGTCTGATGTAAACAACCGGGTTTTTTTTTTTAATCTTTTCTCGGATACGGTAAGACAAAAATGCACATACGAATACATTTATGTACCATTTCCACGACAGCATAAGGCTCAGTCTCCTTATGCGGGACAATCATATAGACCACTCTTCCCCTTCTCGTGCCGTTACCGACTTGCAAGTATACAGTCGTCCCCTTTATAATATCCCCGACACTCGGCAGTTCTGATGGCTGATTGGGCAGCTCCTGTTTGGATCGTGGGACATTCTCGTACAAATGAGTGGTTCCCTGCGACGTGGACGGTGGGACCAGTTTGCTGATGGGCACAAAGACGGCACAATCAGGATCTGTCTGGAAGTAACGGCACTTTCCAAAGACACCATCTGATGTTCCTTGGCCTCTATAAGCATTATCCTGAAAGTATGACCACATGGAGAAGATTTTTTAAATATCTAAAAAAGGTTTTGACTGTTCTGTTGTCAGACGTTTGACACAGAGGTAAAAGGAAAACATGCCTTATTGGGTTAAAATGGCTCTCTGTTGATCAAAGCTCCTACGCAACAATCCATTTGTTGTCAATAATAGTAATAAATGTGAGTGAAAAATGAAGTTTTGGAAATAACGTATACACTAACCGCAAATGGAAAAATTATGCAGACTTGTGTGAAATCCCAATTTGTAAAAAAAAACATCATCAGTAATTACACAAAGTTTCATACAAAAAACTTGGCTATGTTGGCCACAACGCTTCAATTCTCTTTGAACTCAAGAGTTGTGATTTCATTGACTTTCTGTGACTTCAGGTAAAAGTAAGCAATGGTTGGAAGAATATACTCATTTAACACACAAAAATTACTTGATAGATGCATGTGCATATGGACTTACCATCAGCTCCAAACCAAAATATGTTCCCATTTCCGTTTCAGACAATGGTCCGATGTACCGAACGAGGGCAGCAACTTCCTCATAGGGTGAGGTGCTGTCGTTTCTATGTCTCACTATCACCGACGACCCTTCCTTCAGGCCTAATGCATACGGTATGAGGTCCTCATCCTGGTAAATATTAAAACGATCTGAGTTCGTGGAAATAGCTCGCAGAAGATCCCTCTCTGGAACTGTGATTCGGCCGATTTCCCAGCTTCTGCATTGAAACTGCATGTCCCCACTGAGCGGTTTGACTACAAATCGTTTCGCATCTGCCCTCTTACTGCCTTTGACTACGTCTCCATAACTCTGGCCTCCTCCTGGCAACACCTCGTTACCTTGAAGCAAGGAGCCTTTGAGAATTCTCTTGGAAGAAGGTGCATGACGCTGATTTAAAAGCGAGTCGCTTGCCGAGCCTTGTACTTCTTTGTCCACAAGAAGAATGAAGCATATTGGTTCAGCCATTGCAGAGGCTTCAGAGATGGTGGCAGAAGTGGTAAACAGATGAGATGGCTTGGTTGTTAGTGTTGAGGTGACATTTCCTGTGACTCCTTGAGTGGCTACGGGTGTTGAGCCAGTGGCTCTAGCATATCTCTGCTACTGCCTGGCCCAGTAGCTGAAGACCCTTTACCAGTCATCGGATATCCACCTGCCTTGCCACTCCGACTAGAATGCGCAGCTAATTCTGGTAACTCTGCCTGTTGCTGTTACGCTTGTTGCTGCAGTATTTCTGCCAAGATTCATTACATTTCTGCTGTCAAGTGCTGCCGCTGTTGCGAGCTGCCATGTTGCCAGCAGGGTACATGGTGTACATTTGTATGTAATTCAACTTTCATCTGCAGGAGAAAAAAAGAAGAAAAAAAGATGACTTGATTTTCATTCATTAAAACCTACTGCAGTGTTGGCGTTTAATGTATCAAAGCAAAATGGCTGATACAAGGGGATTCTTAATAATGTTTTTACAGCATTAAGTCCCAGTTTATTTCATTTAATATATCTTTCTGTTTCATAAAGACTAACAAATTTGATTATTTCATTACTTGTCACACGGCAAGGTCTTTGTCATGTCAAAACAAGGACAGACATCCAAATAACGAAAACTTCAGTGTTAAATCATTTCATTTATTCATTTAAAATTTTCCACATTTCAAAATGGCAGTGTATATTTAACTGTGAACAAGTTCCCGATTACTTTTTCTTTCTACAAGCCGGCACTGCACTAAACATGCATGTTTAATGTTTTTAGGACTTGAACATTTTTGCCATGACTAATCTTGACGAATCATCCAACATTTAACAAAATGAAATCTCTTTAATTGTGGCGACAATCAGGGAATTCCAAAGTGTGCAGTTTTGGCGATGTAGAAAAAAAATCCTGCCTAATTCTACGCAGTGGATGCTTCATGGAAAATCTGTGCTGCCTGGGCTGGATGTTCCTCAAGATAATTTTTTTTTTAATAACTTAGACTTCTTGGCTTTAGGAAAATATATGTCCTTGAGCTTTTCAAACATATTTTCTTTCTTTTTCCCTTCTTTTTTTTCAATACCAATACACTTTTCATAATTTCAAGATTATTTTCAATATACTAATGGTTGAATCATTACAAAGGTCTATATTTTCATTTACATAAGGCCAAAAAAAAAATCTCCGGTTTCTGGTATGGAGCTTGCCCAAAAAGTGGTGTGGCGACGCGGCTTTTTTTTTTTTTATCTGATTTTTTTTCGCTTCAAATGTCGGCTGATGACTGCAAATGGTGCCGGACTAAACTTAGTGCAAATATATGGGAGTCCAGAGAGGCCACATAAAGCTTTTTCTCGACCACAACCCCATCTAAAAACACGTTAATATTGTGCAGCAGCAGGATTCCAGTCAAACCAGTGAGTTTGGCGGGTTTGAGACATCATCTTTTAAAAAAAATTTCCTAAATACATTTTATACATATTTACCTATTAAATGTAGAGGAAAGATTTCCATATACGAAGTTCACTCAACACCCTGTGTACAAACCCTATGAGATTGGACAGAAAAATTCTAAGTGTTTTCTAAGAAAATGCTTGTATTTTCTCACTGCTCAAATTGACTTTGATGACATGAAATTGCTATCTGGGGGCTTGTTAGTCAATATAGAGGAAAATTAATGAACTTCGTATATGGAAATCTTTCCAAAAAGACTGTAAGTTTTACATCCGTGAGAAAATGCAAAATATTATCTATGACATCTTAACTTTGATACTGATGACAGTGGTAGACCAAGAAAAGCCACCGTACGGTCATATTTTCGACTTCTGCAGGCCCGGAAGCATCTGTCTGCATTTGTACTTGTAAAAGTTGTACTATTGTAGTAAAATACCGGTAGCTTTAAAAAGCAGATTGTTTTCATTTTTTGCCTGAATTCCAGGGAAAGCCATCAATGTCCACATTTGCTCGGCTGCTGGTTAAAGTTCGTGCATCAAAGTATACCATCCCAGTGAAACTTTGTCATTTTTTTTTAAGATGCATACCTTGCAAAAAATAACTTACACTACGGGCGAGTGCGCAGAAATAGAAGCGCGTTGCTACTTCAAGGGATTTCCGGATGTCCGACGACAAATTGTAAAATAGACAAAGTGTGTGGTATTTTTTCATTGCTGACTACTGTTAACGATTTAAAACTCCTCTAAAACGTCCATGCTGACAGATAGAAATGATTCAAATCTATGTCTTAGTCTTACAGGTTCATGACCCAAAATCTTCATGTTTCGCACAAACCATGGAGGAATAAGGAACACAGAAACTCACCTGATGAATCTGGACTCCACAGGGGAATACCCTGAAGTAATACATTTAATAGAGGGCGCTATTCGGATAATGTGATGGGATGGGCGCACAGCGGTAGTCGAAGTTGAACTTTGATTATATTACGCCAATTCCGGAGAGACTCACCCTGTATAATTGTACCTTGTATTGCAATCTAACCACCCTTTGAAGCTAATGGAATAGTCCTCATTAGGTATTCAAAGTTCGAAGAATAGCGCTCTATTCAAACTTGAAGAATAGCTTGCTATGTGCATGTGTACTCCTCGCTCGAGTGCTGGATCGTCTTTTGTTTTTTGTGTCGCAATCTGATCACATCGTATACGTATACACGCCCGTATAGTGCTTTTCGTTGGATTTTTACCGTGATTCGTAGGAAATGTCAACCCGTCGCCCTCGATTTTCCACGGCTCCAGCCACCGTCTCGAGGCCCCCAGATGAGCCTCCAGCATCTGTAGACATCCTAGCCATGGCTACCAGAGAAATAGGAGACGAGGAGGACCTAGCGGTCCGGGTGAAGGGTCGTCATGCCCGAAACCCACGACTGACCGCCATGCCTCAGCACCGTTATGGGCTGATGGCAGTTCGGGTGGAGGGTTATTATACCCAAAACCCAATGCAGGCTCCGGTCCAGCTCCGAAGTCGACTCCGTCCAGCGACATGCATCAACCAGTATCTGCCGATCCTACTCCAACAAGAGCAGAGCCTACTCCATCGGCACCGCCATACGGTACCGGCACCGCCCATGGCCCGTCGTTCGGGCCTACAGGAAACCCGGCTGGGTATATTTCAGCCTGGTCGCAGCCGCAGACATTTTTCAGTCCGGCCACGCCGGCCTGGAACCCGGGCCCCTGGGGTAATCCTCGGTTTCCCACGACTGCAAACTCGGCACCTATGCCGCCATGCTACTACAACTCCTGGGGTTTTCCTACCCAGTGGTTTCCACAGATGCCTCCATCGGCATATCCGCAATCGTCAGGCGCTGTCCCGACAACTGCACCTACTGGTTCACGAGCACAGTCATCATCTGCTGGTAGCGTGCCGTCTCACACCGACGCCGTTATTACGGTCGTCAGTGACATCAGCGACGAGGAGAGCTCGGAAATTTCTAACGCAGGAACTTCAACGAGTTCCCTTCCTGCTTCGAAGGGGATCCTCCGTAACCCCCACAAAAAGGACAAAGGAAATCCCATTTCGGATGAGGTGATGAAATGGTGGGAAGAACTTAGAACTCATAAACTTTCACCGGAAGACCACAAAGAGGAGTTGTCATCCTTTGCGGTTCCCGAAGAGCAGGATAAATATTTCTCTGCTCCGGAGTTGCCTGCCGGTATCAAGAAAGTATTCAAACAGGTAAATCCGTCCATGTTGCTCAAGATGACAGACTAAAAACTGCTCAAGGTTACGCCCTGAAGGCAGCTTTGCCACTTCTTCACTTATTTGAGGCAGCTGCCGATCCCGAAGGTCCCAGTGAAATGAACAAGGATATGATTATGGACGTAATTTCTTCAGGCCTAATTCTGTTAGGTTCTGCCAACCAAGGCCTCGCAACAACCCGCCAACGTGCCTTTGATGACATCGTTGATAAGAAATTCGACGCCCTTAAGCGGAACCAACCTTCCATGGGTGATCTCTTCGGTTCTTCGCTGATGAAAGATATCGAGGAGATGGAGAAAGCCAATAAGCTAGCCGCGAAAGTTACCAGTGGTAAGAGCCATCCTACAAATTCCTCCAAAGAGAAGCGCTTCTCGCCTTACCAAGCTGTGTATAGAGCGTCAAGAAACCGCCGATTTTCGACACCCTACAAGCCGACATACAAGGGGTTTGCTGGTCGACAATCTTACAAGTCGTCTTCAAACCGAGGAAGAGCGGGTAGGCAGCTTAATGCTTCAGATAACGCATCCTCTAAAAACTAACTGTGTTTAATTTTCCAGTCAGTTCCCCAGCATCTTCTGCAAATCTACTTCTCGCAGGTCGTCTTCAACACTTCCAGCACCATTGGTTACTTGTTACACATGACCCATGGATCATTGATTCCATTTCAGGCTACCGCTTGGAATTTTTGTCAGAGCCCTTTCAGAGTAAAGTCCCCATTACACGAGCCCAATCTCGTCATCACGCGAGTATTTTTGATATAGAGGTGCAGAAGATGCTGGAGAAAGGAGCGATAACTGTTGTACAGCCACTAAAAGGTCAGTTTCTGTCTTCACTTTTCATGGTACCCAAGAAAAACGGAGATCTCCGTCCCGTCATCAACCTCAGACCGTTAAATCGGTTCATTCCATACCAACACTTCAAAATGGAGAACATTACAGCAGTCAAACATCTGTTAATTTCGGACGACTGGTTAACGACCATCGATCTCAAGGATGCCTATTTTACAGTGCCGATTCATCAGTCTCACAGAAAGTTCCTCCGCTTCTGTTGGAAAGACGTCATTTACCAGTTTTCATGCATGGCCTGTGCAGTGCACCGAGAACATTTACCAAAATCCTGAAACCAGTTGCATCGTCACTCCGGGAAAAAGGGATTCGTTGCGTCTTTTATCTGGACGACATCTTAATCATGGGAACTTCAGCCCGGGATTGTTTGAACAGTACCAATCTTGCCGTCAACTTGCTCCAGGACTTGGGATTTATCGTGAACAAGGAGAAATCCAATCTGATTCCAACACAGCAAGTCGAGTACCTGGGATTTGTTATAAATTCCAAGAACATGACTCTTTCCCTAAATCAGGGGAAGATAAACAACATCATCAGCCACTGCAGAGAGGTTTTGTCAGCACACACAACTTCAGTCCGCGATCTTGCCAGTTTGATCGGGAAGATGTCAGCGACCATACAAGCAGTATTCCCAGCCCCGTTATTCTACCGGCACCTTCAGTTGGAAAAGATAGCGTCCCTGCGGGAACACTACAACTACGAGACAGAGGTCACCTTGTCAAAAGAGGCAAGGGACGAGCTCCGGACATGGACTCAATACCTACAGGCATGGAACGGTCGGGGGATCGTTCTGCAGACTCCAGATCTAACTATCCAAACAGACGCGTCATTGAGCGGTTGGGGAGCCTGCCTGGGAAATCAACGAGTCGGGGGTCGCTGGACACCGCAGGAAAAGATAAATCACATCAATTATCTCGAAGTGTTGGCAGCCTTTTATGCACTCAGAACACTACTAAAGGACCGTCAAAATGTGCATGTTCGGCTACAGATGGACAACTCTACGGCGATTTCTTACATAAACCACAAGGGTGGAACACGCTCCGTAAGTCTTGTTCAACTTGCACTCAAGATTTGGTTATGGTGTCTCCAAAGAAGTCTCATCTTGACGGCAGAACACCTGCCAGGCTCGATGAATGTCACAGCGGACAACCTATCCCGTGTGTTCAACGATCGGTCGGAATGGCAGCTAAACGTTCGGATATTTCGCAGGATTATGAACAGACTAGGTTTCTCCCCAGACGTGGATCTGTTTGCAACTCGACTCAACACTCAACTCCAGATGTTCGTGTCATGGCAACCAGATCCCATGGCATGGAGAGTAGACGCTCTACTTCTGAACTGGAGGGAGATAAAGGGTTATGCCTTTCCTCCCTTTGCGCTTCTGCCCAGGTGTTTGAGCAAGATCAGCGAGGAACAGGCCACGATTGTGCTCATCGCCCCCGTCTGGCGCACGCAGATCTGGTACCCCAGACTTCTGGAGATGGCCGTTCAAAATCCCGTTATTCTACCCAGGGGAAGAGATCTTCTCCAATTGCCTCACAACCGAACACTTGTCCATCCATTGGCAGATCTAATGTTGTTAGCCGCGTGGAAGCTGTCAGGGAAAACCTTCGCTCAGAGGGAATTTCTCAGTCAGTGTCCTTCACAGTCATGTCATCATGGAGGGACAAGTCCAAGAAGCAGTATGATTCAGCTTGGAATCGATGGGCCAGCTGGTGTCTTCAGAGGCAAGCAGATCCTGTTCGAGCACCTATAGCGGTATGTTTATCCTTTCTTCAAGATTTGTTAGATTCAGGGTTGCTATACAGAACTATCAATGTATACAGATCGGCAATTTCCTCAGCCCACGTCTTTATAGACGGAGCACCAGTTGGACAACATCACTTAGTTAAACGTTTCTTCAAGGGTGTTCTTAATTTGCGTCCTCCACAGCCACGATACAATGCAACATGGAATGTGGCAACTGTGTTGACTTATTTCAAGTCTTTACCTGACAATCGTAGATTATCTATCAGACAGTTAACTCTTAAATTAACTATGCTAATTGCACTAGTTACAGCTAGTCGCTGTTCGTCACTCACAGCTATCGATATCGATCATATGTCAAGGTCCTCAGATGGCAGTTTTTATTTTTGGTTGGTAAAACCTTCTAAACGTGTGTCAGTTAACAAACCCTTCCACGATATAGAAATTGCTCGCTTTCAAGCTAACAGAAACCTTTGCCCAGTACGCACTTTGCAGGAATACCTCAACAGGACTTCTCATATTAGAACAAATGGGAACTCTAGCATGACTCAGCTCCTGCTGTCACACTCCAAACCCTACCACCCGGTAGTGTCATCCACAGTCTCCAGATGGTTAAAAGATGTACTCAAAGAAGCTGGCGTTGATACTTCATGTTTCAAGGCCCATTCAACCAGGGGTGCATCTACCTCTGCAGCTGCAAGTGCAGGGGTAACAACTCAAGACATCCTGAAAACGGCAGACTGGTCATCCGTGACTACTTTTGCCAACTTCTACAACAGAAGATCATCTCAGATGGAGTTTGGTCAAGCAGTTCTGGCATCGGCACCTTGATGACCGGCTTTGAAGTATACAGGGTGAGTCTCTCCGGAATTGGCGTAATATAATTCCCCAATTATGTAAAGTACTTACCTGCAATATAATTGGAATTATATAAGACAATGGAGGAGAGACTCAGTCTCCCTCCCTTTTTATGTTTTGTGTGCATTTTTACAGGCACTTTGACTCCCGCCCGAGAACTAAATCAGGTCACAGGTCGCCTCCGCCAGTCATCATTGCTCCTCAAGCTTCAAAAAGACGATCCAGCACTCGAGCGAGGGGTACACATGCACATAGCAAGCTATTCTTCAAGTTTGAATAGAGCGCTATTCTTCGAACTTTGAATACCTAATGAGGACTATTCCATTAGCTTCAAAGGGTGGTTAGATTGCAATACAAGGTACAATTATACAGGGTGAGTCTCTCCTCCATTGTCTTATATAATTCCAATTATATTGCAGGTAAGTACTTTACATAATTGGGGAATTTGTAGGTATACCACCAGTACCAACAGATCCGCTATACCCTGTTCAAAATGTCTTGTAAGTTGTATTCAACCACAATCCCCAACTAACTCTGCTTTTATTAAATTTGGAACTCCGGAAAAATCCTGACAAGTCTTGCACTCTGGGAAAATGCTATTCTTGAGAATGCAGGGTTGGAGAATTGATTTTTTTTTTACGGAATTTATTGCGCCTGCTTGCCCCTTTCTATAACCAACCTAGAATCTGGGACATTCAATTCATATGGAGCTGGAAAAACACAAATAAAGGAAAACAAACAAATGTTACTTTTTTTCTGGTATTTTTTTTGCCAATGAAGTATCTATCTACACGACTTTAATAACAATTTCAGATTATTATTATAAAATGTTTAATTTCGCGCAAATAATTATTTTGTTAAATTAGTATTAAATTAATTTTTGGTTGGTCTATGTATTTTGAGAATTGTCAACATCTGTCTGAGTAATGCCGCATCCAAATAAATGTCAACAAATGCAAACTAAAAGTAATAAAACTCAATGAAACAAATGTTCACTTATCTTTACATATATACTGCTGCTAAGATTAGGAAAGTTATACTCCACAGAATCTCTTGCCAAAATGCAAACTTCAAGTCTGCATCCAAATGTCTTATCTAGAGCTGTCGTCTAGGGCTTTGGCAATAAGCCTTTGTACTAATGACGTCACACTTTGTTTACATGTGCACTTTCTTATGGAGCCAGTGGGGGCCCATGGTCCACTGAGCACCATAGGAAAGCACACACGTAAACAAAGTGTGACGTCATTAGTAATCAGGCTTATAATGCACCTGCACGGGATACATCGTGCTGACTTGGCCGTAGCTCTGGAAGCCTGTTTTAGACACCGTGCCTTATTCTATACTGATCTGTGCAAACTTCTGCTCACCAAATAGTGAGGCACAAAGTAGTTAGGGCCAAGCCACACAAGACAAAAATTCACAGGCCACTTATATGCAATCCCATAGACTACGATCTAGGAACCTTCGCCATGAACAAATTACAGTTTCCCAACAGGTCATGGCTAATCCATACAACATTACATAAAATTTCGAAATTTCCCCTTCGTTTACTTCTGGGAGATTGCCCTGATCAAGTTGCCTGTAAATTGCCTCGGGTGTCATGGCCCTTAGATTAAATTTGGTCAAAGTGATACGGGTAACACAGTACTATCACCCAAGTCCAAAAATTGTGGACTTTCAATTCTGTGTATGAGAGTCCCCCAACTTTAGGTACTGAAAACATACATTGCAAGAAAATAGACCGGCACATGAAACAACCAGTCCAACAACTCTTCAGTACTGCGGCACTAATCAACCGTTTCACCAAAAACTTTTGGTACCGGTCTATATTTCTACACATCTCTCCATAGTCTGACACCAGACTACTGAAGAGGTCAGTCTCTTCAAAAGTTGAACATGTACCAATCTAGCCTCGGAAATGACTCTGAAATCACTTGGCTTCACTGTTGGGTGCAAAATTTTGCAAAATACTGAAGAAAAGTCTACTTAAATATCTGAATTGAGATTTCAAACTTGGCTGGTGAAATACTGCGGATCTTGCCTTTGCCTCATGAAAATTTTGGAGAATTCTGTCTGCTAAAGATTGAGTAAAGTTGGCCTGATCTTGTTTTGCATGCTTTTTTTCTGCTCTCAAGCTCCCAGTCTGCCATCACCTGTGCATGAAAAACATATCACGGCAGAGACTATGAATTGACTTATATTTCAGTGCAAAAACCAAAATGTGCTTTAAGCAAAATATGCTTGAATATATACTTTTTACGTTCATCTCTTTTCTCTCTCTCTCTGATGAAATATTCTTTTATGTCATCAATTACAACTTGTTTTACTGAAGTAGTTTTAGCTGCATAATTTTGACTAGCTTAGGAGGTTTAAAGTTGTATGTTTTTCCATCTGTTTCTAACTTCAACTTCAGTTGACATGTCTTTGTGTTGCAAAGCTTACGCTTTAAGGTTTGCTCATTCTGATTTTGCTTATTTGGTAATCAAATACACAATAACATAATTTCAAAACAATTCTAACATGGATAAATGAACATTTAGAAAACACTGCAGCAGTTCTTAGAATACTTATATATAATATAAACATTATATGCATGTGCATGTATTGATTCTGCTTTCACGTCCTGTAGGAGCATTTCATATTTTGCACTTTTAACACACTTTTTATGATCTTGACTTCCTCAGCTTTTGTAGTCACAAGAACCTTTCAAAATCCACCCAAACCCAATACAGTTTTGTGACAAAATGGTAATTTCTTCGTGCTAAATGAAACTGGAGCACCAAGCTGTATTGAAGGTAACAGCAACATCCCCAAATTAAAATCCACCCAAATTAAGCAGAACAACGTGATGGATTTTAGAAAAAAATTAGGCAATGTACAACTTTGTCTCCACAATAAGAGGATTAGCATAATGCTGAAATGGGAAGCCTATTACTGTGCAAATTAGCTTCTATCACTAAACATAGTTTTTTTGGGAATAATTTCATTATTTAGTAACTCCACCATGCAAAGCCTCAAATCTTACTTATAGTTTTTTTGGTTAAGAGTGTATATATTACTTAAGACAAAGAATGAAAGCAATGGAAAAATTAATTTGTACATAATTGTCCAATTACTTCTTTTAGCAATCAAAAGAATAAACGTGAATTTATAATAATTTTGCAAATAATCTGCAGCATATATACTGGAAATATTGGACATACGCTTGGATAAACATCATCAAACCTTTTGTTGTTTTCGCACTAGTTATTAAACATGCAATGATATATAATACCTGACCTGTATTATACTTAAGCAACTGTGTAAATATTTTCAGTGGTCACTTTTTAAAACTTGAAAAACTGTTATTCCATAGATGTATTTGGTAGCAGAAAAATCTGAGAATGAAGTATGTAAACTTATACATACATGTATGTATGAAGTATTGTCAGGTAGCCTTTACATCCAGGGTAAAAAGTGCTTCAAACAATAGTAGTGTACATCATTTGCAGCTATTCAAAAAGTAACTGACAAAATTATAGTTGAAAAGCATACTTGGTTTAAAGATAGCAATGGCACTTACTCCCTGTGAAATTATTCTTTCTGGCATTGCTGTCATTTTGAAAAAAACATTAAACGAAGGTCATTTCCAAAGATGCGTCTAAAGACGCATTTTTTTCTGGAAATTTCCGTTAGTAGTTCGTTTTTAATTTGAAGAAGCCACGAATGGGTGAGCGCTAGCGTTGACACGACGCACACGCGCCATGTGTGCTGTTGCTATAACTCTTCCGTTCAGAGTGTGACATCGCGTAGCTGCAATTGGCTGAATGAGAACGTGTCCCTGACGCTGATTTTTGGTGCAATTCAAAACATGACTCAGCAACTTTTGAATTGAAACCGAGATCTTAGAATATTGTTTTTTCGGAATTTACAGCATTCACTGAGCTAAAACTTCACCAGATTAGTCATGTTAGTTGTTAAGCAGCTGTCTTTAGATTTTGAGCACTTTTTTTGCTTCAAACGAAAAAAATGCACAAATGACAAATGATGTACTCTACCTTTAAGGTTTGAGTAAATTTACTCCACCCACAAATAAACTGTTATTTCCTTTCTTTCTGGCTTCCTCATTTTCCTGAGGCAATCTATTGACTGCAAACACTGTTCCAAGAAAATAGAAGGAATATTTGGTGAAATTTGGATGTCCACATTGTAGGTCAAACATTGCATTCAGTTCCAACTGGTCAGAGCAGTGGAATCCCCATGAACAGCTGTGAAGTCTTCCCTGACTTTGTTTATTACAGCTATGTCATTCATAGCCTCAATGGCCGTCATGGCTAAGGCTTTGGCTACACGTATTGAGCTGGAGTGGGCAGCCTCCTCCCCTGCAGCCGCTGTGAATTCCGAGGTGTGGTTGACAACACCGCCCTCTACGTCGAAGGCTGGCACGATGCAGGGCACGACATGGGAGACGTTGCCGGCGTCGGAGGAGCCAACGGGCGTGGTCAGAAGATCGCATTTTGTTGTGAACTCCACACCCATGGACTCGGCGTGTTTTTGGTAAGACTTGGCCAAAGCGTCGTTGGAGAGAAGATTGGAGTAGGGGTGGTCGGTGAAGTTGAACTCGATCTCGCAGTGGGTGGCCTTGGCCGCCGCGACGAAGGCAGCATTTGCTCGCTGTTGGAGGAAGGCCATGTCAATGTGGTCCCTGGCCCGCAGGTAGAACTTCATCTCTGTGTTCTCAGGGATGATGTTTGGTTTGACGCCCCCACTGGTGATCACACCTGCAATGAAACGACAACCAATGTAAATCCAGCTTGAGATGCTCAGCTTAACTAAATATTTCAAGAGTTTAGCCGCAAGAGTCTGTGATTGGAAAGGAATGACCCACTGACGTAAATTGATTTAGCAGACAAAACAAAGCTACAAGTTAAATGTAGAGATAGCTCAAATGATCAATAAATGCCATTGTTGACTGAAGCACAACAATTTAAATCTATCCACATCATTTTACATAAGGCTTGATTCCCAATTAAGCCAAATTCAATATGGGTTTTGCCCTTCACCAACGTATTTCTTAAACACTGTGGTCCGAAGTGATTGTGAGAAAAAAAAATCACTCGGGCGGGACTCGAACTTACGACCTCCTGCTTACAAGTGCAGACATTTTAACACTCAACCGCTGAGCGTGCCGGGAATGGCTGGCTGGTTGCAATCTGATATAGCAACAGGTACTGCAACCAACTATTCATAAGATGGACTTTGCGACAGAGTGATGTAAATTCATCAACCTGAGGCAAATTCCATCTTGTGAAAAATAAGAAGCAAAAGGAATGTGCCATGTTTTTGCTGCACAGTGTTCATTCTAGAGCATTAAGGTTTCTCCCTGGCAAAAAAGTGCAGAGTTTGGCTAAACCCTTGTATTTTGGTTAGAAACCCTGCCCAACACGACGACAGGTTAGAAGCCTGCCCAATGTCACAAGATCCAAGGGTAAACAATTCTAACTGTCTAAATCCTAACCGTCAAACTGCCTGTAAGTCTGAGGTTGCCTATTTGAACACGATCAAACAATGACATCGTTCAATTGGTCTAGCTCTCATTGCCTGCAGCAAGGGGCCCCAGACGTTTACACCAGGGCCCAATTTCACGGCGCTGCTAAGCACAAACATTTGCTAGGCACAAAAAACGTCTGGCTTAAAAGCAGGTTACAAGCCAAAACTCCATGTAATTTTCATGCTAAGCAAACAACAGCTGAATACTAATCACAAGCAATATACATCACGTGGAGTTTTGGCTGGTAAACTGCTTTTATATTAAAGCCAGAATAATGTTTTGCTAAGCACATTTTTGTGCTTAGCAGCGCCGTGAAGTTGGCCCTGGGTCCACTGAGGTGCCCCTGGCAGGGTTTAGGGTTAGGGTTAATCCTTACCATGGATCTGCATGTGGGGTTTCAGCTGCTGCCGCATAACGGATATATTGTTATAGCACAGCACGGCCGCGTCCAGGGCGTTGCGGCCTTCCCAGGGCTGGGCTGAGGCGTGCGCCGTTTTCCCGTGGTACGACAACGTGACACGCATGATGGTCAGCATGGTGGGCTTGCTGATGTTGGCGCTGTAAGGTGTGACAGTCATGGCGAGGTCGATGTCCTTGAAGAAGTCCTGGTTGATTGCATCGATTTTGGTGCCGTTGCCTTCTTGGTCGGGGCATCCCAGGACAGTCACCTGGAGATAATTTGGAAATTAGAAAAATTGATTGAAGGGAATATAAATCATTTGCTTTTGCTGTAATTTTCAGAAATGGATGGAATTGGGGGGTTGGAAATATATAGCAAATATAGTTACATTGACTTTTTTGAGGTTTTGGGTTCGAAAATGCTATAAAAACCAAGAAAGACAATCATTTTCCTGTAGTCTGGTTCCCTGACTCCATATTAGAAGAAACAGAGCAGTTTACATACATTGGGAATTGTAAGGTCAGGGAACCAGTCTAGCTGGCTCGTACCCGTTCATAGGTTTGTAATCGATTGCAAACAAGTGCGATGGTCAATTGGGGCCAGTATTTGAAAAAAAAACACAGTTTTTTCCAACGCAGATGGGCCGATCAGCGTTGGAAATTGATACAAAAATACCACTTTTCTTGAAAATGACAGTATACCAGGTGCCATGATTTTACAGGATGCTTTACACTGTCATTCACTAACAGTCCAGCAAGGTATTTCGAAATGATTTTGTAGTTTTACTTTTTGATGTTTGCAATGAATCTTTTCTGTTGAACATATTTTGTGCAATTTTCTACTCCTCCTAAATGTATGAAACCTATTTGATATCCCTTTTTGGTTAATTTTATTGAAAAAGGCACTTTTTGAAACATTACAAATTTCCCATGCGTTTTCTGACAAATGAGGGCGCTATTGCTGTGATGTCATTTCAGGAAGACACTGTTCACTTTAGGGGTTTTCTGTTCAAATTGCAAACCCAAAATTTGCTCATTGAAAACATTTGAGAGAAAACTTTGCTCACTGGCTTTAACTGAAACAATGAATCACCAAAAGGAATCAAAAATTTACGCCAGCAAATTATCTAAAATTTTGACAAATTTTTTTACTGAAATACATAACATTGAAGTTTCCGCCTGTAATGACATCACACTTTTAGTCATGAATATGGAAATTTACATTAGCATTAAAACCAAAAAAAAGTACCAAAATGCCCTTTAAAAATGACAAAATGAAAATTGAAAGTATGGTTAAATAGGACACAAAGGTGCATTTTCAAAATGTTTGGGATAATCAAAAAATGTATTTGAAACCTTGTTCAACCCTGCTATTTGTAAACCATATCATATTTCTTTCCTTTGAAATTTTGGAAAGAATTCCATACCTGGACATCACTTGACACCCTGTGTACAAACCCTATGAGACTGGTGTGAAAAATTCTTATTTTAAGTGTTTTCTCAGTAAGGCCCCACAACAACAAAAATAGTCGGTCTCTGGTCAGACTGAAGTTCCGGAATTGATGCGGCGACGCGGTTCTTGGGGTTTTTTTGTGGCTTTTTTTGTTTGTTTCAAGCTTGAATTGCACAGACAAGGTGGGTACTATGCTTTTTTTGTGTCCTCACTATACATTGGTGTCCTCCATAATTTGCCTTGGTGCCCTTTATCATTTTCCTTGGTACAATTTCCCCATTCCTTGGTGCTCCTTGGTACAAAAATTTGAGGAAGTGCGGCAATAGAGGGCGCTGTTGTAGCTTCCGTGTTAATTTGAAGAAAAAAAAGGTTGACGCGCATGATTAAAATCAACGCATGCGCTGATCAGAGAACGAGTATTTTTTTTTGGGGGGGGGGCCTAAATGCTTCAATATTTTCCCTGCTAAAGTTGAATTTTTAAGGACATGTTATCGCTTTCTGATGGCTGTTAGTAACTGCAGGGAAAAATTAGTGCTGTCCATGTACGGAATCCTTTCCAAATTCTTTATGGAAAAATATATTAGGGTGGTTGTTGTCGTATGCGTTCAGCACGCTCTCTCCGCCAGCCACTCCAGGGCAGCTTCCTCGCAGTTGTGTAGGGCTTCGATTCCTCTGTCTAGTCTGGTAATGGGACAGTCATTCACTATGTGATTAATTGTTTGAATCTCTCCACAATCACAGCTTGGAGATTGTGGAGAGATTCAAACAATGAATAATATAGACATTGTATGGCTGATTGTGACAAACAATTTACATTCATTTTCATAAACACCTGAGCAGCACCCTTTTTTGTCATGGTGGAAAATTTTCCCCCACGTGGTGACATTTGCTTGTTGCATCCATGATCATGCTGGAAACACGTGAAATCACTTTCCACATTCAACCCTCTACTGAGTTGAGGTCACCTTCAGTGCATTGTGAGTCCACACGACAGCTCGTGAATACTGTATTCAGAGCTATGTGTGTATGCAATGGTACAAAAGGAACTAGTTCACAAAAGGCAGGATGTGAATTGAAAATTAGCAGACCGCAAATCTGACCTCAGCCCAAACGTTCCCGCTAAATTTCAAAGATGAAGCAAATGCACAAAGCACGACTGCATGTGTGCTGCAGTGCAGTTTCATTTGTAATCAATGAGTGGTTCAGCGCAAATAATTGGGATGATAGAATTTTGACAAAGCAGTATTTTTCCAAGCAAATGCTTTTTAAACAATTGAATTATGCTGAAATTACTACAGTACAGCTAGATATATGCTACAATACATGACTAGTCATGATATTAACTATTGTTATTGGGTTGCCCCACTAGTAAGAAAGTAAATCAGTTATCACTTTTGAGATTACAAACACAGCAGAACATGCAGAATAACAATAATCTGACAAAATTTGCAACGGAAAAAATCCATACGCCTACTGGGCCACCACTCATATTCCTTAATATGACCTGAAAAGTACCAAAAGTTGTAAATCTGATGAAGAAACACTGTTCAAGGAGTGCAAAAATTCTTTGATAATAATACTTTAAAATGTTCTGTCATGGCCCATAGACTTTGTGCAGGAGCTCTGAGTGGTGGCCCGGTATGGATTTTTTTCCTCAGATGATATCACATGTATCACAATAATTATAAAATATATATTTCAATAAACACATTTTTGGGAGGAGGGCTAGTTTGTCCTTGCTGCCTTTAATATTATGATTCATGACATTACCAAATCATGTTCATATGTTTTTAGTTTAACAACAGAAATACACGTACTCCTAGAACTATGAGGCTCCGCGGAGCCTCAGTTCTAGGAGTAGCCTCGTACAGAAAAATTAGCTTCGCCAAAATTTCCCCCCGAATTTGGTTTTTACACTTTTAGGCCGACCTAAAATTTAAGTTTTACACACCTTTCCCAGTCGTTTGCCGTTGCTGTTCTTCTCGATCACCGCCTTGATTCCCAAAGCGGCAGCCACAGTGGCCTCAGCGATGAGATTCCTGCCCGATGCATGACCCAGCTCCGGCAAAGCATCGTACTCGCACAGCAGACAGACGTGGAGTTTGCCCGTGGACTCCCGGTCCACCGCACCAAACGACGCGCGGAAGCCCGTCGGGGCGATGTACTGCTCCTCCACCTCGAAACCACGCTCCCGTAAGAACGACGTCAACAGTCGGTGAGCGTGGAACTCCTGGCGGCCCAGCTCGGGATTCCGCCAGATTTCGTGGCCCAGGTCCCACAGCTGCTTTTCCTGGTCATCGATGGACTGTTTGGCGTTTTCGAAATAAACCTCCATGATTTCTTCGGTACTTTCAGACCAAAAAATCGCCAAATGTCTTCACCGCACTGCTGACAAGTTCAGTTGCACTGCATATAGCGCTGTCAACTCAATCCCCGCGTAATTTTCCATTCACGCGCGATATTACAGAGTCGACTTGATGAGTAGTCGCATGACATAACCATTTAGTATAGCACGCCAATTCTACCATATCTGATGGGATTCTCCCATAGAGCTTAAAGCTTTTACAAAGATTTTTCCTTCTGATGCAGTATCCACATCACCTTTATCATTTATTATGGCTCAAAATAAATTAAAATGGACAGGTGTTGATCAGTACAATGTCAAAAAGATGAATAATTAAACTGCAAGGTTGTCATGCTGAATCTTTGCTGCATTTGCTCTCCATACAAATTCAGAAACAGGATCCACGTGCATGTTGCAGGTGGAACGTACCATAACAAGTGGTGGGGTCCGGCCACGTAATGAACAATCGGCTCACCTATGATTTTGTACCATGTATTACAATCTAACCACCCTAAGATAATAGAATGGTCCTCATTGGGTATTGATATAAAATAATATATAAAGTTCGAAGAGTAGCGCTCTATTCAAAGTTGAAAAAAAGAGCCTTGTGTACGTGATCTGTTAATGTACACGGTATCCTCTAGAGACGCATGTGCAGCCCCAGGGAACAAAAGATTGTACATGAATTTCAGTATGGGTGTACAACCCAGATATATAGTTTATAGCTCCATGATCTATTGAAAATGAAGCTTGTGAATTATGAAGAGAATGACTGGCGAAGCTTAGGCGACCATGGGCGTCAATGGGGGGGGGGGGGGGGGACCAAGTCCCCCACTTTTTTTGGGGGGGGGGATATCATATCGTTCCCCCCCCCCTACTGTTTTCGTCCCCCAATAAAAATTGTAGCCAACTTAATGGTTCTATATCTCAGAATAGCTGATTCAATTACTTCAAACTCAAAAATAATATAAAAAGATGATCTTTTGCTCACCAAAAAAATAGCTCCATTGTTTAAGTGGTCAGAAATTGCCTCAGATCGCACCACGGAGCGTCTATCTAGACCCCACGCCGTTATGGCTTAGCGCTAGCTTCGCACTCGCATTAGTGATGATCAAGGTATGTCCCCCCCCCCCCCACACACACACACACTTTTGAGAAGAGATTGACGCCCTTGAAGGCGACACACGTTTAGAAGGTTCTAGTCAACCAGTGAAAACTTCCATCTGAAGATCTTGACATAATGATTGATAATCGATTAATTGAGTGACGAACAGCGGTTAGCTGTAAGAAGTGAGATAAGCACAGTAAATACATTTCTATTGAATAAAATTCCATATTTAAAAGTTCTAAACAACACAAATATTGTAGTCCACACATCTGGATTTAACTCGTGAAACTATGGACAGATTGAAGGTCTCAAGCTTTTTTTCCTGAATAAAGTCACGAAATGGATATAATAATGCCTCATGAAACTTGTGTCCATTTACAAGTGATTTATATTTCATTCACTTACTCATCTGTGCTTGATAACTTTGATCTTCAATTAATTTATTGAACTGTGTCATTTTAGACTTTTTCCAATCAGTGCAAATATAAACTGTAAGTAGCGGTCATTTTGAGGTTTGAAATGGCTCCAGTTTGAGAGTACTGTCAAGGAGGTCATCATTGTATTCAGGATACAGTAAAAAAGATCAAAACATAAATGTCTCAAAAGCCGATGGATTATTTTGCCAATTTACATGTGTACAATATGTAAGATAAATGTTTAAATGGCTGCCATTTGGAAATTCAACATGGCAACCCCAGGGGCGTTGCAAAAATTGGACTATTTTGCGGGTTTTTTTGGACTTGTGGAGGCATCCATAAATTAATTAGGCCCTATGTGATCCTGAGAGTTTCAAAGAATAAATGTGTGCCTGAGTGCATATTGGCTCCCGCAAGCCTAATTTTGGAATATGCCCCTTTTTATGAAAAAAAGTGAGACAAAACCCCAAAGAGGAACAGTTTCTTTGATGATTGACAGGTAAACATTCTGTCGACCCGGTTAACTGTACTGGATGGAAACAAAAAAACCCAAACACCAAAACAACACCAAAACAAAAACAAACAAAAAACGCTGCAGGTTGATTTTTTGTTAATGACAGTTCCCTCCGCTTTTTTAAATGTGACCCAACCCCCAAAGAGGCAAAAATCTGGATTTTTTCCTCCTCATGTAGCTCTTGGATGAGCTGTCCAAACGCTTCAAAGAAAAGAGAAGTTATCTGAATCATATTTTTGGCACACGAAGCCCCCACATGGCCCCGTCCATAAATGGGTCAGAAAAATGGCATCAACTGGTTTTGTACTTCTTGATATATCTATTAGTGATCCTGAGAGTTTCAAAGAAAATGCATATAATGAGATGTTTAATTCGGACATTTTTAAGTAATTTGAACTGGTAACATGCAATATTCCTTACGTTACTAATTTCCAGGCTTAGAAAGTACAAGCCGGCAACCCAGTCGGTAGAGTGACGTTCTTCGATCATCAATCTTGGGGTCGGAGGTTCGTCTGCGCCAAGGTTATCAACAACGACATTTTTTCCGTCAGAGCGAAGGCGGTGGGTTGGGAACTGACGATGACACGTTACTTTTGACGTCACCACAATTTGCAATCGGAGATATTATAAATTCCCTGCTTGGTAAGTTCCGGCCGGTAGCTCAGTCAGTAGAGTGACGTTCTTCAATCGTCAGTCGTGGGGTTGGAGGTTTGAGCCCCAGCATGCATGTCTCTTCCGACATTTATTTTTTCTTTTTTTCGTCAGAGCGAAGGGAATGGGGTGGAGAACTGACGACGACACGTGACTTTTGACGCCACCCTTTGCAATCGGAGCTTTATTAAATATTCCAACTTTGGTAAGTGCGAGCCGCCAGCCCAGTCAGTAGATTGACGTTAATTATTCGATCGTCAGTCTTGGGGTTGGAGGTTCGAGCCCCAGCATGTCTCTTTGGACATCTATTTTTTTCGTCAGGGGGTGGGCTGGAGCACTGACGACGACACGTGACTTTTGACGTCACCACCCATTGCAATCGGAGGTATATATATATTATAAATTCCCTGTTTGGTAAGTTCTGGCCGGTAGCTCATAGAGTAACGTTCTTCGATCGTCAGTCGTGGGTTGTTTTTTTTCGTCAGAGCGAAGGGGTGGGCTGGAGGACTGAAGACGACACGTGACTTTTAACGTCACCACCCTTTGTAATCAGAGGTATATATTATAAATTCCATGCTTGGTGAGTGCGAGCCGGTAGCTCAGTCAGTAGAGTAACGTTCTCCGATCGTCAGTCGTGGGGTTGGACGTTCGAGCCCCAGCATGCATGTCTCTTTGGACATTTATATGTATTTTCGTCAGGGGGTGGGCTGGAGGGCTGGAGGGCTGACGATGACACGTGACCTTTGACGTCACCACCCTTTGCAATTGGATAAATTCCCTGCTTGGTAAGTGCAGGCCGTTCGCTCAGACAATGGAGTGACGTTCTTCGATCGTCAGTCGTGGGGTTGGAGGTTCGAGCCCCAGCATGTGTCTTTGGACATTTTTTTTTTTCGTCAGGGGGTGGGGTGGAGGACTGAAGACGACACGTGACCTTTAGGGGGTACGAAGTTACAAACAAACTTTGCAGGGCGGGGGTACGAGAAAAAAAAAATAGCGCCCTCGACCGATTCAAACTGCGCAGCGAGTGCCGAGTGGTGGCAACCTCGTACCCAGGGTACGGTACGAGCGCCCTCGACCGATTCAAGCTACTGCGCAGCGAGTGCCGAGTGGTGGCGCATCACATCTGATAGCGCCCTCTGTCTGGCAAATGCATTACATCAGGGTCTTCCCCTGTGGGGAAATTTTTTTGGAGTAGATTTTTGGCTTATATTTAGTAAAACAGTTGTTTTCCGTATTCAGGTGAGTTTCTTCGAAATATCAAGATTTTGGGTCATGAACACTGTAAGAGATTGATGGGAAAGCATATAGGGAAAGGGAATGTTGCATCCTGACGCCACTTCAGCAGTTGTGTACAAAATCTATGGAGAGTCTAGACTAGAAAAAAGTAGAATAATTTCTAAGAAAAGTATTTTATTAACAAAATTAGAAATGTTTCCCAGTCCCATAGGCCCAGATTCATGTCATTTCAAAATGTTTGCAAATGACTGACCTTAATTGAGATGATATATGAAGAAAAAATGGCGTCACTCGGGTTGCAGCATTCTTTCCACGTTTTAGTTTTAGTTTTACCCCTCTAACATGTCTAATGTCATGAATGTGTTACAAGTTCCGTTCATTAAATCAAAACTTGTAACTCTTTCCACAAATTGATGCTTGCTGATATTTGAACATGGTATCTTATAAATTTAGTGAACTGTTTATTCCAAACACATAAACGCATCTCCTGCTTGTTGTATCATCGCCAAATGTGATGCGATCAAGCTAGATGAGTCGTTTGTCGGGAATTTTTATTTGGAGATGCAGGCCAAAAGAGGGCCACTTCATCACATCACTTACTCATAGTTAATGTCATCTCTTGGTTTTCCAACTTTCATAATTTTGAACTAAAGATGGTATCAGCATGCAGTTTTCACAGCAGTGATGCTGAGATGGTGCTCTTTTTAATCTGTTATAAAACATTTTTTGACCAGGGTCAACAAACGACTCGTGTAGCTTGATAGCATCACAAATGTTTTATTGAGATGTTATTATTAAGTCCCAAAACATAACAGAGTCTTTTCATTCTCTTAAAATAGGAACAGGATCCTAAACTACACCATTACCACAACTGCAGACTGTATTTTCCTATAAAAATAATCATGCAGAGCAAAAGCAGGCAAATAATAAAAGAAGACCATTCTTATTTCAATACGGATTTCAAAAACATCAGTCACATTGGGACTCGAACTCGATCCGCGTTGCTTGTTTGATGGGTGCACTATCCACTTGGCCTCACGTTTGCTTGACGAAATATGGTAATTTAATATCTTAAATATAGTGTAGACCTGCTGGTACCCATGCATTAGGGTGCCATATGATCTGCCGACTTAACATGCTTAAAAACGGAGAAAAATGCGAGACCGGTTTACAGCTAAATGAACACTTGGTACATGATTCCCTTCACAAATTTTCCAAACCTTTAGACATTTCAGATCATCAATTCGACATTTATTTTCACATTGACATCCTCGGTAACAATTCAGACAGAAAACAGTATATATATGTATAAACAAAACATTCTTCAGAGACAGTATGTAATTAAGTGTAAATATTAAATGATGTCAACATAAAGGGAAAAGGTGAAGCACTGCTTTTGTACCTTTCCCTGGGACAGGACAAAACTTAAATAACTACAAACGGACTAAGATATTGGCACATAGCTTAAAACATGACAATTGGAACTTGGCATCATCCTATTGTTACATATAATGTGGTCTATCTCAACTGAAAACCCAATGTAGATTGAATTGTGGAAAATATGGAATGAATGAATGAAAGGTTTTATCACATTTGTTTTTATCATGTGGACATCTGTCATTTTTGGCCACGACCTATTACCTTGCCATTAGACAAGTAATGAAATAATCTAATTTCATTAAAAATATAAAACTGAGGAAAATCTGAACTGAAAATTACAAACTCAAATTTAAAATAGATGCAAAATGTGAGAACTCTTTTTTTCAGTTTACCATGGTTTGAACTACGAAACTTCGACTTCAACAGCTGTGTATAAAAACATTAAGAATTCCCAAAATTTAAACTCCAACACTTTCTGCATTTTGTTTGTATTTGTTTTGATAATAGGTCTAGGTTTAGGTTTTTTCTGTTCTTCTTTTTTCACGTACAGATGAGGAAAATTAAACTACGTACATGCGGCCTCCTTAATTAGAGATGTTCTCTGCAAGCAACATGGCAGGTCGCAACAGTGGCAGCAGTGCCAGCAGAAATGTAACAAATACTGGCAGAAACACTGCAGCAACAAGCACAGCAGCAACAGGCAGAGTTACCAGAAGTAAAGCAGCAGCACCTTCAGCTGCTGCGCATTATGGTCGGAGTGACCAGGGAGGTGGATATACGATGACTGGGGAGGCTTTAGCAGCCACTGGTAAAGGGTCTTCAGCTACTGGGCCAGGCAGTGGCAGAGATGCTAGAGCCACTGGCTCAACAGCCCTGGCCACCCAAGGAGGCACAAGGAATGTTACCTCAACACTAACAAACATGCCGTCTCGTTTGTATACAACTACTGCCACCATCTCTGAACCCTCTACACCGGCTGAACCAACATGCTTCATTCTTCTTGTGGACAAAGAAGTACAAATCTCGGGGAGCGACTCCCTTCTATATCAGCGTCATGCACCTTCTTCCAAGAGAATTCTCAAAGGCTCCTTGCTTCAAGGTCATGAGGTGCCGCCAGCTGGAGGCCAGAGTTATGGAGACGTAGTCAAAGGCAGTAAGAGGGCAGATGCGAAACGATATGTAGTCAAACCGCTCAGTGGGGACATGCAGTTTCAATGCAGCAGCTCAGAAATCGCCCGAATCACAGGTGCAGAGAGGGAGCTTCTGCGAGCCCTTTCCACAGACTCACAACGCTTGAATATTTACCAGGATAGAGACCTCATACAGTATGCACTCGGCCTGAAGGAAGGGTCGCCGGTGATTGTGAGACATAGAAACGACAGCACCTCACCCTATGAGGAAGTTGCTGCCATCGTTCGGTACATCGGACCGTTGTCTGAAACTGAGATGGGAACACAATTTGGTTTGGAACTGATAGTAAGTCCATTATGTCCCTATCAAGTCGTTTTATTGTTTGTAACAAGTATTCTTTCAAACCCTTGCTTACTTCCGTAAGTCACAACTCTCAATTCAAAGATAATTGAAGAGTTATTGCCAAGCTTTTTTGTATGAAACTTTAAATTTGTGTAATTACTGAGAATGCACATGTAATTGACAGAACCAATATGAAGGAAATCTGATGCTTTGCATTCACCTCTGTTGATGATATGTTTTATGGTCATATCAAAAAGATATCAAACAAAATTGCACTTCAGTCTCATCAAATCCGGGTTTCCATTATTAAGTTTGTATATTTGTCAATTTGCAGTAGGTAAGTGTATAGTTTTTTCCCCAAGACTTCATGTTTCACGTAGATGAACTGCCAAACCGAAGTAAAATTCGCTGAACATAACACTCCAAAATGAAATCCACGTAGGCCTACATGTACGTGCAGTCATTCAGTAATGGCAGCAATCATGGATGAGCTAGCAACTAGCATGGTTGATCATTGACTGAGCAACAATGTGGCAATGTGCACTGAGCGCTCACTTTCAGCACTAGTTTCACTCACATATGTTAACATTATTGACATGATTATTTATGGATTGTTGCGTAGAAACTAAGATCAGCAGAGAGCCATTTTACCCCAGTAAGGCACGTTTTCCTTTCCCTTTATGTGTTTAACGTCTTGCAACAAAACAGTCCAACACTTCATAACTTTTCAGACATTTTATGGCTGATTTTAAATATCTTCTCTATGTGGTCATACTTTCAGGATAATGCTTACAGAGGCCAAGGAACGTCAGATGGGGTCTTTGGAAAGTACCGTTACTTCCAGACAGATCCTGATTGTGCCCTCTTTGTACCAATCAGCAAACTGGTCCCACGGCCCACATCGCAGGAAACCACCTATTTGTACGAGAACGTCTCACTACAAAAACAGGAGCTGCCCAATCAGCCATCAGAACTGACGAGTGTCGGTGATATTAAAAAGGGGACAACTGTATACTTGCAAGTCGGTAACGGCACACGAAGGGGAAGAGTGGTGTACATGACTGTCCCGCATAAGGAGACCGAGCCTTATGCTGTCGTGGAAATGGTATGTTCCAGTGTTGTGGTACTTGTACTCGGAACTCTTGACCTACCATGGCCGTATTAAATTTATCGATACTTTCAGTTTAAAATGGTTGATTGGCTTGCGGAGAAATTGAAGTTTCTTGATTTTCCTCTGTGCATGTCTGGATAAACACATTTAACAGCTAGCCGTGAGTGGGTCTGTATATTGGTCCGACTGGGCCTGGGCTCATACTCGTACTCGGAAGTACATGCACAAGTACTAGTACTCTGAGACCTGTACTTGTACTCAAAAGTACAAGTACTCGTACTCGGTTACCTAAGTACTCGGCATTACTCTGGTACATTCACGTATATTTGTATATATGCACAGTTTTTTTCCATGAAGTTTTAAGCAATTTACGCATTAATTTTTTTTTCAACCGTAAGCAGAAGAAAAAGTCAACTTAACACGTAAATGGAGATAAGAGTGAAAATAAATCGTAGACATAAAATGAAATTGGAAGAAACAAGACCCAACCACACAATTGAAAATTAATTACCAGTCATAGGTAGCCTTGGCTTGTTGATTGTAGATACTGAAATTGAACTTTGGATCAAAAGTAAATATCAGGTAAACATTAACCCTAACCCTTGGGTATTTGTACTAGAGAGTATGCTGAATCCACCAAAATCCATCATTTTTTTTCATGCCAAAAAATGCTGGTGTCCTGAGTCCATCAGAATTTCCCCGTGTAGTACATACATGTATGTATACCCCATACACACCAAACATATAGCCAAAGAGTTAAACTGTCGAGATTCTGAATCCATGAAGTCCCCCAACTGCTTCATATGGAGGTATCCTGAATCCATCAAATCCTGCAGTGCCGCTATGTTTACTGTCTGAATCCATCAAAATCTCCCAATTTGTTCAATATGGAGGTATCCTGATTCCGCCGAAATACTCCAAAACAGGCTATGGATTTTAATGACTTCATGAATTCAAAGACCTTATGCAATATGGCGCAGTTAAAGGGAATGGTTATTGCGTGGATAGTAAACATTTTGCACAATCGTTGATACTGAATAAATATTCCAAATAATACCCTCTGGGACACCTGTATTTCATAAGGTCTATTAGGGAACAAAACAGTATTCTCTACATAAAAATAGTAAAAGAAAAATATTTATGAATACACAATGTACTTTTTCCGTGTATTATTAATGACACTTCTAAACGTAACATGAAGGCCGTTTGATTTCACTATTTTAATCAAAGGTGAAATGAAAAAAGAGATGTTTTAATTTTGACCCAAGCTTAATATTAAAGAACTTCATTGTTTCTTGTACATGTTGTGTAATAAAACATGTATGTTTTTCTTTGTATTTTTTAAAGCCCAAACAAGATGGCCCAATGTGGAATGGAATGCATAAGGGGTATTATGTGTACACTCCTAGAAATGATGTCTTCACAACGTTTGTACCGGTCAACAATTTGACAACACGTGCCCCTGAAGGTAAGTTTTTACGGAAATCATTAAAATGAGCCTCATTAAGGCTGGTCCTAGAGGGTCAGCCTAGTGTCCTCTTGTTACCTGACTCACTGATTGACTGACTCACTGTTGACTGTTGCTTGTGGGCCGGGCAGTTCTGTTGTATAGGATTACCCCCATAATGCCAATGAATGGGCTGAAACCGGCCCATTGTGTAGACCAAATGCGTGAAAAGACTTGCATTGAGTAGAAATTCCTGAATCAATTGAATACAAGTTTGTGCACTTTGGGACCTGCTTTACTAGGTTGCCTTGTCTTTTTCTACAATATTTCTAAAAGTCCTGGTAAAAGAAGCCACTGATACCATATTTGCTCTGACTGAGCCAAGTTTTCTTCTAGTCCGAAGACTTGTGACTTATATTACACTTTTCCAAAATGTTTACTTTCACTTGCTCTCTCACATAAAGGAACGAATCTGTCTATCCAGTCAGATTTCACTCAAGTGACTGGGTTTGATTGTTAGAATTGCTAAGCCTACATGAGGGAGATAGACTGGCTGTGGTTGTTGATGTTACTTGATGCTGCCATGCTTTGACTCCAGGCGATTGGTATGCCAGCTTTAAATGTACCGATTGCCTGCTGAATGTTGACTGAATCTGACTAAGTCATACAACTGTATACGAATGTTGCTTAATTTGGTGACTAGGTAGCTTGTGTGTAAGGCAATGCTAAGAAAATGAACTGACTATTTGACTGTCTGTAAATATCCAACCAGAAACCCAAACCCTTCCATTTAACACAGTACGACAGGTGTAAAAGTCTGTGGGACCTTGCTTCATTGGGCCATCAATACCAAGTATAAAAGGCCAGTTCTGATTCAATGAGATCTAGTCCCATTGAACAATGCCACAGTTGCATTCTGCTGCAGTTGGCAACTACAGACTCTGAGGCAGTTTGGCCTATGGAATAATTGACTTGTTGGATCTTGTTACACTGTGTGTTGTTGCATTAGGCAGGGTTTCTATACAAAAGTACAGTGGACATTGTTTTTTGTCTGATGCTAGAATACCAGGATTTATACACAAAGGAGCCATCCCCAAATCTGCCATCGAAGGCGAAAAACAAGGGAAAGAAATCCTCAGAGCCATACTGGGCAGCCAACAACAAGCAACACAAGACACCTTCTCCGTACGGTAGCAGCGAGAAGCTTGATAAGGGAAGCCACAAGCCATCTGGTGGCAGACGTGATGTGAGCGATAACTATAACCCAGGTCAGTGAGACATCACCCAGGTGAAAATTCCACTCAAAACTAGTTCAACTGGTTCAACTGGTTTCAACTGGACTAGTTGAATTGGCAGTTGATGACTGGTTTCAACTAGTTTTACTGGTTTTGAAATGGTACAACCTGGTTTTGAACCAGTTAAACCAGTTCAAAACCTGGTAAACTAGTTTAAAACTAGGTAAACTAGGTCAAAGCAATCACCAATTTCCAATGAAACTGGTTTGAACTGTAATGGTAAAAAAGGAAATTATTTAACTTGCTATTTTTTACCCAGAATCGTTCTTTGAAGCCAACAACAAGCCCCGCAAGACACGCTCTCCGTATGCCAGTAGCGAGAAGCTTGATAAAGGAAGCCACAAGCCATCTGGTGGCAAACGTGATGTGAGCGATAACTATAACCCAGGTCAGTGAAACATCACCCAGGTGAAAATTCAACTCAAAACTAGTTCAACTGGTTCAATTGGTTTTAATTGGACCAGATGAATCGGCAATTGATGGCTGGTTTTGAAATAGTTTTACTGGTTTGTTCAAAACCAGGTAAACCAGTTTAAAACTAGGTAAACCAGTTCAAAAGCAGTCACCAATTTCCAGTACAGCTGGTTTCAACTGGAATTTTTGCCACGGCAAGGAATTTTTTAACTTGGCTTTTGTTTTTGCCCAGGGCCTTTGGAGAACCGTTTTAAGGGTCAGTACAGGGCATGCATGGTAACAGGATTGTGTGCGGGTCTAAAAATACCCAAAACAGGTCTTGGTTCAATAGGCTAGTTTTCACTGCTCGCTTACAGTATTCACGTACAAGAAGTTTCACCTCTCTACGGGTTCCTTCATGCTTGCTGGTACCACAGGCCCTTTTAAAGAATCCTTGGTTTCATTACCGGAATAACAACAACAATATAACATTGTCAAGCACTTTTCACTCAGGTTATCAAATGGAATATCAGTGGGACACATTATGGTGGAAGTTATCATCCCTGAAAGACTTTACTCTTTACTTGCTTACGGAAATGTATCTTCCATTGCCCAGCGTACAAATATCTTTCACACATTCTTCATGTTTTTGTATCATTTTCAGCATCCCACGCACACAAGACATTTAGTCGTCAGGATACATCAGAAGACCTCCAATTTGCCTCGGGCCACTACAGCGAGGGAAGTAAATCCAAACACGACAGCTTGGTTGGCATCATGAAGGGGAAATATGACAAGTTCAAAAACAAATTGAACAATGGGAGCAAAGATGAGGAAACTTCCAGATCCTCCTGGTTCACGGACACAAGTGAGTCATGTATCATGTGAACTCAGATTGGGAACACTAGATGTCTCTGTAAGAGCATCATTGGGAGCTGTAGTGTGCTCGGTACCTGGCGTTGTAGTCAAGTCCATCAGATAGTCTCACAAGTCCTGCACAAGTCCTGCAATCTCAAGTCAGGTCACAAGCTGTTCGAGTGAATTATGACAAAAGCATTCTTCTGTTATTGTTCAAGTTCATCCCCTGCTAACTATGACTGGACCTGTGAAAGAATTTGGGATTAACTTTTGACAGACTTGTAATGGACTTGACTACAATACAGCAACTGCAGAGAGACACTTGACATGCAGGATTTATGGGAAACCACTTTTGTTGACTTGTACTTCTGTTTTCTTGAAACTCAAACTTCACATCCGGGTCACTGAGATTTTTGTAGACCAACTTGCAGGGTTCACATGAGACCATGTTTTACATCAGAATGTGCACAAACATTTTTGCACATCCATGGGTACTGTTTAAATAATTAAGGCATAAACTCAATTACAATCAGCTGCTCTATTCATAATTTTTTTACAGAAGCAGATTTTCTTGAGGAGGACCTGGTTAAAGAAGTCGTTAACAAAATTTACAAGGACTGGAGGACAGTTGGCTATTGTCTGTATCTGACCAAAGAAGAAATAAGCAGAATTGAGGCAAAGTGTCCAATGGAGAAAGACCGCACAGCAGAAATGCTGAGAGCCTGGCAGAGGAAAGGAACTGGATATGATAATATTACCCGACTGGCTGAGGCTTGTCGGAGATGTAACTTAAGTGAACTTGCCAATGAGTTGGAACAAGGTAATTAATACCCTAACAATCACCACCTTCCTTTTTGAGCCCGTGGGAGGACAGGTACTGTTAAAATCTAGACAAAGCTCCTTGAGGTTGGGTTGAGATGAGCCTCTGTTCTGATGATGTCACACTTTGTTTACATATGTACTTTTTTATTGAAGCCTGGTGGAGGCCTGAGGGTTCGTACCTCCTTAAAAAAAGCGCACTTGTAAACAAAGTGTGATGTCGTCAGTACAGAGGCTTATTCCTTCACCAAAGTGTCAAAAGAAAATTTGAATTTTTTTTGGGGGGGGGGGGATCAATACGGGCGATTCCCAATAGTGCGCCTCCAAGAGTTTGCAATGCGTTGGCCAATCACAATGCGCAAAATTTGTCGACCCAATGCGCGTTTGGAAAAGGTCAACTGATTTCGCGCATTGTGATTGGCCAACGCGTTGCAAACTCTTGGAGGCGCACTATTGGGAATCGCCCGTATTACCTGGTTTACAGGTATGGATACACATGATAAAGTAAGAAAACCAAGTGACTGCAAAAGTCAATCGATGACTTGTATGGGAAGTCGCTTCAAATTGATTCAAACATCCACCCTAATTTGAATATTAGGAAGAATTTTGATTTGCGTGAACACCTGTCTGAAACGGTCTGAAAGCTTTGCTTAAAATAATTTTGATTTTGTTGTGAGCGGTCAAAACAAGTGGTGGCATTTAAACTCTGATAAATAAATCTCAACAGGCTTGGATGAGACATTACTGTTTAAGATAGCCAGTGGCATACCCCAAGGGAAAGCCCGACCTTTTGGCACGTTCCTGAATTTCTCTGAAGAAGAAATGGATCTGTTTGAGGCTGAGACACCACACACGCTGCCCCGTGTGCGCTTCATGCTGGCCAAATGGCGGACCAGGCAGTCTCATAACTCAGACAAGATCATGCTGCTGAGTAACGCACTGCAGACCTGTGGGCTCAGGCAGTTGGCGCTGGAGGTTGCTAGAGGTGAGCTAGAATGAAAACAAAAATATATTAAACCTTTCCATAGATTGATATTGAAGATTTACTGCTATTTATTAGTTTGGTGGCCCCTAAACTAGATGTCCCCAGCCCCGTTGGATTTGGCAGTTGAGACTAGTAGCAAAATGCCTTGTATAATGCTGCCCTCTTTTTTTGCGCTCCATTTAAGGCCTGGATGACGACATCATGCTCTCGTTTGCCGTCCAAATCGGCCACAACTGGAAGATTCTTGCCACAATGCTGCGTCTAGACGTCGAAGACATCCAGCAGTTGGAGGATTTCTCTGCGGACAAGCAGCCCTATCAGATGCTGATGTTGTGGCGGAGGAGACAGAATCGCAGGGTGGATGTGCTGGGTGCTCTGGCCAAGGGACTACGGGAGAGTGGGCTCCCTGATCTAGCATACGGCCTGGTGCAAGGTACATGCTTATGGGCTCCCTGCTTGAACAAGAGAAAGAACTTTATTTCCACTTTCGAGGGCCCGAAGTAGCTCAACTTATTTTATTCTGAATGTGCACATAGCTATTGCGTTTTTATGACAGCATCAGGCCTCATCAGTAATGGGTTCAAATGTCTCTCCCAGTGGTCTCCTCAACTCTCTATTTCTTACCATTGAGGGTGGTAATTGTGCACGGAGACCATGTAATGCTCAATGAAGTAGTTGTAGACTTGAGGTGATTATGATGATCACAAGAAGTCATAAGTTCATCACAAGTCAATCACTAGCCCTCCAGTCCCAAGTCAAGTTGCAGCTGCAACTAAGGCGTTCCTTTGTTATTGCACAGGTCCTGTCGCTGCCAGACTTGTGAATTGACTTTAGATTTACTTGTGTCTGGACTTGTCATCAGAGTTGTGATGGACCTGACTACAACACAGATCATATAAACTTACACATTCATATTATTAACTTTCCACCTGAAGCAAGTAAAGAAGGCAGCATCTTAGTATTTTGCAATTAGTGTCTGTAGGATTTAGAATCTGGGGGATTTGATTGCAACAGACTTCTTGTGATGGACTTTACTTCAATACTGTTGAGTCTGTTTTAACATCTTTACCATGTAAACCACATAAACCACAAATTGGCTTTGTTTTTTTGTTTATGTGATGTGGCAGGTGTCACTGATGAAATGCTCTACAAGCTAGCCATAATGATAGGAGACAAGTGGGAGGCCATTGCTCTGCATCTGGGATTCACTGAGGAGGAACTCAAGGAACTCAAGAGTGAAACAAATTCTGAAACTGTCATCATCACCAACATGTTAACAAAGTGGAGGGAGCGCCATGACTACACCAAGGAACGGTTTGGCTTCCTCATGGAGGCACTGAGGGCCTGCGGCCTGGGCAACCTCGCCGAGTCAATGGAAGAAGATAGACGTGGAGTGGAGCAGTCTAACAAGGTTGCGCCTAATGTGAAGATGGAAGAGTACCCTGAAAATGCCAAAGACAAAGGTGAACTTTTATTTACTTGTGTATTTAATGAAATATTTATTATTATTTGTCAGAATTCTTGTCAATAAACTTAGATATGGAGAAAGGTCCATGTTGAATGTCAAAAAGGTGGTAAATGGAAACAAATGTTGCCATATTTTCCATTTTTTGGTCTCGCCTGAACTTTGTTGAGGAAAGCGACTATGCATTCACTATGTCTGTCCGCATGTATGTCTGTGGTATTTTGGTTAAAGTTTCGTAAAATTGGTCTCATTTCAAAAGTTGAAGTCCCATTGGAACCAGACCTGGGTCATAGATGCAACATGGGAACCTTCATATGATAATGATGTCAAAGGTTACATACCAAGGTCAAAGGTCACCTGAGGTCAAGTTGAAAAATAGGCTGAACATGTAAAATTGGTCTCATTTCAAAAATTGAAGTCCCATTGGAACCAGACCTGGGTCATATATGCAACATGGCAACCTCCAAATGATAATGATGTCAAAGGTCACACACCAAGGTCAAAGGTCACTCTTTACAGATAATGGTGAAAGCAGGCGAGACGCATGGTTCAAGAACCATCTTATTTATTAAGAATTTCTGTCGGTCGATACGAAAACATTTATACAAGCTGTATCGATTGATATGTTAATGTTTCAATCAACTTGTATGAACGTTTACATTATTTATTCTTGTGCATATTGTCTGCAATTGTAAGAGGAAAATGAAACTTAATTCTTAACATTAGAAAAGGAATTTCCAAACAAAACAAGTGGATGTGTTGTTTTTAAACTTACGTCACATATTTTGTTGATATTGTAGATTGTTTGGCAGGAACCGTCGACCGAGAAATCCTGGTGAAAGTCTCCCAGCATGTTAAGTTCAGTGAGTTGTGTAGGGTCTTTGCCTTACCCACGGCAGATGTGATTGAAATTGAAAACTCCTACTATCGAAATGAGCAGAGAGTTTTCCAAGTGCTGGACTGTTGGAAACGCCGCGGGGAGGGAGGAAATCGAAGCATCAGTGAACTGTATCAAGTCCTAGCTCACCTGGAATGCAAACCAGCTGTCATTGATGAAATCATGAGGAAAGATGGTAAGGTTTTTTAAATTCTTTTGCACTTGACTAGGGCTGTCCCAAATATACCGAATATTCAAATATTCAAATATTCGTTCATCAACTGTTTGAGTATTCAAAAACAAAAAAAACCTACGCAAATACACACAGACTATGATGCTATTTTATTGTAAAGTTGCGACGTTCTATTTTCAGGTGCCAACTTTTTTTTGATATTACAATTTTTGTCAACGGCGGTTCATTGTTCCGATCCTTTTAGCAAGTTAAAGCCCTTGACAGTCATAAAATACTTAACTGCAAACAAACACTCCAGCGGCCCACATCGATAGCCGCACGCAAACTTAACTGGCACGATCGGCGTGCAACTTTTGACAGGTGTGGCACGCAGAACTGGCAGTTCGAATATCCCAATATTCGGTCAAGTGCAGTTTTGAGTAATCGAATGCTAAATTATTTGAAAATTGGCAGCCCTACACTAAACCAATCTTGAAAGATTAAAGATGTATTGTTAGTGCTCTTCGACAAATACAATTTTTGTTCCTAATGATGAATGTTCAACTTGTACATGTGTGTTCTTGTTTTTAAAAAGAGACTCCTTCTTTCCTTCAATTTGTGGCTTCTGCAACCATTAACGCAGGCTTTTATTTGGGTTGCTTTTGCGTGCATACAGATTCACCCTGTAAGCAGGCTGGTTCCTTGTCCGTATCAGTCCTGATAGGGGGCAGGAACCACGCCTTGAATTATTGTTGGGCTACAGATATTGAAATAATTATTCCACAACTAAGGGCGTCCCTTCTTATTCTATGGTTCTCGTATTATTTTTCATATGAAGATCTGTTTATCGTTGTGTAAAATATCATGAGTTGATATAACTGAACAAAATAATGAAGCCATTAAGATGTAGTTGACATAATTATGGTACATGTAAACTATAGACCCTTAATATGATGAGAGGCAACACCCTCACATTGTCTGGGACTGCATTGGTTACACTTTATGCCGTAAACTTGGATATTATTTTCCATAACTTTTCATATAAAACAGAACCTGATTACCTGAATGTGGTATTCTTTTTTTCCCTTTCTTTTATCTATATTTTGTTTGTTTGTGGGGGAGTTCAGACAGGGTCGGCAGAAATAAAGAAGTTTTTTGCTTGGGTCAGGAGTCCAAAAATTACGTCGTTCAGAAATAAGAACCAAAGAATAAAAATAGATGCTCTAACATTGGCAATAATTTTTTTGTACCGGTAATTATTCTTTTTTTTTTTTTTTCAACTGTCAAATTTTGTTCAGTTTTAAATATTATTATAGATAATGCACCTAGTCAGTTACCCTTTGTGGTTTATTCAAAAATTCATTCAAAACTTAAAATTTTGAAGTACTTAAAAAAAGTAAAATTAAAAAAATAAATCAATACCTTTCGGGATGAAAAAATAGGCATGGACAGAACAGCTTTAAGACCAATCCTTGAAGTCTTTACCCATGATGATGGACCAGTCAAGCCACGATTGCACAACCAATTAGGTATCTGACGAGTTTTTGACATGCCTTTTGGCTGGGAAATTTGGGCTGAGAAAGTGTAATGTTTTTGCAAACGTGTGTGTGAGTTTGTTTCTGCATTCAATAGGGGCCGTTGAACAATAGAGGACAATAGGGTCCCCAATTCCCGAAGGTCCCCAATTTGGCGATGTGTACAAAACATATGGGAGGTCTTTCTAAAAAGTTACAGTTTAAGTACAAACAAAAGAGGGACAATAGGGGGTCCCTGATTGCAGGCAAATACACACTTGCGTGAGTGCGTTTTCATTTACCAGCGTTTTCAACCTTAATGACATTTTTAGGGGTGTTGTCAGTTAAGGCTTTTGCAATTTCATTGTGTTGTTTTCTTTTTTATGGGGGGGGGGGGGAGGGAGGGGGACAGGCTTCTTTTAAATTTTAAAATTGCCGTAGTTTCAGAACAGCTGTGACATTGTCAAGTGAACTTAGCTACAGTGCCATTCTAGCTCTTTTTTTTTTTACATCTCTGTATTCCTGTTTTCTGTATTCCTGTTTCAGCAGAAAATCATTAAAAATGTATATTTGAAATCCGGGTTTTTTTTTATTGCAATGAAACACTTTCTAATATGTTCAGCTGGATGGAGGCACACTTTTAATCAGATTTTTAAACATTATGTTAAAAAAAACCCACAATTATACGTAAATTATTTCAGCATTGCCTATTGCACAATCTAGAAACCTCTGTATGTTTAGGTAATCGGTTTCGAATGTATAATCATCCATGATGTGTGTTTCATGGCATATGCCTTTCAAGTTCAAAGGTCACCATGTTGCTGAGGCTTCAAAAACAATGAACAGGAAATGATAAAGACTATTGTTGATGTGTTATGCTGTTGCTGCGGACACAATTTCTCAAGCATAACGTATACGTAGCCAACGTTGTAGAAATACCTAATGGAGATATTTTGGGTGCCAAAAATCCCCAGATCTGAAGTTATTGCCCAATGTTGTTGTGATTTACACAATTTATGCACCATTTCATGGGCACCTCGGCCCAAAAGTGGGCCCACGTACAGTTTTTCAAAGCAAAATCCACCCACTTGCATTTGAAAGAAAGCTGGCATCTACAGTACATGTAGCACCCACACAGTGCATTGAATTTGTTCACAAATATTGTGCATGCAGATCGTGTAAACGTGTACATACATGTATGTACATGTACATGTACACTGTGCCCTTGAACCTGTTGGACCATGCATGAATGACTCACTGTTGTTAAGATTTGCATAATTCATGCCTCTCTTCCTTCATGGCCAATCAGCATGGCTTCCACCCTTCCAACTATTGAATATTCATGACATGCACTACATTAAGCAATCATGCATTGGCCTTGCTCCTCTGCCCAGTGCATATTCAGTGTTAAGTTCAGGGATGTGTACACTCAGCTATTTTGGCCCCGCCTTCATGTATTGTCACGTATGATGAATGAATTTGATCGCGTAGGTCATGTGGGTGTGAATTGCACAGGGTTTACGTGACATGAAGTGTATGTGTTTAATCCCAGACACACTCATCCATGACTGTACCATTTTCCAAGTATATCGCTTGTCAAGTCCGTACATGTATGTACTTGTATGGTAAAGGATTTCCCAGTTGTTGTGCAGGACCCAAAGTTATTGCAGAATTTATTTCGTCCACCCACATGTCTCCCACACAGATTTCCAGGCATATTTCTCTGCTTAATATGCCCCAGCATTTCATAGACAATAATTTTCCCACTAATAAACTTTAGAACATGGCAAAATATATTCAATCCAAAAATGGATGGTTGGGAAAACCCAACATGTCTCAGCGTTCCTCGTGGGTGAACAAGATGGATATAAATGAAATGAGGATGGAGAGAGAGTGGCATTTGGTTTCTGGAGAACAGACAAGCAACAGAGAATTTGGGAATTATCGTCGGATAAAAAGCCTGAACTACACTCGAAGGATGAGATTGTTTTTCTCACACATCCAGTCCTTAAACTGTGGAGTCATGTCCAAGACTGGGCCTAGGGAAACTTGTGGTATGTGAAAACTTGAAATATGACCAAAATGGGAATCCCTCCTTTTTATTGAAATATTTGATTACTGTTTTGTTGCTGTGGCTTCACTTTAAATAATTGTTCTTTAAAAAAAAAAAAAAAAATAACATGATAATTTCACATTTAATTTTTAAAAAAAGTGTTAGATATTTTCATGAGTTTTGTGTGCATGTGTTCATAGTTGCATGTTTCTTCTTTAGGCTTCTTAACCAAAATGTAAACAAACAAACAATCCCAACAAACAAACAAAATAAATGTTTACTAGAACTTTCAAGCTGTGTCTGACCAATGATGGCATAAGCTTGGAAATTTCAAGAATGCTGAACAGCTGCAAACATGTGTACTTTATTGTTTGTATCATGGAGGGAATATTCTAGAAACAGAATCTGGTATGACATTGTCATGAGATTGTGATTTCTAATGACTTCATTGTCTGAAATTCAAGCCATTGGTTACGTCACTGTCGCCGTGATCATGTGACTATGTAGTCAGAGAATATAGTCGCCAGTCATCGCGTCCTGGAAACTGATATGGTCATACTTCCTACAACTTCCTGTGGTATCTATGGTGATGGTGTTGTCTTTGTATCTGTGTGGAATGCTGTGATAAGTTGTTGGAGTTAGGCGGTTTCCTTTTTGGGGAATCAAAAGTGATATACCGACAATAGCATGACAGTACATCTTCTTTGCATACAATTTATGTGTAGTCTGATCAAGGCAACGTCATTTTGTTTAACTATCGGATTCGATTTCGACTTCAAGCAATACCTTGGCCTGCTGGAATTGCTTTTGATTTCATTGTGAAATACATCATAGCAACTTGGAATATTTATTGTGTAGAGTTGCTATTTCTGTTGGAATTGAGGATTATATAGTAGGGGACAGTTTTGATCGGAGAAAGCTTCACAATTCAGGATGCCGATTCACAGGAAGGGTCCGTGGCCGCATGCCGTACTGAAATATTTAATGTCTGGCATATGTAAGTAGCAAGGACCATTATACAATTGAAACACACACATTTGTGGTTTTTAATTGCAAGCAAGTCTTTTAAGGGGACTGCTTAAACATGCATTTTAAACACCAACTTAAAAAAAATTGAAACTTGCGCTTTTCTGTGACACTTTAAACCAATGACATTGTACTCGGGTCACTCTATAAATTTAGGGTCCAAGGTGTGACATTTTTGTTCCTATCCCTGTTACATATGATACTCTGTAATTCTGTCATTAAAGTATCATTAATTAAGAATGACTTCAAACTTTTTATTTATTTGTTGGGTAGATAATTTTCTATTTATAATCAAAGTTGGAGGAGTTAACCAGTTAACACTGGAGGATATGTAAATACTATCTAGCAATGTAAATTTGCAGGGGGCAGGTGACGCGTTAAATCATCAAGCTATTATAAGATGGAATTGTGCGTGTCGGGGTGATATAAATCAAATTAGGTTTTGCCCTTCATCGACGTTTAAACGCTGTATACTCAGAGTATACAGACTGAGTATACAGTGTATAAACGTCGGTGAAGGGCAAAACCTAATTTGATTGATATCACCCCGGCGTAAAATTCCATCTTATAATAGTTTATGCGGTACCCGCTGCTATGTAGCTCAGATTCGAACCAGCCAAACGATCCTAGTAGCTCGGTGGTCGAGTGGTTAGACATCTGCACTAGAAAGCAGGAGGTCGTGGGTTCGAGTCCCACCCGAGTGATTTTTTTTTTCAACTTTCACTCGGGAGGTAACACACTGAGTATACAGTGTTTAAACGTCGGTGAAGGGCAAAACCTAATATGATTTAAATCATCAAGCTTTCCTCGAGTCTCCGCTGGTGGACGTGTATACACGTCAGTGGTTCTCATTGATGTTCTCATTTATGTACATGTACACACTGTGTTTTGAACTTGAACTTGGCAATCATCCACGGTGTCGTAGTAAATATCACTCCATGGCTGGGAGGGCTTCAGAGTACTAAATATGAAATTACGATTAGAAGGAATCAATCTGGTACAAATATTTTACAAATGACTCTCAAGATTCAGTTTTTGTTGTGTTTGACTTGAGTTTGTAATTTGGCCGATATCTTTTGTCTTTGTTCAAAAATGGTGTTATTGCCGGCCAAAAATAAAATTATAGACGCCAGATGTACACGTTATGTAGGAACAGGAGAAACAAAATGGACCCAAAATTCTATGTACATGTAATTATGAAATACACCATTGGCACAATGAAAGAAACAATACATGTACAAACAAAACAGTGAACAACCAGATAAAAAACAGGGATAATCAAATCCTGGTTTGAAACTTAGAGATCGTCTATTAGGTGCACATGTACCGGTAGATATGTACAGTGAAGCCAAATTGTTCACCACTTCAGTATCATGGTTTTACCTTGATGAGTTTGTGTTATTTTCTATACTGAAGTTGACTGCAGGTTTTCTCAGTACATTGGATGCATTCCAGCAGTTTACATGTTTGGAAAAATCCAGAAAGGCATTCAATTGTGCCTAATTCCATTTTTTTTCTCTCTTGAAATGTGACTCCATATTCATTAAATCTAATTTTTTTTTGTTGAAAATTACTTTTCAAGATGTACACGTGTAGTGAGACATTACATAATTCATACATGTATACTTAGAATGGGGAAGTACCATATGATGAAACACTTAAATCTCACTGCAGTGAGAAATACCTTTGTCATATGTTTCCCGCATGCAGAAAGATCACCTGATCAACCTTTTAACTGCCCCTCCATATACAGTTGACTAAATTTGGCTGAATTTTGGACCATACAGCCTGGCCACCAAATCTTACTGTACATTGGTCTTCATTCTCAAATTTTGTTTAAATGCAAATAATACCCCTGGATGACTGCATAGTGTTCAAGTTTGGCTGATTCGGGAATGTGTCCTTACAAAAAAAAAAAATTGGATTTTAGGGATAACTAGACATGCCATGTAAGTCATACTTTTTCTAATATATGAAAGGAATATGTTGCTTATGAATTGAGGTTTTTGAAACTATTATTATGGAATGCATTTGTTTGTTATGCATAAGTGAAAGATTTAGTCTCTGTTTATTATTAACATAATTTCATAGGATGAGAAAGGACAGTCACAGTTTATGTAAATGCCATTTTTTTTAAACGAATATTTATTCATTATAAACATGTTACTCATCAGTGTGGATTGCATTTCATCATTTTGCTCATTATGTTACCGTGTGTGAATATACATGTAAGACTACAGTGTTGTTTAGAAATGAGCCTCGGTTCTAAATAAAGATTGATGCAGTGTGCGTATGAATGAGGAGGTTGACCAGTGAATCACAGTGTGCAATAAGATGCTTGGTTGTAGTAAAGAATTGATTTGGTCTTTTCCAATCTTCAACTAGGGTGTTCTTTGTCCTAGAATGCTGAGGTCACAGCTGAACAAACTTGAAGGCGTGCATTCTTTGGGTTACAAAACTAACACTAAAAGTTGTAATTGGTAAGGGTTTTTTTGGTCTCAGTGATATCATCTCTCTGTTATACCAATTCATGGTGGCATTCCAGAACTTGGTTATTCAAAAAATGTTAATACATTGGATGTTTGAGCGAAAGGCAATGTGGTGCGCTCATGTGATGAGACAGGGATGTCTGACCTGTGCAATTATAGACGGTCTGCCTATGGGTACGAGACGTGGCAGAGGTCGGCCAAGCTGTGCAGGGTAGAAAATGTGACGAAGTGGAGTGGCAGCAGTGTGGAAGAGCTGAGAATAGCAGCAATTGAAAGAGAACAGGTGATGGCAGCGACCCATGGGATGCACCCCCATTACAATCTGAGGACAAAGCGGCCACGGATGCAAGTGTATACATGGGGAATTATGATATGGTGATGATGTTTGAAACCGTTTGTCTGACTTGCTGTGGTGGACTCTTCTGATGAGTGGATGGATGAGTAGGCAGGCAGGCGAGTATCTGCGATGAGTCGGATGTGCGAGGCACATTGTCTGCCACAGGTGCTACATGGCAAACTCTCCCTGGGTTGCATGTGCCCTGTTTCCTTCTCTTCTCTCCTCTCTCAGAAAAAAAAAATCGACAACCTCTTGGGGGGCTCAAGCCCCCCCCCCCCCCCTTGGGTGCACCACTGAAATCCAGGTATCGTCCATGCGAACAACAAAGCCTGATACACATGAAAGATTGACAATTTTAGTGGTGTAGGTGCCGGTGTTGCCCCCCCCCTCCCCCCCCTCCCCCCCCCCCCTTCCCCCCCCCCCCAAAAAAAAATTCCAACCTAACCCCAACCCTGCTCCATTATTAATATCCCCGCCCGAGTAAAAGATAAGATCAATATTAGGTTTTGCCCTTCACAAAACCTAATATTGATTTACATCACCGAAATTCCATATTATCAAAAGAAAATTAAGAAAAATTGAATATGAACAAAACACAATGATGTAAACAATGTTAAAAAGATGTGAAAAAAAAAAGAACTTAATTTTTGACAACACTGAATTATCTCTCTCTCTCTCTGATTTGGCAGCTGCCGATGACAAGGAGGAAGTCAATCCAATGAAGCAACTCCCAGCAGAGTACACCAATTTCAACTTCCCATCCCTGCCTGATGAGCCCCAGGATGAACCCTGTTACCCTGACCTCGAGGTCAACTCTATGGTTGAGGTCAAGCCCTCGGACAAGACCCTGTTTGGGGTCATACGCTGGATAGGTGTGCCAGCAGTAAGCAAGAGTAACAAGCCTGTTGCCGGCATTGAACTGGTAGGTGGATAAATACCAGGGGCCAATTTCACCGAGCTATTGAGCAGAAAAGATTGCTTACCAAATTTTAAGTGGTAACAAAACATTCGCTGGTAACCAGTCACAAGCAATATACAAAGCATGGCATTTTGGCTGGTAACCCGTTTCTGCTCAGCAAATTTTGTTGCTGAGCTTATTTTTGTGCTTAGCTTCTCCATAATCTGCCCCTGATTCTTACATTTTCAGCCCAAATCTTTCAAAATCCACCCGAGAGGTGTTTAAAAAAATGGATCGAGGAAGGTAGTTGAGCCCAACAACTATTAATTTTTGTGATTCTTGATGGCCCTGGAAAGTTTCGGACCAAAACATGTTCCATCCGCTTTGGCCTGTTTGATGATTGTAGAGAATTTTAATAGGAAGGTAAAACGCATGAGGAGTTTACACACGCAAATGTAGAGCAGTAAAAATTTTTTCACTTGTGTGATTTCTAATTGGTTCAGCGTTTCTTATTGTACGATTGTTTATGCTTTTCTTAATGAAAACAAGGAGTCTTCAATTGACCACGGAGCGACAGACGGCACTTTCAACAAGCAGCGCTGCTTCCAGTGTGAGCCTAACAAGGCCATTTTTGTCTACTTATCCAAATGCCGACCCGATTCCCGCTTCCCATCTCAGGCGCAAACTTTCAGCTCGACGAAGCGTCAGACTAGCGAAGGTAGGTATTTTCCTGATTGGAGGAATAAAGGCCTTATACAAAACAGAGAGTTAGAGGGCAACGGTTTTGTGTCGCTGGGATAGGCATATATACCTTGTGTGCATTCAATGTCAATAAATTACAATGATCTCGGAAGAAAGTGCTTGCAAACTTGATTGAAACAAAGACAATCGATCAAAAAAAACAATCGAACAAAACAGTCAGTTAAAATCGGTTCTTCACAGTATTCCACTCGCCGTTTCTACCCCAGAGAACTGAGATAGTCTTAGAATGTTTTAATATTACTTGTACTATTATTCTTCCCTATTGTGTCGTTCTAAAGATTTTGGGGGTTTTGCGTCACCATTAGTTGAAGGTTTCATCGACCCCCCACCCTGCCTCAGAACGGAGTTCGTGGGCATGCAGAAGGGCATCCAGGGGGATCAGAACTCTTGCTACCTGGACAGCACACTCTTCAGTATGTTTGCCTACAACGGCGTCTTCGATCCGCTCTTGCGACGCACGCAGGGTCAGGGCGATCTGCAGGAGTATGAGAAAGTCCAGAAGACTCTCAGAGAGAGCATTGTCAACCCCTTGAGAAAGTGAGTCTGGTTTTGTATCAGGAAGAATGAGAGAACTGCATGGGAAGGACTTTTGATTAAATGAACTGAACTGAATTTTTCTGAATTAATTCTGTGATTGATTTCGAGTTTCATGGAGCAAAATTGACCTTAACAAAAATGTCTCTGATTTATCAACATAGAACCAAAACAGTATTAAGAAAATGGGAAACATCTCCAGGGCTGCCTTTTTAAATTCAGGGGTCTTTAAAATTTCCAAGTTTTAAGTCTTCATTAGCAGTCTACCAATTGAAAACTGTTTAAAGTTTTAAGTTGATACCAAGATTTTCATTGATGGGTCTACTAAAGAGCTCATTAAAATGGGGCTGAAGGATTCTGTTTCTTTCAAGGTCCAGAGTAAAAGTGTGTATGGTTTTGGTCGAACAATGCTAATAACGAACAATGCTTATAATGCGACATAAATAACAACTTATTTACTGCCTTGGTTGTAACGTTGTCCACTTTGTGCTTGATTTTGATAACAGGAATGGTTTTGTTCGAGCTGATCGTATTCTTCAGCTGAGGGAGCACCTGGATCAGTTAGGCACAACCAAGGGTCTCATGAGTGAAGAGAAAGATCCGGAAGAGTTCCTACATACCTTGCTGTCAGAGGTCTTCAAGTCTCGACCACTCCTGAAAATCAGGTGAGTTGCATCAATTGGGAGTGAGTTGCATCACTGAGACGAGGTGACTGTGACCGTGACAGTAATTGTGACAATGACTTTGTCATAGTGACTGGAACTATGACTTTGACAAAGCGACTGGGACAATGACCATGACAAGGTGACCATGACAAGGTGACCATGACATCGACTATGACAAGGTGACGGTGACAATGATTTTGACAAGGGTACAGTGACCATGACTTTGACAAATTGACTGTGACAATGACTATGACAAGGTGACTGTAAAAATGACTTTGACAAGGTAACTGAAAAGGTAAAAATGACAGTGACAGGTTACGGTGACAATGACTTTGTCAAAGTGACTGTAACATTGACTTTGACCCAGGTGACTGACAAATATTACAAGGTGACTTATAGAGTGACAGTGGAGGTGACAATGACAGTGAGGAGCTATGACGGTGACAATGAAGCATTGTATTGTATCACAGTAATGATGACATTGATGGTGACCATAACCATGATTGTGACAGTGACTATCACAGTGATGCTGACAATAAAAGGTTGGATGTAATTGACAATAATTACAATAATAGGAGTGATAACGATGATGAAAAGGATGTCTACGATGACAATGATGAAAAAAATATAAAGAAATAAAAACATGTGTCAAACAGGCCAGACCAACTTCCTTAGAATAAATATGTGATTGATTGCTTATTTTAATGATTCTCTCCCCAAGGCACGGTGGTAACCAAGCAGTGGATGAGTCCAACATTCATCAGATATTCCTAGACAAAGACGAGTCGTTCACACTCCCGACGGTAGAGCAGCTATTACTGCAGTCATTTCAGGAACATGACCTCAAACTAGTAGAGGTAAGTCAATCAAGTCATTGGCTGCCTCTTTCCTTGGCTGCTTGTTGCAGCTGTTTGATTGTAAAAAGTTGAACCTTAACCGTGACTTTGATTTGCATCGAATCCTCTGAAAACAACCACTTTTCAGAAAGCTAGTTGCATATACTTTGTGCACAAACTTCAAGGTCATGAAGCCCCAAATTAAGTAATTGTGACTTAGCTCCGCCTTCCTGAATCCTGCAGAATCCTTTGGAATCCCTGGTGGATTTTGTAGGATCTGGGACGATAAGGCTTTAGACTGGTTTCTCAAGTTGGAGTCATTTCAAAGAACTGCAATAGTCTCTCCTAGTAATTTTCAATATTCACAAAAATTTTGTTCAGCACATCTCTGGGACGCATGGCTGACACGACAGAACAAGTGTGGTGATATGTATCGTCAGGTTTAAGTTAAAGCAAAGAATCTATGTAGTCATTCCATATTTCTGTGTTTTTCTCTTTGCAGGCACCGTCATGCTTGATTGTGCAGATGCCAAGATTTGGCAAAGACTACAAAATGTACAATCGCATTTTGCCATCGCTTCAGCTTGACGTCACAAATATCATTGAAGAATGTAAGTAAAGACTCAACCTCTGCAAATTTGTTTATTTCTCTTGGTATAAATAAGGGTTAATTTGCTTACACTATGAAATCACTCATAGGCTACTCAGTAGGGTTGCGAACCCATGATTTGCCCCTTGCAAGTACAGATGTCTTAGCAACACAACCACCAAAGCTTGCTGTCTTAAACACAGGAATATGGTCATATTTTGGACACTCTAAGCTCTGGTAATTTTAGAAAAACCTTTTAGGCACCAGAATGGGATTTAAAGCTTTTTAGAATGGGATTTAAAGCGTTAAGACATTCAGGATTTAATACTTGAATGGCTTAACAATAAGATATTCAAGTATTTCTGTCTTTCTTCACGAGACGCAGTTATAATTGAGGTTGATCACAAGTTAAGGCGAGTCATAAAAACGCCATCACAAGTCCATCACAAGTCATTCAGTCCCATGTGAACTCACAAGCTACTCAGATGAACTGTCACAAAAAACATTCCTTTGTCATTGTTTATCCCTTGTCACGTGTGATCTGACTTACAATTGGACTTATGATTGACTTGAATATCAGAACTGGATTGGACGACATTAATGTAAGGTCGTTTCAAAACTGCCACATTTTATCGTTTTGCATATGTGTGTGTATCTGTCTAACAGATCCTAGGACATGTACAGTGTGTGGCAACCTGGCTGTCTTTGAATGTAGTGAGTGCAAGTCAGAGGAAGCTTTAGAAGATGATACCATACCAATCAAGAACTTCTGTGATGACTGTTTCAATGTGGTAAGTCACATTCCATGATCTTTACTGTGAATCACACTGTCAATTACTGATTTTGTGCTGATTTGGATAGAACATCATAGGATATCAGTACTGGCGCTGGGTCAAACCCTGCTCCGGTCAAATTTCTTCTCTTTTTTTAATTTTAAATTTTTATGAATGTTGTTATAGCAAAGTCTACTTTTAGCAGAAAAGGTTTGATTTCTATTCTGTATTGTGAATCCTTGTATTCATTTCTTCTTTCCCACAAACCAGATGCATGTAGGTACCCGACGGGAACACCACAAGCCCACCCTTCTGACCGTCCCAGACTATTTCCTGAAGGATTTCTTCTCCAAGACAATGGAGAAAGGTTTCCCGGAACATGAAGTGGACGAGCACCGTCAGAGATTACTGACCCCCAAGCTGATGGACCTGTTTGCCGTCATCTGCATCCGGACCAGTCACTACGTAGCGTTTGTCAAAGCCGGAAGGGAGAAGGATTCGGAATGGGTGTTCTTTGACAGTATGGCCGATCGGCAGGGTAAGCATGAGACAAAAAGAATTGGACTAGGAATCGGCCAAGCGACAGCGAGATAGCTCAGTGGGGCATCTGTACTTGTAAGCAAGAGGTCATGGGTTCGAGCCCCACCTATGTATTGTTTTGAAATTTTGTCGCAGAAGTTCTCAGACAACATTCAGCACTCAGATCCGTCACGTCAGTGAAGAAGAAAACCCGTATTATGTTTTTCATAAAGAATTGTTCACAGACATCATGAAAATGATTTCTAAGTGTCCCCATGTCCAATCACAATTTTAGCTTGAAAATATGGTTTGAAATTTAATTTGTTGTTTATGTTTTTGTTTTTGTTTTTAGGTGACCTTCAGGGCTACAACATCCCTCAGATCACACACCTCAAGGATTTCCGGAAATGGGTGGACGCGGATCACATCAAGGCCCGCATCGAGGCCAAGCAACTGACTGAGATTATGGAGAGGTTACTGGGAGACGCATACATCTGCATGTACTCCGATAGCGAGCAATGCAACCAGACTTATGTATAAACTGCCCCGTTGATTGGTCAATGAATTAATAAAGACTGAAGTTGCTGCTACGTACTTCGGCCAATCAGCTGAGATGTTACTGAAGTGTCTAAGGCCGGGAAGCATTGCAAATATTTTGCTTGATGCTAGGGCTCAGGTTGTAGGAATTTGGTTTGGAGTTTGGCGGATGGTTTGCGTAAAGTGCAAGTTATATGAAGCTGTAATTCTCTACTTGCAAATGGGTGTCCATGTTTCTTCTGAAAGTACACACAAACGTACCCCAGCATGGGTGCACCCCAGATATGGTGCCCAGGTGTCGGTCAATGACAGTAAACTGGCCCGATGTAAATCAAGATTCCTAGGTATTCAAGAAATCATTCAATTTGGAAACTTCTGCATTGTTCTGATTGTTACTCTCGTGATAAAATAGATATGTTAGTTATCCTTCTTGCATCTTCTTGCAAGTTTCAAGTGCCACAAAGATCCAGCATACAAGCCGTGATCACCAATGAGTTGTTACCACTACACATGCTTGATCGATGCCGGAAAACGGCGCATCTTGGAATTGCTAGCAATATATGCATCATGCATATGTATTGTGCAATCCATAATTTTGACACCCCCTTGTTGCCATGGATCAACCAATCAGGCTCGAGGATTCAAGTTTGCTTGGAGATAAAAATTTTGCTATATGCACAGTGTACATACACACATTTGCATGCTATCTCTGAATACCACAATATTACCCATGTTCAGCAGGCCACGCAAAAAACCAAAAAGTTACAATAGTTAAAAAAAGTACATTTATAGAGTTGCTCTCCCATTAATCAGAAACACTTTTATTTGACCGAAATTAAAAATTAAGACATCAGAATTTAATTTATGATCGCAGCAGTCCATTTGTTTACATGATAGTTTATGATGAAGCACGAACTGAAATACATGTAAATAGAATCGTGAAGTTCACAAAAGATATAACACGTACTCAGTATATCGTTTTACTTGCAGTTACACAGATTTACTTGAGAAAAAAAATCAAGAAGTGCCAACTTGGGTCTGGATACCTCGGTTGGTACCAGTAAAGGTATCCCACAAATGACAGTTTCTCGGAGATCCATAATTTGTCAAGATTTCTTTGTTCGTATGTGTTGGTTGTGTAATTTTTGTAATTTTGAGAAATTGATGTATTTGGTTTATAGGTGATACCTCAGAAATGTCCTAAAAATGCTTTTATGTTGGGGGTGGGGGGGGGGGGGGGATATTCCCCGCCCCCATGTGTAGCTTTTGAGCCATTTTTCTGTTTGTAAACTATAGTATTCAAAACGGATCTTTGAGAAATAAGGCAATCTTTATTAATGTAATGACCATTGGCCACAGATTTTTTGCCTACACACATGTTATTTACCAGGTTGTGATTGGTTAGTCAAGCTGAGTTCAAAGGTCAAATAGGTTCTGATTTTTCTGCAGTTAATCAGTTTTGTATATTTTTATCAGATACTGAGAATAGGAAAAACCTTTCCCCTTTTGATATTTTCTTGGCTATCATCATAATTTACATATAAGGGGAAGTTGATGGAAAATCTAATTATGATAATTCTCAAAATATGTACAAGTTACAATTTATTTTACCAATGTCTAGTTAAATTTTCAATTTTTTGGGTGGTGTTTGGCCAAGTTATTTTACAGTTTGGGTAATTGTATTGTCCTGTCCTATTGTCATTTATCCTAATTATGTAGCTGTTTCATTGTTTGTCTGGCCGAATAGAAAGCATCAGAAGTTCTGCTTAACCTATTCCCCTCAGTCTGCTTACCATATTCCCTTCAGTCTGCTTACCATATTCCCTTCAGTCTGTTTACCATATTCCCTTCAGTCTGCTTACCATATTCCCTTCAGTCTGCTTACCATATTCCCTTTAGTCTGCTTAACATGTTCCCTTCAGTCTGCTTACCATATTCTATAAACATATTCTCTTCAGTTTGCGTAACATATTCCCTTCAATCACATTTTGAATACTCCAGATAATGTCCTGTTCAACTTAATGTTAAATGTACGGCAACGCTAGTATATAAAGCTTAGCAACAACAAAATTGCTCATTTTGCAATGAAACGAAAAAAAAAAATTCAAGCTACGTTTAGAAAGCCAGAGTTGATGACAAACATGATGTATGAAAAGGCCAACTGTAGTATTGTATAGAAATTGTGTACAAAAACAAATCTCTTTGTTTATTAAAGGTAATTTGGCATAAATTGTCTCAGATGGAAATCATCACCCAGTCGACAAGATGTATGAATTGTTTTGTAAATATTTAAATTTAGCCCATGTGATTGTATTAATAATGTACTGATACATGAATGGATGTGTATGCTACATGTACATGAATGAAAGGTCCTATATTTTGTGAAAATGATTTTTGTTAAAAAATATCATTTTAATAGTTTTTAGTTTTTCAGATTAAATTGAAATACCCCAAAAATAAGTCCTTTTTTTTTTGCATTTTTTTCATTTCAAGATATTCAATAAATGCTTGTAAATATCCATGTATATGCACCACGTGTGAAAAAAGTAAAATTATAATGGAGTTTCAATTAACATGTTAGAATGTTCCGTATTTCTAATTAACATTGACAAAACATTGACTGTTGATGATTTACCAATACATCATAAAAAAAGGACTGTTCTTTTCAATAAGCAAAAAAAAAGAGCTAAATTTCAAAAGTATTTCATTTTTTTTCAGTACACAGATTGGCTGACTGCACAATCAATTATTTTTTAACACTTTGCTCATGGACGGTACAATTTTCACAGTTAGACATGGATTCAGTTTTTAGAGGGAGGTGCCAGTGATGGGGGTGAGGGGGGGGGGGGGGGGGGGGGAGAGGGTGGAATGCACTTCTCAAACATGCAGATGCATACATTCACCAAAAATTCACAAATAAAAACCCAAAATGAATGTGGGTCAATTTTATGATCGGGGGTCACAGTAAACACTATGGCACTTGTAGTACACTTTAAATCCTTCAAGAATCCATAGGGCCATGTAGTGCTTGGGCAGCTAGTTTGGGGTGGTACAGGGACTAACACTGGCAGGGCAGTTTTGGGGTGACACAGGAAGTAACGGGCAGGGCAGTTTTGGGCAGTATAGGGTGTACCAGGCAGGGTATAGTACTGGGAGTAATGGACAGCGCAGTTTGGGGCAGTACATTGAGTAATAGGCAGGGTGGTTTGGGGCAGTACAGGGAGTAACAGGCAGGGCAGTTTTGGGCGGTACATGAAGTAACAGGCAGGGCAGTTTTGGGCGGTACATGAAGTAACGGGCTGGGTGGATGGGGCAGTATAGGGAGTGATGGGCAGGGGTTTTGGGCAGTACTGGGAGTAATGGGCAACGCGGTTTGGGGCAGTACATTGAGTAATAGGCAGGGCAGTTTTGGATGGTACAGGAAGTAACAGGCTAGGTGATTAGGGGCAGTATAGGGAGTGACAGGCAGGGCTGTTTGGGCAGTACAGGCAGTAATAGGCAGCGTGGTTTGGGCAGTACAGGCAGTAATAGGCAGTGTGGTTTGGGCAATACATTGAGTAATAGGCAGGGCGGTTTGGGGCGGTACAGGGACTAACAGGCAGGGCAGTTTTGGGCGGTACAGGAAATAATGGGTTGGGTGGTTTGGGGCAGTACATCAGAGACTAAGGGGTTTCAGCACTGCAATCTTACTGCAAAGATTATCGAAAATGCCATTCATGTTTCCAGTATTATTACATGTACTTTTGCAAGAGTTAGTTTTTGGGCAGGTTTTGCCAACTACAAAATAGTCACTCATGCTAACTACAGGACAAGATGGCAAAAACTATGGGCAGTGTTGTACGTATTTGTAATTCAGATGTTGTGGATACACATCTTGTATATGGCTTAAAGGCGCAGTAGTTAGGCAGAAGTCCAAAATGTGTAATGTAAAATCAAATGGCTTTATCAGCATGCAATGCTGTATGGACAGTTCACCTGATAGATTAAATGTTTGGGAGAAATTCCCCAAAATCTAGTGTCATTGCTTCAGATGGTTGTAACTTCTTTCAGTTTGTCTGGAGCTTTTAAGTTTCTGCCGTTTCCAATAAACATCCTCGCCACGTGAACACTGTACACTCTTTGAGGCCCCCTTCAATGGAGAAACCGTTGTGTACACTATTATACAAAGCAACTGCCCTGTGACAGATTATCTGTACAATAGCTGGCACAATGCTTGCGCCATTGAAGGGGGCCTCGGTGATAGAATGGACAGCAGGCCTGGATTTGTCTGCATGAAATCTGACAAGACAATTACTCATACATGTAAATGCTGCTTTTTCAAGTGTTAACTTGGTGTTGGACAGACAAAATGGTTTCAGTTATTTTCTCTTAGTTTAACTTCCAGTTGTTTTTTTTTAATCACTGAGGGAGAATTATTTACGTAAGGCCACAAATAAAATTATAGTTCTTCCGGTTACCCTACCTACCCTATTTTGACAGCCCCATCCCAATTTTTTTTTTCTGGGAAAAAAAAAGGGGAAAAAAAAGAGGGGAAAAACCCCCTAGAAAACCATTAATTACTACCTCTTGCCCTAGACTACACGGAGACTCCATATGATCAACACAAAAAAAATGCCTCGCCTCGGGGAAAAAAAAATGCCATGTAATCGGAAGTAGAGCTGGGTTGTTTTTTGCCTAATTGTTTTTAAAAAAAGGAGAAAACAATCTCATGTCGAACAACCATTTTCACTGTTTTTCACTTGAAAACCAAGTTTATTGTCATCTATCTGTAATGTACTTCTCAAACTGTCAACACTTCTGCATGTACATGTATAAACCGTCGTGAAAATGATCATGATACTATTTACACTGATTGTTTAACTTCTATACATTTTAAAACAATACAACACACCAACATTAACAATCATAATGGCAACAAACTAATATTCCAATTTCCCTTCAAGAACATTTCCCCAATATCATTTTACAATATTTTGTCCCAGTAAGGATGCATAACCCCTTAATATTTTCCTTCTTAACAAAATTATTTCAGATATATAAAGTCTACCACTTTCCCTGCACAAATATCTAGCACTTTCACTAGATAATGGCACTAACACAGAACCATAGTAAGGCTTGAATACACTTAAAAAGGAAACTAAAAAAACTGACACAATAACAACATTTACTGAACATTTTCTAAAACGTTCTAATAAAATAAGTGGATTTTTGTGTGCTTTACAAAAAGGTAGAATATGTCATTTTGAATTCTGATGGACTTCTATAATCACTATTTAGAAAGCACTTGCTAAGTTGAACAGTACATTAATGTTAAAGTAAAAAAAATCTTTTTCAAAAAAAATAATAACACAACGTTGGATGCATCTTAAATTAAAAAAACAATGCATACTGGCAATCTTTAATTCTACAAAATGCTTTGCCATGTATCTTGCAAACACAGCAAAACCTAATTATCAGGCATGCAACTTTCCTCAGATCCGCTGATTTCCTCGTTTGTTTACTTCTCACGAATGCCATTACAAATTGAAAAACACTGTACAAAGTCTTGAGTGGTTTAGAGTCATTTTCCCCTAAATTCCCCCAGTTGCATGTCCGAATTTTGTATTTCTTATTAAGCGCAGAAACTAAAGACAGACTTTTCATGGCAAGTATCTAAGCTTACGTCCCGAAACTTTCAACAGCTCGACAATTTTTAGCAGCCAGAGCTGTAAAAACAAAACGAAGACGACAATCTTTGGAAAGAATGTTGCAACCTGAGGCTACTTCAGTGGTTGTGTACAAAGTCTATGGAGAGTCAAGACAGAAGTACATTGTACTTCTTAACAAAATTGGAAATGTTTCTCAGTCCCAGATTCGTGTCTTATCATCATTTTTGCAACGACTGACCTTCACTGAGATGATTTATGAAGAATAAAGCAGCGTCAGGTTGCAACATTCTTTCCCAATCTTTCCCCCAACTTTGTTTCTTCAAAAGTTGGCTTTAAAACACACCAATTCAGAAACATTTGTCTGACTTACAAAGTGTCTCACAACTTTGAGTACATGCATTTGGGAAATTCTACTTCGCTGTTTGTTCAATTGTGCCTGTTCGCCTGTACACAACACCCTATCTATTTGTACATGGATGGGGTGATGGCAATTCTGTTTTCAGCTCGTACTGGATAGATTTTTTTGTTTTAACTGGCAACAAAAAGTCAACATAACATGTTCACACGGAATTTATGTGCATTGATCACGTTATTAAGTCATCTACAATGTTAAGTGTTTCCTTCACATTATTTTTATGAGTGAGATTAGCTATTACCAGCACTCCCATACAGTCAGTGGGTATGTGATCAGATTCTGTTTATTCAGAACAGTCTGGTAGTCCCCCTTGGAAACATTGGCTTGTAATTATGAACACTAACTGAACAAATCAAAGATTAGCCTTTCCCTGCTTGGAATATTCTGGAAACAGGGAGCCTTTCTATCAACAGCAAGACAGGTTTTTAAGAGCAGCAGTCCAATTTAAACAGAACTTTCCATGTTTTGAGACCCTTCAATAAGGGAAGAAATGTGTGCTTTGCTGGCTTTGAACACTATAAAGACTGGTTGGAGTCCGGATGCTGATAATTACGTGAGCCGAAGGCGAGGGATTTCATAGGAGTCAAAATTTCATGTGACACTGGAAAAGTTTTTAAGACCAGCCAGCCGGTCTTTATCAACCGTTTAAAACCGGCCATGTGACAGGCTCTTGACCAATAGGAATGGGTAAACTGTCTTACATGCATGTATTTATGCATCATTAAAAAAAACAACGTTAACACACTCTTTTTATTATATAATCTAAGAAACTAGAGATTCATCTGTTTAATTTATGTCTGTGATTATATACACTGTACACATAGGAATATTGATTATTGCAACCGGAAAGAGAAGAACGTTTAAAATTGGGAAGAAATAGCGACTCAATTTAATAAGCCCAATCGTAAGAGTTTTGTAAATTTATGGACTGGATAAAAGGAATTTCACAGCACAGAAAACTCTGAATGGTTTTGGATTGTTTTCGACACACTTGAAGCAGTTGGTTTTCGACTGTTGCTGAAGGGTGAATAAGAAAACCTTTTTGTGATAAGGGAATAGTGAAATGCTGATTGTGTTCAATCATGCAGTACAAAGTGCACCTGTCAAAAGCATGAACGAACATATTTTTGAGCAAAGGTAAAACCTTGATTCAACCAAATGGCAATGAAAGAATAACGACGAGTGAATTTGTATTATTTGTACAAGTACTATTAAAGCTGAAACTCAATTTTAATGTCATGTAAAAACAATACTTAAACACTGCAAGCGAAATCCAAAGGACTATTTTAACTCAATCCAAATGCAACGGTTATGAGCAAAATCAATCACCAAAAACGTTCTAATTTTCTGTTAGCTAGGATTACAAATACATTTTTTTTTAGCCAACCCTTACCATAGTCTGTGTTATAGGCCTTAACTGACATTCCTTGAAAATGGCTGTTCTGCTGACATGACTGCAACGCATACAGTAACTCACTGTAGAATCCATACAGCACTTGCATTCAGAACATCAATGGTGTTACACTAAACAAAGAAACATCAATGGTGTTACACTAAACAAAGAAAATGATGACAAAGTTATACTCCAACTTATAATATGATTTTAGGCTTTGCACGGTGGATTAGTTTCGGTTCGCGGTAACACCATGTGGTAATAAATACTGTTGCTTAGTAGAATTAGTTCTGATAAGAACATTCCTGTTTAGTTCTAAAAAAACTTGTCCTGCTTATAATTTACTTTCGCTGAGTAGGTTGGAAGGTGGTGGGACTTCTCGCAATTTTCTTCACTGAGGCTGAGAGATGAGTTTTGGTCTCAACGTTTTGACTAGCCTGCTTTTTCCCAATCCTTGCACAGCCTACTTAAGGAGCAGCATCTCCAACTCTCCTCAGTCTCCTGACGATGACTAGAGCAGGCTACAACTTGCTAGGTATTTTTGAGCAAGGGACTTCCTGAATCCTCCAAATTCACTACTATGTAAAACCCAATGGCACATCCTTTGTATTACTAATTGTCAAGAAGGCATCCAGGCCCATGTAAACCAATAATGACTTGGCTTTACTTTCTGGAAGATTTTGAAGGGTCGAGTAGGGAGGGGGGGGGGGAGGGTAAGATAATGGTTTGAGAGAAAACTAGAACAAAGCTCTTCATTACAAACACAGTTTAACCTTTCACATCTCTTCAGCTGAAGGGGTATGGAGGGTAAACAGTTCCGTTGAGACTTGAGCACAGTGTATGATGCTTTATGATCTTAGAATTAAAAGCTAGGTTTGGAAAACCAAACCTAGAGTGAAAATTTTAAACATGCGATAAAATGTTGAGTTACCTCTCATGCCTGTAGGCATCCTGCACGTACATGCTGTTGTCTTCTTCATCATCTTCATCGTTGTCATCGTAATCATCAGATATCTCTTCATCCAGCATCATGTCAAAGTCACCACCAATGCCAGAATCAGCACCAGCAGCCGAGGTTTTGCTGTTACCCAACATACAAACAAATCTTCAGTGGTTATTACTGGTAAAACAGCCAAATATCTTACATTTATATAGCAATTTTGTTTTGGTTAGCCAAGAAACAAAAACGTCTAAAGATGTTAACTATTATTGAATCCAAATTTTTGTTGTTAAGAATTCATTTTAAGTACACAAACTACAGTGTGGCCTAGCGATTAGAGTTTGTGACTCATGATCAGAAGGTCAGGGTTCGAATCCAGCTGCTGGCCATATGTTGTGTCCTTGGGCCAGCCACTTCACCACCACTTGCCTCTCTCCACCCAGGAGTATAACTGGGTACTGACATTAGCTGGAGAGTAACCTGCGATGGACTGGCATCCCATCCCGAGGGAGTAGATATATTCTCAGTCGTTTTATGCCAATGAAACCAGCCATAAACGTCAGCCTGACGGGCCATATTGGCTTACTTACACCCACTAAATGAAGTGCTTTACTTTCAAATTTTTGTGTAAAAATCATGAGCCACAATTGTGTGATGTCACTGGTTTCTTTTTAATGAAGAAAACCACAAAGCTCTCTCTTACCTACTGGCCTTGCAAGCAAAGAAAAGTATCCTCTTGAGCTTCTTGTTGAAGAAGAAGTAGTTGAAGGACCACAGGACACCCTCCTCACCAAATGGGTCTGATTCCAAGTCAGGGTTGTAGCTGATGTAATGAGATGGAGAAGTAAAATGAAAAATAACAAGACTCCATGTACTTCAAAAATCTCAGTTTAGTTCGGTCTGTTTTCTTGTTGTTTATACTTACATGACTTAACCCTCCTGCTCTTTGAACAGTCACAGACAGTAAAAAAAAACCCAATCCCTTCCCCTGCCACGCCTTTTACACAGGCTGGTCACCAACAGTCCGCTCATATTTCAAGCAAGCACTGTGACTAGTCAAATTCAGTCAACAGACAAAAGCAGGCAAGAAGTAGGCACAGCTGGCCTATCTATCACCTACAGTCAAAGCATAGCTGTATCAAGTTACATAAACAGTCACAGCTAGTCAATCCCGCTTTATGTAGGCTGGGAGCTCTTAACTATTGAAAACAGTCACTTGATTGATTTTGACTGAAAGGACAACTTGGCACAGAATGTATGTTTGCACAGGAGGGTTAATAGACAGACAGTTGGTCAGTGTCACAAAACAGAAGTCTATAGACCAAAATCTTTGTGTAGTTGGTGAGATAACAAGACTATGGCCTGTTTTTCTACCGTGTGAAAATCCCTCTATGTATCCCTGTTAGTCTCACTTTACAGAAAGATTCAGTTCAGAAAGATTTTTTAGCAAAACGGCTTCTGAGTCCGGGGTAAATACAACTTGATATTCAACAGAAGGTACATGTACCTGTAAATTTCGCACTCGTTGGGTGAGATCTCATCATTGATAGCGGCCCACAGTTTGGGGCGAATCTGAGCAGCGTAGGCGTCACCAGCCGTAGAGAACATGTTACTATCCACGGCATTGATGGTCCAATCCAGGCTGGGCTCTCGGCTAAACTCATGACTCTTTGCATCACTAAGGATTTGGTGACAAAGTCATTAAAATTTACTGAGTGTTTACAATCAATTTGGAGGAACGACACAAAGTCTTTGGTTGCTTTTAATATCAATAAATCAACTGTTTGTCAGAGGACACTCGGTATTTTGGCCATCCCATATTTGTATGCAAATGTTTTAAAAAGTAAAATCCTTCAGTAACTTTAGATGCCCTGTTTTTCAATTCATGGGAAAATTGTAAGCCGGCCACATTTTCAAATGTTCACTTTAATCCCCGAGTCAGAAATCAATTGTCAATAATGAGACTCTCAAAATGTGTTCTATTTTTTGAAAAGTTTTAAAATAATTACTTGCCCTCAGTTTTCAAAAGACGTTATACATGTACACCAGTACAAAAGTAGGGGAAAAAAATCTTCTGTTCAGAAGCAGTGCTGGTGTTTATCTAGTACACTGCACATTGTTGTTGCATTTGATGCATTCACAAGGGTCCACATTTCAGCTTTGCTGGATTTTTGTTGCAAAAAAACCCAACAAGGTCAGGGTTAAGGCCTTAATACTCGAAGAAATACCTGAAATCATAGTCTGGCTGGAACGAGGCGTTCAGCGTAGAAATGAGGTAGAAGATCATCTTGCGGCTGCAAGTGTGACAGAGAGGACCCTGGGTCTCCTCCCCGGAGCTGGTACCATAGGGACCCCCGGCCTGGGGACTGAACCCACCCCGGGGGCTCAGAGACAGTTGGCTCTGGGTCTGGGGAGGGGAGAGGGCCTGCAAGTCTTCAGGGGTGTGGCCGTTCTCCTGGCTGAGCAGCTTGAACAGGCGTTTGTCGTTGCCTGCCATCTTGCAAGAGTAACTCTCTAACCTTTATGTTCAAATGGTAATGAATGATGCTCATTGCTGGACTGAAAAAAAAACCTGCAAACTTTTGCATGTAATTGTCTCAATCAGTTTAAAATACTGTTGTTTCAATGCTAGTGTAGTATTATTTATTCTTATTATTCTTCAAGAATATTACATTTCTGTGTATTCTTAATATTTTATAAGTAGTAAGTACAATGAAAGTTTACAAAAATTTTAAAAACGTGAAAAAAGCACCACAGACTACATTCAAATGAAAAACATCTGTTTGACTGGTTAAAAACGGATGAAATTACTAAAAACATGAAAAACATATCTTCATTTTAAAAATTTTAATTTCAAAATAATAGTTTTTATCACCATTTTCTTCTCATTTATCATGTTTATATATTTTTATTATTATCACTCAGTTAAAAATAAAATTGTACTCCCTTACAGTTACAAACAAACAAACCAACCAAATTGAATAAAAATTAGATAGTGGATATTTTGCCGGAGGTAATGACGGCAAACTAACGATTACTAAAGGTTTGCCGGCGGCAATCCATATCAACAGAGGGCGCTGCACTCTTTAAAATAGGGCTGAATTATAACATGTATTAAATTCCCACCAAAAGTTGTGTAGCACGTTTGGTGTAGTGGTTAAGCAAAGGCTCTAGTAAGCGCGATGACTCGCGTTCGATTCCTACCGCACCACATTTTAAATTTTTTTTTTCATCCCCAAATAAATAAGAATATTCTTCTTTTATTATTTTAACATATCTCAAACATTTTTTGCAGAGTATTCCATTTTCTTTTTCAGATTTGTGGCTCTGAAGGATTTTTTTTAAAAGGGAAATAAAGTCCGAAATTATAAAATGGTCTGAATCCCATCTTGGGAATACGAGGTAACAACGATAATTTTGGCATGGAGCCAGACTAAAACTTGTCACCGGAAAATGTTTAAGTACAAAAAAACAGTAACTGCGCATGTTCAGTGCATATCTGGCAAACTAACGTTTACTAAAGGTTTGCCGTCTCCGGCAAAATATACACTGTCTAAAAATTATAAACAGGGTGATAAAGTGGGAAACAGAAAAATATTATAAAACTAGTAAAGAAACATATTTACCTTCCTGAAATCTTGCAATCACCAGTTTCGATGGTAAGGGCATTGCCAATGGCGTCAAGATTTGGATTTTCCAAAAGCTTCATTTTGCAGACGAGTCGACCAACTTCCGCAATACAGTAACAATTGACAGTCAGTGAGACGGCCTTGATTTATTTGCTTAGCCAGTCAGCTGATTCTGATTGACTGATTCCACTTAAATTTCCTCCTTTTCAAGCAAAAAATGACGCTCTACTACTCAAACACAAGTGACTGTTTGTAACTGCGATGACACAAATCGGTTGATGGGGGCAGTTCGATGGTGAGGATGGAGGTAAATCGAAGCAAGGATCGGACATTGACGTCGAGTTTCGTGTGTCAACAATCAACAAGCCCTCCATTGAAATTGCACAGTGACAGTAGCAGTTCAAAAACACAAACTGAACGACTAAAATATCGCTAAGAAATCCGCTTTGATACTATCCTTATCCCTCCAAATATAATATCCACAACCGCAGCGTACCTTGAAGCTCAATGCTATCGTACCTTGATGTACATGAGACGGCGAAAACGATGAATATAAGCCACTTTTCAATAGGAAGATATTCCTGTTCATACAAACATGACAAACCAAAATAGATTTTTGTTTCCTGAATACAAGTGTTGCCTGGTTGTCTGCTTGCGGTACCAGTAAAGCGTACGTGACGATATGGACGTACGCAGGATACCAGTGCCGATTGCCAAATTTAGTCTTCATTTCTAATAGGCTACATCTTGTGCAACCAAATCATTTAAAATTAAACTGGTAATGGTAAAACCAAAATACATTTACCCAAACGTTTGTTTTAATAGTTTCAAAATCATATGATATTTATGGAGATGATTATAATACTCCATTCTGTCGGTGTCTCACGAAGTTGGCACCTTGTAATGCCGGAGGGCAAAGCTGAAATGAAGCCAAGTTTTAAAAAACTAATTGCCCGAGTTCTTTTTAAATGCAATTTAGAAACAATTTCCCAAAATATAGAACAGTATCACGTTATTTAAAAGCAAAAGAGTTTATGCCATACCTTTGATGGACTTTTAACGAACGTATAGAATAATTCAGTGCTGGACAGTGCTTTTATTAGTTTTAATGGCAACTTGCTCCAAATCTCGCGCGAAATGACGAGAAACATTTGCACATGGCACGTCACGTCATTGGGGAATGCCCAAACCAAAGGCCTGTGATTGTGAAATCAGGGAATTTCCGGAACTCCTCTCATATGCAAATTATATATATTTATATGCAAATTATACGATTTCGACATTGTTCACTGTATTTCAAATATTTGTATAACTTGCGGGCCGGCTGGGTTTTAGTTCGTCAATGCGTCATCGTGCGCTGGCACTGCATACAGTGCATGATGAGCGCTCAGTCAGTGCATGCAGTGTATGAAGATTGCACAATTTGAATTCGCAAGATGGTGATTTGCAACATCATGTGACATATCTCTGTTGATCTCCGTTGATGCTTGTCAGCAGTTTTGTTTCCTGAAAATTGGGTGGACGGGAAATAGAAGCAAAAAAGCTTTTGAAATCAACATTTAAACTTTGAACTCTGGTGTTTTTAAGAAATATATTCCTCATCTGCAAGTGGTACATCTTTTGACTCTGAATGAAGTGACAAGATCTTAATATGGAGACAAGGACATACATGTACTTGATTGTGTGGACAAACTAAATCGAACGTGTTTACTCCAGTCCTGGTTTTTAGAATAGAACTTCAGGATTTGCTTCAAGTTCACCGTTTATTACATCAGCAAAATCAAGAAAGAACGTCGTATCAGCTTGAATTTGGAGAATGGATATGACTCGATCATCAGGTGTGTGTTCGTGGAGTCAAGATGGAGTTGAACCATTTGTCTTGCAAATGTATAATTTCCGTGGAAAAGAGGGATCACTGGAAATTAAACTTAGCTGCAGTACGTTATGTAAATTGTGTTCAAAAGGCACAAAGTCAAAGGCTGCAATCAACAATACAGCATAGCCGCACCCAACCTGATTTGATTGGCTGAATCAAGTGACCAATAAGGAGAGCTGGTCCCAACAAGCTGGCATTTTGCCAAGAATTTTGAATGCGCATGTGGTCACCATATGCGTGGTGTTATGTGTATTTAACCTGGAGGAATTGGCCAAGTGCCAAGTTTGGCTGGGTATTTATGGGTACCACTTGACAGAGTCAACATGTGTACCCAGTTGGCAAAATGCCAATTTTTTTATGGGTACCAAGTTGGCAAGGAGCCAATTCACTGTGTACACCCATTTTTTAACTGATTTTCAGTTTGACTTGAGATTGTCTTTGCTCAACTTATCTTATTTTTCATGAAAATCAAATGTTTCATTTTTTTCAGGTCAATGTCTGTGACACCTGCAGACAAGCCTACTGATAACTGAGAAAAACAAATTGTATTTAACAGTCAAGTGAACTGTTTAACATGAACACACCAACCAGGGAAGAAATTCTTCTGGTTTTGAGAGGATCATTTTGTGAATCATTCGACGAGTCCCTTGGAAAATGGAAAGGTCCCTTCACACCCGCCAAGTTCCAAATTTTGCAGAGTGAAAATGACTTTATGTTGAGAATTTCTACTGATATCGACAAACAGTCAGATGTGAGTATATGCCCCCCCCCCCCACCCCAACCAAAAAAAAAATCACCCACTATATTGCAATCTGTAAGGGTCAAAATATATTGCATTTATTTATGTTTGCACATGACCTATCCATCACAAGTCGTCCAGTACCAAGTCAAGTCACAAACTAAACGGTGACAAAGACAGTCCTCCTACTTGTAGATGCATGTTTATTTCATCCTGTTCCTTGTGGTCTGACATGTGAATTGACTTGTAACTAGTTATGAGTGGACATATGTGATGCATTCAACAACATAATAAATATAATTTAATAGTAAAACACTTAATTTTCACAAGGAAAAAGAACATGCTTCTCCTCGTGCTCAATAGAAGCATCAGAAGATGTAAAAGGTTCAAAGTTTCCTCAATCCTGGTAAGTTGTGCTTCCTACAAACGAAAGCAATGCCGTTACGTCCCCTTCTAACAAATTGATTGTTATCATCAGTCAGCAAGTTTCGGGCGAGGACCAGTAGTCGACTAGTGGTTGCATTTGTGAAGTAACGTTATCGCAACGTGCTCCATTGGTGGTTATGAACGTGTACGGCTAGTGCATGGTAACCACCAATGGAACCATGCCCCAAGCTCCGGCTCCATAAATAATCGACTCTAGTAGTTCACCCATCCTTTGTTCAAGTAACCGTTGTTGAACTATGAAGTTTGGGCGCAAACTTGCTCGGTACAAAGTCGTATTGTCAAAGGTAAACCAATCCCTGACCCAAACCATTCATGCGCATCACTCGCATACATTCATTCCAAAAAGTTTGCGGTTGCACAATATGACTTCACCATGCATACCTGATAAAGGGTTGTGCGTTCGCGGTGCTGTGAAGTGTGATGGTTCGTAACATGTGACAAGCACACCACATGCACATAACAGATCTGTGTTGGTTTCTGTTACTGTTAGCTCCAAAGCTGCCAAAATAAGGAGTGGCAGGACCAGGAACAAGTCTACGGTCACGCACTGCTCTTGAGCTTGGTCGGGAAATTCCAACCATTCCAATCCTGTTCAGTTGGATTGTCGAGACTATTAATAGCACCATAGAGCTAGGACCATTTGCTACATTAATTTGGGTGACATCATCTGTACAATTTACAAGGTTGTTAAAATCATTTCACCAGATCTCTGTCGATAGCAGCAATGGCCGTGTTCAACAATTGCAAGGGCCCGGATTGCGGACACCGACTTTTGATTGAACAAAAATTAAATGGATTGGTTGCAGAGCTAAAACCAAATAATGAACTCTGATAAACAATTTAACGTACCCTTGTACAGAACTGACAAGCATGTGCCTGTTGCTGCAGCATACTTCAATATGAGTAGAACAAGGTCCACACTACAGAAAATACATACATGTACCAGTTCATGGGTGATTCTCTAAATTTAGGGTCCAAATATATGTGAGTTTTTTCCCCGTCCCTGTTACCGGTTGGTACTTTTGTAATTTGCCATTCAAGTATCATTAAGAATGACTTCAAACGATGTTTTATCTGTTGGGTAGGTAGTTTGCGATTCATAATTAGCGGCGTAACTAGGGTTAAACTTCTGGGGGGGGGGGGGAGCACCTAGGGATACACCAATTTTTCAAGGGGGGCACTGAAGGCAATTGGTATCTTGTTTTTGTGCAATTCAAGATTTTAAGTTGGGGGGGGGGGAGTTGCACGAACCTCCCTTTTGACCCCTGTAATTACGTCACTATTCATAATCACTCTTGGAAGATGACTGCAGTAACCTTAACTTTAGTGTCTTTTACTAAGTAATGGACCAAGTCTGCCAAAATCCATCTCTGACCCTGCTTCACATAATGCTTCAGGACCAAATCCGCTGCACAAAATGGATTTTGATGGACTTGATACTCGTGGCTTGCCTGCCAAAATCCCCCAAATTGGGGAATAGATTTTGATCTAAGGAAGGTTAAGGTTATAAGGAGTGCGTCTGAGAATTACAAAATAAAAGACGTCAAAATGTAACAGGGACAGGAAAAAACTAGACCTTCAGTTTATAGAATGACCCACATGTAGTTGCATTGTAAATGGTATAAAACAAATTGTAAAGGTGTGAATTTTCGGGTACTACGGAATCCAGGTACCTGAATTAAAAAGAACAGGGATACCAGGGTACCCGTTAAAGAAACCCAACCTTTAAACTCAAATCTAGGTAGTTGCCATTCAGATTGTTGGTTAAGGTCCATAATACCACATCGGTGCGTCAATATGGCAATTGTTACAAGTGTACACATTTTAAGTGAACTTTATAGCTTATCTGTGTAAACTGCAACTTTTTCGAGCATCATAAATGTGAATATGTTTTATTTTCCATGTAGTCTGGTTTTCATTTTGAAAAATCCTCACAAACGACATTCAAAACCTTTAGTTTCAATTGTCTGAGAAGTTACTAAGTAATTCCTAAAGTTGGTTATGGGTACCTGATCCAGTGATCAGGAGCATGTTCTTGACAACAATGGCCGGGTACTCGAGTACCCGGTTCTGATGCACAGCCCTAAAACATTTTCTTTGCTACATACCCACCTTGAACATGTAGAACTTCATTTTTTTTTTCTTTCCCAGGATAAGTTCAGGGCATTGGCTTTTTTTTTTTTTTTTTCGTGCATGGGGTGGATTTAAGAAAAGTTCAACGGCTAGTCTAGTACTAGTAGTCTTTGTGGCAAATTTCAAGGCACAAAGGCAATGCAAGAAAGTTGTGTTGTTAGTGCACTTAAAATGATGATAACTTAAGGATAAAAATAACAATTTACACGAACCTTTACAGATGAAACTTCTTTTTGTGTGTGTCAGGAGTTTGCTCCTTATACGTTTCCATGTTTTTCCTTTTTTTCTGTATAGCCTCTGGTTTTCGTAAGCTGCAGGAAAATCAGTTCCGTCAAGAAACTCACTGAGGTACTGCTTCAGATCAACCTGAGGGGCACCCCCATCAGCGTCGCCTTCTGCATTCAGTTCACCGTTGCTAAAGACCAGAACCATTTCTTCCTTATCCTCAAGAATGCGGCCGAAGAACTCAAGTCCAGGGGTGAGTTCAGCAGAAAATATTAATTCGCAAAATTTTGTTTACGCTTAGCAAAATTCAGCTGGTAACCGGTGGCAAGCAATAGACAATCTTATGGAATTTCAACTGGAAACTTGCTTTTGCTGAGCCATTTTGTTTTTAGTTTCTTGAGGTAAGGTACACATGTAAGCTAATTGCAGACACACAACTTCAGGTAAAGGGACCTGTAATTTGGGAAAGTAGCTTGGGTGGCCTACCCATATTCTGCCTGACCATTTGAATTATTGACGCATAAATGAAACAAAAAATCCGAAATTTGCCATCCTTCCTAAACTTCTTAAACAATGTGTGCTAGCGCAATCCCATTGAGTTGTTTCATGCAGGGTGTTAAATTCCTTCAATAACTTAAATTATACTGTGTGTTTTGGGGGGAAAAGGGTACCCAGTCTCCTGATGATGAACAGAGCATATACTGTTTGAAACGTCGAGTTCATTACCAACTGGTTCTTCTCCGAACCACACATGTTACCGCATACCTCCCATTCATTGATCATGTCCACCATGCAAACCCAGAGTAAGTCTCATTTAACTACAATATTAGTGTGGATATTGTAGTCATCCAGGCATTTTAACCCATTGTGATGGTTCCGTTTGAAGTCAAGAGCGTAGAAACTCACACTTGTTAAAAAGTCAACCAGACGCGCCCGTGTGCATGCAGGGTACATACATGTATGTACCCACTGTTTGTCAAGCGGCGCGAAATGGGCTTCGGTGATATATCGGTGAACAAAGAATCTTATGAAGTAAAGATGCTGAAAATACCTTGAAAGCAATCAAGATAACAGTAAATATTTTGGGATCGTATCTGGTTGACAAGAATTTACCAAAGGATTTTGAGACGCTGTAAAAGCTTTTGCAAACTGGTATTTTGTTGAACTACTTACATTGGAAGTGAGAAAAGCAGACAGCGATTATAGTCCTATTACAAGAAGGCATCATAAGATTTCTTTCTTTCTGATCAAGTCAGCCTGATAAAAATACATGTAATAATAATACTATTGGATGGCTTTTTTTAAGGGATTAAAAAAAATATTGCACTCACTATAACAATATTACACTTGTGTTAGAGCACGTGCGATAGATTCTTGTAACTCCCTCAAAGCCATCCAATATTATACATGTACTTACATGTACAGTAGAACATTCATCCAAAAGAGTGTATTTTGTTACCGAAAACAGGAAATGAAATTTAACAAAAATTGCCGCATGTGTCATTCCAGCTGATACACTTGCAGATAAACATGGTTTTATAACCATATGTTAAATGACATGATATAGTCCCTTTACTGTACTTTGTTCATCTTGCAGCTCTTGGCTTCGACTGGCATTCACAGATTTCTGTCAAAAAGAAAAGCATGCATGTTGACTCCGCGGCCAAAAATCACTGCACATTTCCCTAATCGTAATGAATACCTTTGCATCCGGATTGTGCTTGCGTTAACACCCATTCAACCCTTATGTTCATGTCACTTGTACAAGTACAATGTACATGGATGTGCTGCACTTTATTTCTTACTTTCTTTTGGGGATTTTTGGAAGGTACTTCCTCATTTGCCTTACAGTGCATTTTTAAACAAGGAAATGACACACCGTGGGCTTATAAAGTCTTGTTTACTTCAAACAGGAACTTTTTAGAAAGTCATCAATTACATTTCTTCGTATCAAATAAACATTTTTTGTTACCAAAGTTTGCTTTTGTAGCTCCCAAGCATTTTTTCCTTACATTTTTCAGAGGATACATGTACATGTGTATGTTGTACAAAAGAGGACACAAATTGCAATATAAATCAAAGACATTGAACAAGCACTTTTCTGATTTGTTTGCACAAGGTGAACATATCACTGCACTTGGATTTCCAGGAAATTCTCTTGTACCGTACCAGCTCTAAACAAACATATTAAGCTGGGTTTTTTTTTAAGTTATGAACATAGAATTATCAGACACCACTACATGTACAGTTATTTGAACAACAAAAAAATACGCATTCCCCAAATTCTTCATTTTGTGTTTTTTTGTTTGTTTGTGCTCTGTTTGTGGAGTTATGATCTTTTCAAAGCCTTGTGTATTGAGATGTCTTTTGTGGTAAGAATCATTTCTCGATGAACTAACAGGAAAAAAAAACCCAACCAAACAACAAACAACAACGACGTCACTTCAGTCATTTCAGTGAGTGGGCGTAATAGTATTTATTGTTGGCTGGAAATCCCCAGGACCTAGCTTTTACATAGATATGCGCATTGATATGACGGCATTACATGTACCTGTAACTAGTACACTGCACGTAGATACTGTAAGGCTATAATTAGCAGCCAATCGGGGACGTCTCTTGAACTTGGAATGGTCCATTAAACAGGGTGAGTTTTCCACCAGAGGGGTTAATATTATTTGTGCATAGGTAACTGTATGGCTATACATGTAGTTATTAGCCAATATGACGTCCCTTGAACTTGGAAGGTCCACGAGAGGGTTTGACTTCATGATAAATGCTGCACACTTACCCAGCATGTGGGTTTGGCCAAACGGGTGCAAGCTTACACATCAGTTGTAAAATCTCGAACTGACAGCGCAGTCGTGGTTGCAGAAATATCAGTGTATACTTGTGCATGTGATTTGGAGTACCAGGGTTGTTTAGATGACTATATTTTGTTCTGTGTATTGGAGGTAAGCCAGCTATTTTGGACACATTTTTCACAGAGTGGATGATGGGTACATGTATACATACAGATGCCAGAATTTTGTATTTTGTACCACCTGATGAATGAAGTAAGCATTGTTAGTAAATAGTTGGAAATATGCGTGCAAGTTTTAAAACTTTTTATGTAAAGTTTGGAGATTCTTTTAGTGAATTGGATGTGTTTGGAATTTGGTAAATTTTCTTTTGTTAGGATATAATAGAAAAAATGTCATGTTTATGTCATAAATGTGTGTCTTCGTCGGAGTAAGATTCCCGTAAAGTTTGCAACACATTACCACATTATGCGGGTATGTGTTAGTGAAAAAAACCCTGTTCTGCTGCATAATTGTAAGATATCTGTTCTGCTTGCAGAGAATGTGAACAGTTTTTATCATGTAGCCTACAGTATTACTGTTCAAGCTTTCTAAATTAAGCTGTTGCACAGGTTCCTATATTCCAGTGAATTAGTTTATTAAAATGTAGAAGAACATTTTCTGATATACTCTTGAAGCACGAAGGAAAAGTTGATGCCACTGCATGTCTGGCCTAAATGTACATGTAACTCTTGAGAGCACATAGGTTTGACACGCAGTGTGTGCACCGGTCCTTGTGTGTGATTTTCTTGTATGTACATGCAGGGCCTACCACGTCACATTCAGAAAGTTTTAGTTTATCAGAATTTTGTTATTTTATCTGTAGGCCCTAAGCATAGGAAAGCAGTACAACAACTTGGAGGCACTATATTCAGACAGTTTGATTTTAATTTTGTTTTCTTGGGAATCACAAATGCATGCTTACAGCTTATGATCGAGGCATGTCAAACCAGCAACCAAACTCACCAGGATCAGCAGCAAAACCCAAACCCACTGATCAACTAGAAGGTACGCATGATCCTGTACTTTTAAGCCATTCAACCTGTTATTTATTATTTGTTTATTTGTTTATTTATTTGTTTCTGGTGATGAAACCAAAGATTCCTCAAAAGCGCCCTGGGCACTGTAGCTAGCAAGCCTGAAGAAACCTGTAGCGAGAATACAATATGAGAAGAAATTACAGTTTTAGAGGTGGGAGGAAAACCCCAGAAGAATATTTCTGAGTGGGGAAAACCCATGGAATCATCAGGTAGGGACGACTGAAACCAATCCTCATTTGGCCAGGGCGGGAATCAAACCAGGGTCACACATTAGAAGGCGAGGAAAGTACCGCTGCGCCGCCAGCCTGACTCCCATGTACCGCCCAATACTGCCCTGCCTGTTATTACCTGTACTGCCCCAACCCCAAACTTCCCGGCTTTATGGATTCATCACGGAATAAATACACTGTTGTACAACTGTGGATAGCCTTGGTCAAGGCGCTAGTTATTATTCATCCGGCCGTATCGCGGTAAATGATATCTTCGCTAGCGCTGTGCATGCAGTCATGTCTATGCATGCAGTGCATTAAAAATACAGCACGAACAGCGACCTCACGCGGCCACTATTTTTAAGCAAATCAGTTGGACCCAATCCAGCGCCTTGGTTCAGTCGTCCATGTGAGGTTTTGGGGGTGGTGCTCATTATGTTAATAGCCTTAGCTGACCTTAAATGTCGTTTTTTTATTGGTCGATCGTTGCGTGGAAACTTGCATAGTGAAACGTGGCACCATACATAATCCATACACGTACACGTTGTGTGTCTCTGCACACGGCACCAATGCACAAAAACTGTGGTTCCTGTCATGTCCGCAAAAGGCGAATAGCTGCAAATAATTTGATGACGTTCGGATTTACCAAGGTGTGATTGGACACTCCACATATTAGCCCCACCTACACTTATCTGTATTCGCATACGAGTTGTGCACTAGAAATCCAGCGCAAAATAAAGAAAAACATAAGCTTTTGCCGACGATTGAACCAAGGTGCTAGATTGGGTCCAACTGATTTGCATAGAAATGGTGGCCGTGTGAGGTCGCTGTTTGCACTGTATTTTTTAATGCACCGCATGCATAGCGCTAGTGAGGATACTCGTTTACTACGGCCGGGATGAATAACAACTAGCGCCTTGACCAAGGCTAAACTGTGGAGGAATAATATATACATGTATGTACTACGGTTATTTTGGGGTCAATTGTTCTGAACTGCAGATGTTTCACAACCATTTCCCCATTCTGCAACAAATTGTAAAGTACAATTAGATAGGCCTATATGTCACTTTTTTCTGTAAAATTACAGTTGTTTTTTGTTTTTGTTTTTGTTTTTGGGGGATTGTTTTGTTGAGTGGTCGGGCACAACCCGACCACTCTTTGGATTTGTTGCGATTAATCTTTCTTTCTTTCTTTCTTTTTTTTCTGCATAGCACGTTTCCGCGGGTTTTCTCCTAAACGGTATAAGATATGAACTTGTAACTTTAAACATATATTGACCCTCACTCGGAGTGGTGCATATTACACTGACGTCATAATGACGTCATCGGGTGTCAAATTACAAGCGATTTTCTTTGAATAAATGACGATCTTCTTTCATCTATAACTCTTCAACAAAATGATCAATTTTGCTCCAATCTTGTAAACAGATAGACCATATATTGATTAACATTTTTATCTCCTGTACATGAACTCACTTGACCTTTACTTCCGGGTCTACCGGAAGGTCAAAGTTAGGTGAATTCAAAATGAAGACATTAGCCTGAAATCAAAACAAAGCACAATTTCTTCCAAACGGTTTACGGTATGATCATAAAACCTTGTGTGAACTTGTACCTTGTTACGGAGATGTTATACATGTAACTGCTGTAACGTCATCATGACGTCATCAGGTATCAAATTACAAGCGATTTGATTGCACGATTTGACAAAATACTTTGACCTATATCTCTTGAACTAAATAGAGTATCATGTTCGTTTTTTTCGTGAGGTTGTAGACGGGGCCTTGAGCAACATTTCTTATTCCCGGGCACAAAACTGCTTGACCTTTACTTCCGGTGTTACCGGAAGTGCAATAGAAACTGAATCTAACTCTAAAACGGAAGCATTTTACTACAGACAAATACATTATGGAAGTGTTAAGTGAGGAATGCCAATCACAAAAACATTATTTTGACGTCATCCTCGAAAGGGCGCCCTTCAGCGGCACATAGAAAACAGTTTAATCTTTTAAAATGTTAAAACCCTTAATCAAATTTTTATGATATATTGCCCCTATGTATCCCGTGAGCAACCGCAAATGAATTCGCAAGGTTTCATAATCATGATGTCATCAGACCGGAAGTTACTGTAGGGAGAATTCAACAATAACCATGATTATTATTTTTAATTTATATCCATCATTTGATCCCTGTCTCATGACTATGTTTTTTGCCCCCCAAAAATGACATCTGTTACACTTAATATTGACCTTTTGCTTCCAAATACTGTGACATCATCAAACTGGAAGTTAGTATATTACATTCTCTTAATTTCCATATTTCCATACGTTATTTTTACTTAATGATAAACAAGTGTCCTCCCTTCCCTGTTTGACTGATGACGCCATCAAACCGGAAATAACTTGTACGCGTACCCAACTGTTTACTAAAATTTATCACACCTTAAAAGACGCATTCTTTTTGTACAAAATAATTGGTACTGGAAATGTTGAAGTTCTTGGTCCTTTTTTTCTGACATAAACATATTCATAACTTAATTGGACAATGTCTAATGAAATGGTTGTCTACCCGACCACTCTGCGTTTGTAACAACAAACGCGAACCTCTAGTTTTGTTTTGTTTTCTTTTGGGGGGGGGGGTGTTAGATAAGCAATACAAATTTTAAACAGTTTTGGGTCTGATGTGGTATTGGTTTTGAGATTATAGGTTTTTGATTTTTTTTTATATATTGCATTTTTAGCATTTTCTGCTGGGAGTTATTTGAAGAAAACGAAACGTTGGAAATAAAATGTATTAACAAGCAAAACAAATTATGCATTGCAAAGATCGGATAAAAGCAAACCAATTACAAGCTTTGCAACTGAATTGCAGAGGGACAAAATGGAATTACTCGAATTCGGATCATGCAACAAGATTCTTTGGGATCTCATGCTGCTGAGATTCGGTACTTAACTGTTCGCCATGGAACAGTTTTAAATTAGACAAACAAACAATTTGATATGAAGTCTTTTGGCCTACTTTGGTATGGAAACCTTGATCACTATTAATGCAACCTTTTGGGAGTTTGATCTAGTTAATTTGCAACAATGATTCCAGATCCACTATATTGTGATCGAATCGGCCCGTCGAGTCCTCAGCATCCGTTGCTTCCACCACTGCCACCAAGATCTCCTAGATATAAAACTGGTATAAATTGTGTTTGTTTGGAATTTTGTTTGTTTTTTTTTGTAAGATTTGATATCCTGAGCTAACTGCCTAATAATAATTCTGTTTATATTCAGACCCGAGAAATGAATGCTTGAAAAGATGCATGGGGCCCAGGGGAATTTATATGCTGTACATGTAATGGAGATCATCAGTTCACATGGGTGCATACCTACATTGTATGTTCCCCAATACCGATGTTCCCCGAAATCCTTACCATGTAACCCTAACCTTAACCCTAACCCTAATCCTAAGGATTTCGGGGAGCATCGGCATTGGAGAACATAGGTATTGGGGAACATCAGGTACCGGTAGACCCCGTTCACATTATCACTGCATTGCAATTAACCAACTGCTTTCTGCAATGAAACCTAGAGGACATGCTCACTTTAGCTATGCCAATTTATTGCTAATCAAGGGCGGACTTTGATGGAGGGTGTTTAGGAGACTAACCACTATCCTTCGCATTACATCTGATTAAATTTTATTGTTTACATATACTTTATATTGGGAAGAAAATGCCAAATTTCCCTTCTGGAAAACAAAGTCATAAATCTTGGTTGACTGCTTGAAAGGCCATATATTGTAGGTTGGTCTTTGTATATACCAGTATGTGTTTACAAGAATGTATGTACTTCACTCTCTCTCTCCCCCCCCCCCCCCTCCACCCCCCCCTCTCCACCCCCCCCCCCCCCCCCCCCCCCTTAGAAATCATGAACTTCAACACCTCAGCCTTTAGTCTTTAAAATTCCGGGATTTTTTTTTATGTCAATAAAACGTCCATGTTTAGATGCTCAAAAGCATCGTACAAAGTCCGGAAATTTGTACAAAGTCCGGGATTCGTTGTTTGGTTTGTCTATACATAAAAATTGTCTACATGTAGCATCATAAATTTTGTCGTAAACTGAATAAATGGACTTGTCTAAAATCACACTCTTAACTTGTTCCTGTAATGATAGTACATGTACATCATGTAAGTCATCTTTTATTGTTGTAAATTGCTTTTGGGTATAGAACCAAAGCAGTGCATGTGGCAAATTCAACCTTTCAGGCCATGTGTTATTATAATTCACAAGTTGAATTTATGAGAACCGACATGCTTGTCTGTATGTATTCAGTAATGTACTGTATAGCATGTTGTACGCTCCACTTTTACCCTACACAACCACCATTTTTCCAATTGGAAAATGTAGGCTTTAGTTTGAAATGTGGTGCTTGGACTACTTATTAGCTAGACGCCATGCATGTCACAGTAGATTGCGCTTTTGTGACCACTTCCAAGAGCCCCATAGCAGGGAGGGTACGGTGCATGGCGCATGCGCGTCCTGGTTTGTGCGTGTGGGCCTATACATGTATGTAGCACAAAGTCTAATTATAGTCTGAATGTGCACCAGCCCGTAACATATCTTCACGTGAACAATAAAGCGCTTTCAGCATAATTGCGTGCAGATGCCCCATCCAGTGTGGTTTTTCCCTTTCTCTCATTGGAACCGGTGACGGGGTACTTATTGTGCCGTGTCCACTCATGTAACCTATATAAAGGTACTTTTTTAGCCTCCACATTGCTTGCTGTTGGTGTCGCGTATGATCATCACATCAATGTGCATATTTTTACCTGTGTAACCTGTGACATCTTCACTTGATACATGTAGATAAATTCAATTCAAAAGTTTCTGTCTGCTTTCTGCACGGATGTTTTCAGCTTATGATTTTCCTCCCAGCAGATTAAGGTGCAGATTAAAAAGAGGTTCCCATTTTGAAATGGAAGTCAGCAAACATGACAGTGTGGGCGAGCCGTCATCCGGTTATGGGGAAGTTTTTTGTTTTTAGGCAAATTAGGACCGAGTTATGGGGACTTTCTGCTGTCCCCATTGGGTCTGTGGTCCCCATGTAGCACCATGGGGCAACTCGTGTGTAGTCCCCATAGCTACGGAACAAGTATGTGTGTATAAATACACTAAAGAACTTTAAAAAAAAAATAATAATAATATTAAACATTAAATTCTGGACCAGATTTGTTGGTTTTGAGCATTTTTGGTGCTTTTAAAAACAACATTAGCAGAAATGTTTGAGTAAAGAGTTTGTTCAGCAATTTTCAGTTGACATCCTTGACATGACATCAACACATAATGTGTTTGCGGTGTAACATTATACAGTGTAAAGTGTGTACAATTGCCTGTGAAAACAAGAGTAGGATTGCCATGTCAAAATGGACCCAGTGATCTCCAATTTAGGACATACACATGTATAATATATACTCAGTGACTCAGTTAGTGAAAGGACAATAAACTGGCTATAATGTGGCGTGCAGGAAGTGGAGAATTTTGACATGGAATATATTATGCTCGTCACGTACTATATAGGTCCCCTGTATTGGCAAAATGAAAGCTATTCATCAGCTGGGCGTGTGGGGCAAAGTGCGACATCTTGTTCCTGGAATAACGTGCAATATCTCTGTGCTAATCCTGTACATTGGTGCTCAGATGACTTACGTGTATGCTGTTGTGCTAACAAGCTCCATATATAACTGTGTAACATTTCGGAAAGAAGGCTGATTTTGTTCTCACCATAGCTAGATGTAGAGTAAAAAAATTTACAATATGTATAATTTGTAATTCTTTCTTTACAAGTGCAATAATGCCAAGATATTTATTTTCAAAAATGCATTTCTTTTCCATGCAATAATACTGCTCACCTTATTTAAACATCAGCTTAAATGGAAATAGGTAACTCAATACATTTATGTCACATGTTCTACTTATTCTTTTTTTTGCCTAGAAACATCACGAGCACCCATGGCAACCATGGTAGCTACTCATTTTGCCGGCGTGAGCAGCGGTTCGGAATCACCAGTAAAAGGGGCAGAAATGGGTATGTGAAATTAAGAATAGTAAAAATGCTTATAAATGTGACGTTATGAAGCATCGGGTCCATTGGCTCATATAAGCTGATTTTACTGCTGAGAGCAGCAATTGACCTATCCCGGTAGAATCGCGTCAACGCAGCTTGTGAAATATTGCCCAATTACATGTACATGACAAATGGACGTGGAACGTGAAACATCTGAGACAAACAAAACGTAGCGTACAAAAATTCCATAGGGTTGTCTAAGGGGCGTGGCTAACTCGCAAATGGCGATAGGTCAATTGATATGGGACTGGATTAAAGCCCTTTCACACTATCCAAAATCTCCCCCGGGTTGAACACAGGTCAAACCTGGGTGTTTTTGTAACCCCTTTCACACTAAAACAAGAAGCTACATGGCTTCTACACTGGCACTGTGTTCTACGCAGTGGCAGAAGATATTGGGCCCAGCCGGGGACAATTTCATAGCTCATGCTTTACAGATAGCAGAAAAGTTGAAAAGCTGCATATTGTAACCTACATGTAAGCACTATTTCATGGCGTGGATGTGCTAACGGTTGCGTGTGCATGAAGATTTCTGTTGTTACATCACTGATTTAAGCAAATTTTTCCTCTGAGGTAAGCGTGCCTTTGCTGTGCTTACTGCTTATGTCTCCATGAAATATACAGAGGCTCTGTTAGCAGAAAATTGTGTGCTTCAGTAGCAGAGCGCCGTGAAATCGGGCCCTAATTGGTTCCAGTGTTGAGTAGTTGTACCAGGATTAGTGCAAACTGTGTGTTTGTTTGATGGGTGTTCAATATGGGACCCAGTTCCGTTCACGGTGGGCCCATGTTGATTCCAACACAGGAAGGCAAGAGAATGGTTTGAATATAGGCTTCTTCAGGGTAATAGGGGGATTTGCTATTTGTTGGTGGAATTGTACATGTGCCTTTTTTTAAGTGTACTGACTAAATTATATATTACTGCTCCCTTAAAGGTAGAGAAGACCGTGTGTAATTTGTGATTTTTGGGGGTTAGATTTTTTTGTTTTTTTGATATCCACTTTAATTTGAATGTGCCACCTTTTGTCGGCCAGATGCTTTGATTGCCAACCTGCAGCGGCAAGTAGCCGCGGGTGACTCTGCAGGGGCCTGCGAAACCATCACAATCCTTGCGCAGAAGAAGACCAAACTCAGCATGAGTGTGGACGAGATTGGCGACTTGCCAGGAATTCGCAGTAAATTCAAGTGAGTGTGGCCCAATGTCATTGATTAACATAGCCTGAACGATTTGTGAAATGACTCAGATTTGTTAACTGTTTTTGATCAAATATCTATTTGGAAAGGGCAACAATAAAAAAAAAAAGACACCTCTTTTGAATACGTTCTTTTGAAGAGCACCATAGTAGAAGAAATGGTTTTTCATTTTTCCTGTATTTGAAAAATTATAGGCGATTAAAAACATGTTTGTTACAACAGCATGCATAAAAATATTTTAAAGTTGATCTTGTACGGAATGTGTTTTTAATTTTCCCTCTTTTTACTGTACTAGGCTTGAGGTGCATGTGGAGGATATTCAGTCATCGGGTGCCAAGATCAAACTGTCAGACGTGACCCCAAACATGACCATCGGATACCTCAAGAAACTGGTAAGAGTCAAACCTGCCCCACGGAAGAGACACAACAAAACTGGTGCAGTTTTCTTGAAATTGAGTTATGCATTTCTTGAACGGCTAGGTCTTTACAGATCATCAAAAAAAAAATCACCTCTAGAGGCAAAATTAGGGTCTAGAACTTTAACAGTATATTTTAAGCATATTTTTCATAGAATTGAAAAAAAATCTTCTTTTCTAGTTTTATGGTTGTATCTGGTAGTTCTGCCCAAAAGTTTTGTTTGGACAGAATACATTACAAATGGTGCAGGTGATAAAAAACAAAAAAACGAAACAGTAAAGATTTCTGTCTATCCTCAAAAGGTTTTCACGCAGTACAACTTCCCTGTGGAGGTCCAGTGTTGGATCATTGGCCGTAGGATCATCCGGGATTTTGAGACACTGATGGCGTGTCGTATCAACTCCAGCACGCCGGTCTTCCTATACCTGATCTCTGCTGAGAAGGCGGGGATCACACAGCAGCAAGCACAGATGAGCCGACAGGCCATGATGGCACAACCGATGCAGAGTGAGTATGGACCATAGAGTACCCCCACGGTAGGCACAGAACGGAAAGTTAGGGGACACCACAGCGGAGAGACATTGTATGCATTGGTGACAACGCCTGACGCTCACGTGGAGACTACATAGCTTTGTGCACTTTAAGAATAACATAGATGTGCAGACTTCAGAATATGCACACAAATCAGCATCCGCGCAGTGTATCCAGTTCACTGGGCTCCCTAAAGTGGTAAAAAGGCACCCCCTCTTGTTCGCGTACGCAGCCCATAAAAAAAACGAGATAATGTTGAGTTCAAAGTAATGGGAAGGGTTCGTATCCTCGTTATCCCGTTGCAGTGCTGTAGTCAAGTCCATCACAAGTCCATTCACAAGTCTGGTCACAGCAAGGGGAGATGAACATTAAATAGAAGACTGCTTTGTCACAGTTCATTTGCATAGCTTGTGACTTGACTTGGGCCTGATGACTAGTGAGGAACTTGTGAGGACTTATGATGGACTCGGCTACAGCATAACACTGCCTCTAAAGCCGGCTTTAGGTTAACCTTGCGACGACTCGGATCAGTCGGCGACTGACTTTTCAGGATCAAGCTGCGTCTGAGTTTGACCGTCGGGAACAACTCAGTCGCCGATTTTGGGCGACCTGAGTGTAACTGCGACGATATTAAAATGATCGGCATCAGTTGGCGCTAAAAAAAATCAAAAGTCGCAAGAGTAGAAAAATTCCAACTTCTGCGACGTGTTCCGCGACCATCACACGATTTCTCAGTTTTGTGAACTGGGCATTGTTTTTCTGCTTGATGCCGACGGTTCCGTCGTGGCGCAAGCAAATCATGGGTTGACCTGAGGCCGGCTTTAGTGTCTTATAAAAAATGCCTTCTGTGACTTCACCCTTTCTGAGCAAAAGACCCTTCATTTTTCAGTGGGGATGATGAGACAAGTCCCGGCCCCAATACCACCAAGGGATGCCCATCCAATACTAGCTGCTACTGCCAACCCCGGCCTCAGCCTACCTAGCAGATCCTCACAACGAGAACCAACCAGAGACATGCCTGTATTTTCTGCTGTCCCTCCGATCCCTCAGCCGCTACTGGCGCCTAGGAAGCCTACAGCCGAACAGGTTTGATAGAATTGTGAATTCTGCTAAACTAAAAAACAATTATGTGGTGCTTATATCATATAGCAAACTCTCACAGCTCTTTACAGGTCATTCATCAGGCCATGAGACTAGTTTTCTGCAGCAGCCCAAGGGTCGATTTAATCAATTCCGGATCGGATCAAAAACTGCTTCGCTCAAAAAATCACGCGAGAAAATTAATTTGTAGTCAGAACAACTCCGAATCAAGCATATTTTATTACATTTTTCGAAAAACAGTTAATTCAAGAGAATTCCAGCAAATTTTAAAAAGAAAATTAAAGTAAATGTTTTTGAAATTTTCTTCTTCATTGTGACTGCATGAACACACACAGACCGATAAAACCTTTGACCCATCACAGAACATGTCACATAAAATTGATTACTAGCATGTAGTTGGGTCCTATACGCACGTGATCCAGAACTACACAAAGACATACGTTCATTTTTTTGGCGAATTTTCAAATATTAGAGACTCTAACATTATTTTGATGCAAGAGTTCGTACAACTGTAGAGTACGAACAAAATTATTTGAAAACACATGTTCTGAGTGATGTTCGGAGCAGAAATTGTCAATTCCTGGCTCCCGTGATTTTCTACAAACCGTCCAAATAAATCAAAGTGCAAGTTAGAAATCTGGCTAAATTTCCTTTCCTATAGATTTATCAAAAAGATCTTTGTGTATCAAGAAGCTTACATTTTCCTTTTCAAAACAAACTTTGTCAGAAAAGATAGTATTGTTGACCAATCTAAAAGCTTAAGGTTTTTATTTGAAGCGATCCAGAACTTGGGAAAAATCCAGATCTAGAAAAACGACTGTACTATTACAACTGAAGTTATTTCCTTGTGATTGCTACCGGTGTTAGGTTGGATGGCATTGCCCCGCCTGTACCCTGATCAACCCCCCTACTGTGCCAGGCTGCAGGGTCTGCATGGAAGGAAGGCCCGCTAGTTACCAGGTACCTGCCCCAGACTCCTACATCATGGACCCAGAAGAGAAGGCTAAACAGGACGAGCTACTTCGCAACGAGAGACTCATCGAAGAGGTCAGTATAAATCAGCAGTGTTTTCAGCAGGTAAACCTTGATTTCTGGTCTGGTTCCAACACTCAAAAACAAAAACGTTTACCCAGCTTCTTAGCTGGATAACTAAAAAAAAAAGGGGAAGCAGATCAAATTTGGAGAGCATTTTTGGACTGATCCTGAATTTGTTTTTCTTGTTTTTGCTTTGTCCAGAGCCTTGCAATTGGTGGACTCCCGGAACCAGACCAGACAGGGTCCCTTGATGTATCCTTGGAGCCGCAGAATGATTGGACCTATAATGATCTTGAAAGTGACTAGTGACCTATTAAAAGGCCAGATATTGTACCTAATGATATTTAAAAAAAAAAAAAAAAACCACATTTCTCAATGTGCAATGGTCTATTCCCAGAGTAACTCCTAAATAAGGCAACATGTTATTTGCTACTTTTGAAAAAAGAATTACTCAACTTCATGTAAAACAACGTACATGAAATGTCAAGTATTTAAGCTTGGACATATTAAAGCCTCAACTTTAGGCTGAAGTGGGCAGGAAGAAGACTGTTTTGCCTTTCGGTAAAAAAAAAAGAGTTGGAAAGTGCACATTGCCTTCGATTTTGATTGTGTAGAACTTTCAACACCCAGTTCTGAAAAGTAACTCCTTGTTATATTTTGCTTTCAACCTACCTGCCTGGGCATTTTTGCGTGACAGTTTGCTGTCATCAAAATCTAAAACAAACAAATGGTATATTAATTTCTGTACACTTAAAATCAAAGTTGGACATCGGGTTTTGTGTAAAGAAGGCATGGCTAACAGGGCTTGATTAAGTCTTTCGTAGGCCCTAGGCACCAGTGTTCCGTAGGCCCTACTCCCCAGGCACCGGCTACAATTTCACGTTGGTGCTAAGGCCAAGTTCGGGCAAGGACCATTAGTCGACTAGTGGTTGATTTGTGACGTACCTTACGCCTGCGCACTAATAGCAAAGTGCGAACGTCTCTAGTCGAACGCTGGTCAAAATGTCATTGCAAAACGTCTGGATCCTGGCTCCCTGCTGTACGTTATGAACGCGCACGGCTATGGTTACCAGCGAAGCAACCAACCCCAGTAGGTTGGTTCCAAATAGTCGACTAGCGTAGTTAACCATCGTCGACTAGACAGAGTTCGGGCAAGCGTTAGTCGACCAATGGTTAACTATAGTCCTTGTGCGAACTTGCCCTAAGCTGAACAGAGCAAGCAAGGCCAAACTGGTAGCTCTAAATCCTGTTGGCACCGTGCTTCACAACAACAAATGTCACATGTTAATTTTATACGTTCATGTACATGCAGCTAAAGTGGAATCTTGATAAGTCAAAGCTCAAGGGAATTGGCTCAAAGTTTGAGTAAAGCAGAGTTTTGAGTTATCCAATGGATTTCTGTTCATCAGCAATTGACGGAAATAAGTTTTTACTTTCAGTTGGAAGGGTTTTGAGTTAACAGGTTTTGAATTACCTAGATATCACTGTACATCAGTGTCAGTTGGTAAAATCGAAAACTCTGAGAGAGACGCTAAACCTTTTAAAAAAATTTCTTGCGTTTGTGTGGGTGTTGGTGTAGTTGTGGCCTGTGTGTTTTATGGGACACTGCGGTATTTTTGTAGGCCCTCCGATTTTTCAGGCCCTAGACACAGTACCTACTGTGCTTATTGGATAATCTGGGCCTGATGGCTAGAATACACATGTACAGCCCTGATCATATCAATTTAACTGCAAAACCTAATGTTATATTTTGGAATATATAGGGAAGATCATGATAAATAAATAAGTTTTGGACTGGGGAACTATTATTTTCCCTTGACATCCAAAAATTGTGCTTTTACATGTTAACATTTTTGAAAATCAATTACGATGAACCATGTGTACATATATTCATGTAAGATGAAAACCTACGTGTATGCAAAAGGTTTAGATAACTTTGCTTATCCTCAAGTTAACTTGAATCCTCGATCCTGATTGGTTGATCCATGGCAACAAGCCATGCTATATATAACCATGTAGCATGGCCACGGTCCACACCGCACTCCGCGTATTGTGCTATTCTAAGATGCAAGGGCCATTCGGTACAACACGCACGTACGTGTAATAGAATAACCGCTGAAAGGTTTGTGTACTAGCTGCATGCGTGTTTAATTTGTTAAGTGCGTCAAGTTTGCTTGAAGATAAATTTGTTATCGCGCTCCCGCACATGGAACACGGAAAATGTAGTGCATCTGTGTGCTTCATATCCGTATTCCACTCACACTCGTGGAATAATTATATAATATTCCATCAATGCAGTGTGAAAAGTTTAATTGTGTACTGCTTTGGTCATTGGTACGTACTAGGTGCAATACGGATGAGATGTATTTTCCACTTCTTACTGGAAAACACTTTAAGAAAAATAAAAGCTGAAATTGCTAAATACTAAATTGAAAAATTGAAGCGTTCAGTATTTAGCAGCAGCAATTTAAGACTTTTGTTAAGGAAAATAAAGGTGTTAGTCAGATAAATACAGGTGAAATGTAAATTCTGGAACGATTCTAATGCATAAATTATCCGTATATTTATTGTTGATTTTCCATTTTGTTAAAAGCATTACACATTCTTAAAAATAAACTTACATCTCATGAGTTTTATATGAATAGCCCTTTCCTTGCTACATTCAACCTGGGCAAGACCTGTTTTAGCCATTGGATTTTGTTGTGCTGAGCAGGACTATCATATACACAAGTGTATTGGTTTTAGGATTCTGTTGTGTTAACCAGACTCTTAGAAGTAGTGTAAATACTGAAGTTTAAAACAAATGAGAAAACTTGAGAGTACATGTATAACTGGGGACCAAATAAAGCCTGCTGGACCCGAATTTCACGTACGTGTATTTTACTCTGATCAACATTTCCAAATACAACTTTTTTTCTGTGTACCGGAAATTGTATCCCCCCCCCCCCCATCCTGAAAAGAAAATAAATGCCACATGGATGTCTGACGTAGGAATGAAATACATGTATTGTAATGGTGTTGGGAGATAATCTCGCTCATTCAGATGTCACCAGCTTTGGATCTGTTGCATCGATAGCCCATGTTCATCCGTCCTCACAAGTCCTCACCCGTCCTGCAATTAAAGTCGATCACAACTCACTTACCATTAATAAGTCATAGTTTGTCAAGACAAGTGACAGGCTATTCGAATGACAAGGGCATTCCTTTGTCACTGTTCATCGCCTGTTACTTGATGTAAACTGACTTGTGATGGACTTGTTACATATGTCTATCCACTCCACACTGTTTGACCTGATCCCAAGCACTAGTGAGTATACACTCAGATCACCATTTTACTCAATAAAATCACAATGGAAAACGGAGGGTGGGGGAGGGGGGGGGGGGGGGGTAATGTACCTCTACAGCTATAAATTGTGTATTGCAACCATGAGATCACTGGTACACTGGGGGAGGGGGAGGCTTCAGGCTTCTTCCTGCCCCCCCCCCCCCCAAAAAAAAAAGGAGGTGGGAGAAAAAGAAAATAAGGAAAGAAGGAAACCTTAGCCAACAGAGTAATTGTTGTAAATTGCACAATAGAAAACACTGAAAATAGGGGCTAAAAGCATGACCATGGACAGTACATATTATCATAAACACTACCCCCCAGTGTCAGATTAGGTTGAGCTGGTTGAAAAATGAACTAAATGATGTCCCCAACGGAGACTTTTGGGTCTAGCCCAACAAGACCAGCCTACTCTTGTTTTCAAGGCTCAATTAAGGAGAAGTTAACATCCCTGGCACGATTTTCCCAGCTGTGTACAATAATTTCCTCAGATGGAGAGAAAACAGAAGTTGGACGCCGAGCTGAACCGAGACACCAACTACCAAGCCCTCCTGATGGCAGACACACCGGGTCTGATCCCCAATGCTGAGGAGTTTGAGTGTCTAATCTGTTATAGCGAAGTACCTGCAGGGGAAGGGGTCTTACTCAGAGAGTGCCTGCATACGTTCTGCAAGTGAGTCTTTGGATCAAGGCTAGAGTTGGTATTGTCCTGTCCTTGTTAAAGACTGCGTAAAGTGCAGCCTTTAGAGGGCACTATCAACAATATCAATCAGATCTTTTGGAAGTTTGACACCCTGAACTTAATTCATGAGTATCCCTCATAGGGGCGGATCTTTCGGGGGGGGGGGGGGTGATATGAAGGGGGGGGGGGTGAGTGGAGGCATGCCAAATGTATGCCCTAGCTGTTAGGGGGTGTGGGGTATGCCCCCCAGATAATTTTGAAATCTACGATACTTTGTCCTGCATTCTATGGAAATTTGAGAATATATTTAGAAACTTGGGGGGGGGGGGGCTGCAACACCCAAACCCTATCCCCCCCCATCAACTATAATACGTATGATCGGACTGTCTTCCAAAGATGGGAGTTTGAATCTAGCTGCTGGCTACTGTGTTGTGTCCTTTGGCAAGCCACTTTACCCCTAATTGTTCAACTCCAGGAGTACAGACTGGACTGGCATCCCATGATGGGGACAGAAATATTCTCAGCTGTCATTCTCAGTTTTACTGTTCGAGTGGTACTGTGGGGCCTTTTCAAACAGTCCGTTATGACCTTGTGATTTTTGTCTCTTTCAAACAGAGATTGTCTACAGGGCCATATATCTCACAACAGGGAACCAGTGATAATGTGTCCCTACAATGATGGAACATACACCTGCCCAGAGGCACTATTAGAGAGAGAAATAAAAGCGGTAGGTCAAGTTATCCAAAACAAACTAGTTTTCTTGAGATGGAACATTTTGCTGAACGGCTTTGGATGAATAACACAACTTTGTCAGATAGACATCAGAAAGATGTTATCATACAAAAATGAGCAGTACTTTTTTCTCAATTTTTCTTAAACAGTTTGTAGATCCTGAAGATTTATATTTCCACCTCGAGCAAAGGAATAGTAAAGTTTTTGTAACAAGTTTTAGTCTAGGGAAGTTGCATACAAAATATTTTTATACTGAAAAGAGCAATACAGCAGGCACTAAATGTTTCTAATGCTTGTTATTTTCTTTCAAACAGCTCACTATTCAATAAGTTTGGCCTCTACCTTAAGCATTAGAAGATTTATCAGAAATGGTTCTGTTGAGAAAAGAGAAACATTTCAGGAAACCAACTCTTTTGTGGTATTTATTCCAACCAGCTGGCCAGTCCAGAAGAGTTTGCCCACTACCTCCAGCGCGGTCTGACAGTGGCCGAGAGTCAAGACCCAAACAGCTTCCACTGTAAGACGCCGGACTGTGCTGGCTTCTGTTTCTACGACGACAACATCAACTTCTTCCAGTGTCCCATCTGCGGTAAGGAGAACTGCCTGACCTGCAAAGCCATCCACCAGGGATTGAACTGTAAGGAATATCAAGATGATCTGCAGAGGAGAGCGGCTAACGACAAGGCGGCGCTGATGACCAAAATGATGCTGGAGGTAATCAGACAGAGCGACAGACTGACAGACAAGTAGACAGGCAAAGAACTAGTGGTAGGGACAAACAGACTGCAATGAGTACCAAGAACATGCTGGAGGTAATCAGACAGAGCGACAGACTGACAGACAAGTAGACAGGCAAAGAACTAGTGGTAGAGACAAACAGACTGCAATGAGTACCAAGAACATGCTGGAGGTAATCAGACAGAGCGACAGACTGACAGACAATAGACAGACAAAGAACTAGTGGTAGGGACAAACAGACTGCAATGAGTTCCAAGAACATGCTGGAGGTAATCAGACAGAGGGACAGACTGACAAACAAGTAGACAGACAAAGAACTACTGATAGGGACAAACAGACTGCAATGGGTACCAAGAACATGCTGGAGGTAATCAGACAGAGCGACAGACTGACAGACAAGTAGACAGACAAAGAACTACTGATAGGGACAAACAGACTGCAATGAGTACCAAGAATATGCTAGAGGTAATCAGACAGAGCGACAGACTGACAGACAAGTAGACAGACAAAGAACTACTGATAGGGACAAACAGACTGGACGGACTACCAAGAACATACTATAAGTAATCAAACAGAGCGAAAAATGAGATTGAGTAAAAAGAATACCCCAACAATGAGAAAATATTGCCAAAAAAATTAGCATGGATGTAATAGAGATGAATTGATGAGGTCAGTCTTTAGGGGTCTCCTGAATATAAACAAAACAAAACAAAAACAAAATAACATTGACCAAATGTGTTCTGGCGTTTCGTAGTGACTAGGATCAATCATCTCTATAAGCAGAAGTCAACCTGCAATAGTTGTTCAGTCCGTTACACAGTACAGTTACCAAGGGCGGATCCAGGGGGGGGGGCTAAAGGGGGCCATGGCCCCCCCCAAAACGAAACCAATTTTTTTTTTTTTATGTGACATCGCAATAAAGGCAGGCAATGAGTACACCACCATCTTTTCCTCAAAAAAACATTGGTTAAAGTGGTCAGAAATTGCCTCAGATCGCACCACAGAGCATCTAGAATCCAAAATTTTTTTGGGCCCCCCCCAAAAAAATTGTGTTCTGGATCCGCCCTTGACAGTTACCGGTTAATGGATTTCTTTCAACAGAAAATGATTTCTAGCGGAGAAGCCATGAAATGTCCGCAGTGCAGTATCATCATGGTCAAGAAGGAGGGATGTGATTGGATCATGTGCTCCATGTGTAAACTGGAAGTGTGCTGGGTAACCAAGGGGCCGCGATGGGGACCAGCGGTAAGTCACTGGTACCCGGTGTCATCTATGTGTTCTAGCAAGACCTATGGTAAACCATCATTCCGGCACCTTTGCTTGAAACCCAAGTTAGTCAACTGTAGTTGGACGAGTCTAGTCTACTATTGAGGACCAGCTTAGAATTGTGTCAAGAACTTGTACTCGCTGAATGTAGTTATTGTACAACAGTGAAGCCCAAAACTCATCGGAAAAAAGTCAACAGATGAATACTGCAGAAAGCTTGATAGTCGACTTGAACTTGAACTTGTTGTGCCTCTGTAGGATTGGAGCAAGGCACCCGTAGGTGCAGGGCATATCTAGTTCTCGATTGATTTGTTGTTTTTTATAACCACTTCCCACTGGGATTATTTTTGCCGAAAATTTTGATTTTCACAAAAGGCAAAATTTTCCAGCCAACTTCTGATATACAGTCAAACGCCACAAATGCTGATTCGCAAGAGTCATTTCAACAGTATTTGTATGATATTTCTTGCCGAAACCTCATGTGTTTCAACACCCTGGAGAGTAAATTGTCAAACAATAAGTCGTGCACAACGGCCAATTAGAGATCAACTCACGGTCCGTCTCCACAGATTTCATGGATTTTGTGTGTGCATGTACAAAAGGCACAAGAGATTAGCGTGGTTAGACGTCACCCGGAGGCGAGTCGAGGCAATCTTGATGTTTTAACCCCTCAGCCGTGCCTGTGTATAAAAACAGCCAGTGTGTGTAACTGCATCCCCCGATGCGAACTGGTTAAACATATCTGTTGATTGTATTTTTTTCTGTCACCAGGGTAACGGAGACACAACCGGTGGATGCAAATGCCGTTTAAATGCCAAGCGATGTCATCCCAAGTGTCAGAATTGCCACTGATGTCAGGCAAGCAGTTTGCCTAGAGTGAGCTTCTCGTGCAAAAATACTACACTTCTAGCTGTCTGTCTTCTGTGAGATTTGCTGTGGATTTTGACACTCACATGACTGGTGCCTTGCGTTAATATTTGCGCACATTCAAGTGATATTTGGTCCTTCATGCTTGAACCTGCAGTCACATGAAGACTGGACTTCACCACAAACTGCTCTTGGATCCATATGAATTATCAGCTCACAAGCCAACCAAATATTTTGGTGTCCAACTTCAAAATACTAAGTACAAATAATTTAGTTATTATTAATTATTATTTCTGGTAATGAAACCAATCATTCCTAAAAAAGTGCCCTACGCACTGTAGCTCGCAAGCCTGAAAAATCCTGTAGCGAGGACACAATGAGAAGAAATTACACTTTGGTAGGAGGAAAACCCACAGAATCAGGCAGGGACTGAAAACCCAATCCACATATTGGCCCAGGCGGGATTCGAACCCAGGCCACAGCGATGGAAGGCGAGGAAAGTACCGCTTCGCCAACCTGATTCGCCATGAAAACATTTACAGGCAACTCAGAAATTATTTGTATAAATACTTTTCTTTTGGGCAATGGATCAGATGGTTTGGTACTTACACAGTTCAGATTTGTTTTTTGCTTCAACCAATTTAACTTTTCAGTTTATCGCTTTTTAATCTTGATCATTGAATTGCATAGAAAAATATTTTATCTAATTTTTTCCGTTGAAAATGCACCCAAAAATCTTCTTTTTCTTTGCAACAGTCATTTTTGATTAACGAACGCATTTCCATGATAGATCTGCTTTAAGAAAAACAATTGCTTTGATTTTTGTTTCAGACGAAAAAGGTAGTGGGGACGACGGTAAAAAAAATTCGACATAATTTTGTAATGAAGTTAGCAACCATCCAACAAAGTATTAGAGGAAACAATATTATCTTTAATATAAATTTTCTTGTAGGTTCTTTACAACTTTGCGATTTAAAGTTTTGCATTTGATGCTGCTGTTAAATATGTTTGATATTCATTAAACTTTACTTCTTGAACACTTCTTATTTCTTTTGGGGAATGTAAGCAAAGTAAAATCAGATGGGGTTAGATACTTGTGATTTTTAAACAGATAATACAAACGCATGTAAAAAAAAATCCCTCAATTCGGCGAAATTGAAAGAAATTACACAATTCCATGGTACATTCTGCTCATCCTACTACATGTACATGTATATGCGCAAAGCCTTTGCAAATGTTCCTCTCATGAATGCAAACAAATTATAAAATGTGATTCGCAAACATTTCTTGAATAAACTTACGCTTCAGAGTTCATGCAGTCATTCTGTTGTCTCGGCTGTGTTTTGAGCTAGTATAATTTAGGGAATTTTGGAGCCTTTCTCTTCGGGGGCACCAAGTTGTGTTTCGAGATTTGTCCAGACCTGTACTCTTGAGTCTCATTTGCTTTTGTTACATTTTGTTTACACATACTCTCAGTTTATGACGGATGTGCTACTGTTGCAATGTTACATGTAACTAGAATACCAGCATTGACCGGAGCTAGTATAATTTAGGGAATTTTGGAGCCTTTCTCTTCGGGGGCACCAAGTTGTGTTTTGAGATTTATTCAGGCCTGTACTCTTGTTGAGTCTCATTTGCTTTTGTTACATTTTGTTTACACATTTTACAGTGCTCCTTGCTGACTTAAGTTCGTTGGTTTGATAACGTTTGGTTTAAATTGTTTGAATGTTGCTTTGTAACTTTCTAAGCATGGAACGAAAATGGAACTGCTGTTTTTATCAAGATGCCGTCTTATCAGTCATTACACTATTACAATTATAATAAATTAAATAAGTTTGAATAAACCTCCTGCTACTTATATAAGAAACGTTTTTTTTAGAACAAATACAAGGCAACATTTAATAGCTTATATAAGATTTGAGGCTTTGCATGGTGGGGTATCAGTATCGTTTCGGTTTGCTTCTTTCTTCGTTCTGAAGGTAGTCAGTTCAGGCGCGGTTCTAGGGGGGGCTTTAGCCCCCCCAAAAATTTGTCTAGCCCCCCCAAAAAAATCCATGAAAAAAAAAATGCACTAGCAAAATGTAAGAATTTGACGTACATGGGAACGTTCTCCCCCTAAATGAGAAGGGTGCATTTGTACACTTTTAGTTAATATAGTGTGCCCCATTGTAGGATTTTATCAGCGCTCCCCATAGAAATATGACACGAGCCCGGTGTCGCAAGGTTGTTTTTTTTTCTAGAGGGGGCAAAGCACATTTTCCCCAAAAATCCCTGCTCTTTTCCAGCATATTCTCAGTTTATAATTTTTCGAGGGTGTTTTGGGGGGACGTTTGCCCACCCATTAAATTACCAGCAATATGACTTCGCACCTCTTTTTTTTCTTTCTTTTTCCCCTCCTTTTTTTAGGTGCTTTCCCGGGGGGGGGGGGGGGGGGCGTCCCCTTGACACCCCCTCCTCGAGACGCCCATGCCCATCCATCCCAACTTTAGATACTGACAACGGGTGACACTGAACCATTCCAACTTCACCGTCGGTCTAAATTTGCTATTTCAAATCCCGCTCTGCACCCTCCCCGACCAAACTGCTGGCTGACCAGCTTAGGTCAATGCAAGCACCGGTAACTTAGCAATGGTCGACGCTATTGATCCCCTTGTAACACAATTGATCTCTTCTATATACAAACCATTACTCTCATTGTGCGCCTGCAAGGTCTCACTAGTCTCACCGACCACTCTCAAAAAGTTCGATATTTGTCTTCTTTATTTGCTCCCCATTCAGTTGAATTTCATTCTCTTTGTTGCGACACGTTGAGCACGATCCATCGTGTAGTTTTGCTTGTTTGGCGGGTTGCCACCAGTTCGTCTACGGGAATATGACTTGCTCATGGAGACCGGTTATCGCCAACAATCTTCGGCACAGTACTCTCAGTTTATGACGGATGTGCTACTGTTCCAATGTTACATGTAACTAGAATACCAGCATTGACCGGAGCTAGTATAATTTAGGGAATTTTGGAACCTTTCTCTTCGGGGGCACCAAGTTGTTGTCTTGCGGTTTTTTTTTTATTGAATTGAATCTCCGATATATTGATCATTTGACTTTGAGTGAGTACCACCCATGGTACCAGCCGGCAAGAGCTTTAGAACACTCGATCGGTTAATCTGACCAGAAGTCGATGCATCTTGGAGGAGTTTTTATATTTGATCGGCGCCATACTCATAGTCATTTTGGCTAGATGATGGAGGATGCGGAACTTAATACCGTCTTCGTCTGAAAATCTTGGTAAGTTTATAATTTTACTTTACATGTGCGCGAGTGAGAACTCTGATCAAAGTTTTTTTAAGTTCCAAAAACAAAAAGTCATCCTTCGTGCAACTTGCAAGGTTTGTTTTCTTCAATCTGCTATCACACGAAAAGGAACCCTTCGTTGTGGGGTGCCATTGAGTAGGGTTTAAAACGGACAACTTTTTGGTCGTGTTTGTGTTCGCGTATGCATCAACTTCTCTATAGGAAATGCCAATAAAAAAAAACAATTTTTATTTCATGTAATCATTTTTACTTCGGCTTCAAACCTGTATAAGGGTAACCCGGTAATTTACATTTTGATTAAAATTATTCCGCCCTAAAACATTTATAGTTACCCTTTCAATTTTTTGTTCACAAAAAAATGTACCATTTATAGCACCGACTGGAACTCCGGGAACTTTATCTGACATGACTCTCCAACCGCACTACCCACCGCCCGGACTTCCTTAACAAGATGCACTGTTCATGCCTTCTCTCTCGGCAATGCCACGATGCCATGGACGACTAAGCAGACAAGCAGGAATTCCGAGAAAATACCGTGGACAGATGAGGCAAAGAACACCGGGAAAAGATCTGGGAGGGACCGGTATCGGTTGGACACAGGGCCCGTCTTAAGGCGGCGAAGTGAGACAAGAGTGGCCGCATTGGGGCCCATGACTAGATGGGCTGTAATGGTGTGGGTTTGCTGCGAGATGGCTGGCCCAACACAAGCAGGTGAGTGTCATTTATTTTTGTTGCAAGAAAGAAAGAAAAGAATGTTGCAATATTCTCATTATATTATATTGTATCAATAAAGGTCAGTCGTTGCAAAAATGTTGAAAAGACATTAAGCTGGGGCTGAGAAATATTTCCAATAAAACTCTGAAAATGCACTCGACTCTCCATACTTTGAGAAGTGGCGGCTAGATCTTACTACATTCTTTTCGGAAGAAAATATTTGTTCCCCATTTTCCTCGTATTTTTTTTCGGAAAGACTATTGACAGATTCATTTTTACAATTTATAGTTTGTTTATTGGAATAAGGTGTCAATTTTGTTGCCTCTATTTGTTTCATGGGGAAGACTGTAGGCCTACTGAAACAGCCATAGCAAAGGAAGGGAGAAAAAAAAGAGAGGAAAAATAGGAGTTTTGTAGGATCATTTCAGACTGAATATCAAGCTTGGGGACTCGACACCGTTTTTGTCCCCTTGTTCAAAGTACCCCACTTTCCCCCGACCGACCATTCATTACAATTTAAAGTTGCATCTTGTAAATTTATGCTAGGTTTGCCCTCCACTTATATTCACAAAAAAATTGAACCATAGACAAAATTGACATGTCTTTGATTAATTTTGTTGAAGAAAAACTCACTCGTTTCATTTACGCGGTTTTGCTTGGAAGCACTCTATAACGGATTAACAGGAATGTATCGGCGTTTTACCGAAGAAGTGTGTTATCCCACTGTCCCACCATTCACGACAAGAGACTTACAACGTGTAAAGATGCTTGTAAACCCTTTTCTTATAAGCTAAGCCTAAAATAAATCTTTCCACAGACCGAACAAACAGCAGTAGTAAGGTCGATTTAGGAAGCCTCACGCGTGAGGAAGAACGTCTGAAGATTTAAGCGCTAGGGACGACTATCTTGTTCGTCCACTCTCGACACGGGATCTGTGTAGTTTGGTTGTGTAAAGGAGATTTTCCGCCTGCTCACACAAACAGAATAAATCGCCGAATGAAACCCTAGAATTACCTTGGTGGATTTCGGGAAGTAAAGGGAATTTGCAAGTTTCAAATTTGGAGATCTAAGATGTTTTCTCCTTCATTCTAGTAAGGCAATTTGAAAATAAATTTGAGAACTTCAGCAGCACCAACCCCCCTCTCACTACTGGGCAGTCACGTCAATGAACACCACATGATTCTGAGGTTTTCCTCTCTATGTCCAACGAAATGATCTATTGCAAAAACTGAACGAAATGACGATTTTTTTTTAAACAAAGTAAATAACTTCTGGATACAAGTCAAAGGAGTGTAAAAATACAACACGCTAATTTAATTCGGTGAAAAAAAAATCCTTGAACTTTCTACCCTTTGTGAGAGCCTTGCGTCCAACAAAGGCATTCATAACTACAAACCTTTAAACATTCCTCAGCCATTTTTAATTGTTTTCTCTTGAAAGATGTAGAATAATGATAATAATATGCGCATTACAAGTACATGTAGATAGATTGCTTTGCTTGATATGTCATCAACAAAGATCATAAAACTCTAATCAACCGCGATTGAAGTTTGATTGAATTCTTCTTTTTCGCTTAAACCCAGATGCCGCACCGACAACTCCAACCGGTGATGTCTCATCCACATCCCAACCTGAAGGTGCCACCAACCCCTCCAACTACACGGAAGACAGATACAACAAGGCCTTCTTCACTATGCTCTTAGTCCTACTGGTGCCGCTGATCGCCTACGTGACGGCGATCATGATCAAGATCGTTTGTCCCGTGGACAAGGACCCCAGTACTTGGTGTGGCCGTGGGAGGGGGACTCACCCACGGATCGGTCCGGACAGCGCAGGGGGAGAGGATGAAACCGACAAGACATGGGGAGAGGAAAGAAGACTTAGAAATGCCGTCTTCATGCTGTTCTCTCTGGATAAGACTGAGGAGGAAGAACGCGAAGAAGAGCAAGAGAGCCAACAGATCGAGGCAGCCATGAGACGGCTACAGGCTAGGAGGATGAGCATGGCTGCTAGGCAGAGGTCTAGGGATGACATCCTGGGTGTAAATGGGCGGAGTGCAAAGACAGACAGTCTGTTGGGCCTTCTACCGGGAACGGCCGAACGCATACTGGAGGGTGATGCGGAGGATCTTGGAGATTCAGATGACAGGAGACAAGAGGGAGGGACAGGTGAGGACACAACCAGTGAGAAACCATCAAAGTCTGAAGATGATACTGATGAAAACGGGGATGTAGTGAAAAGCAACCCAAATGCAGTCTTGGAGGTAAACGGCTGTTGTGCTCACTCGACCAATTCGTCCCAAGAAAATCCCACGGCGACTGGACAAACAATTGTTGTCGTCAAAAGAGAAGACACACGTGCAGAAAAGACACCGGATTATGTTGAGGGCGTCACGCATAAGCAGCAGAGAGCAAATATTGACGCAGATCGGGTAAACATGGATGACACAAACACTGGGGAAAGTGCTGCCGATGATTCTGTAAAGCCGGCTTTGCCAGAGATGAGCAGCACGTTCGCTCATCATGACAGCTGTTCAAATGTTGGTGAAATCACCGGCAGCAAACAAGAGCTGAATAAACATGTTTGTTGTCCTGGTGCTAAGAACGTAGACGAAGCCGAGGTGAAGACTAGTGCTACCACGAATGTTTTACTTTTCTCACGAAGGCCCAACCGCTCTTCGACTGATGTTGATAATTGTGTCGAGAGTGCCTCAAAACAACCACACGAAAAGGTTTCAGAAGGTCCATCTTGCCCCGATTTGAAACAGAGTTTGGATGGATCGTTTAATAGCTCTTCTAATGTCGATCCTACCACCGTTAATGCAAAACAGTCACAGGGAAGGGCAAATGAAAATGTATCTTGCCTTGATTTAGAAGAGCCAAATGTTCCGTTAGAAAATCATCCAAGTGCATCAGTTACATTTGATTCCTTGGCTGATGATGATGATGATGATGATGACATCCCAACGTGTTCCGAAATCAAACAAGACTCAGGCGAATCCTTAAAAAGATATTGCAATGTTGTTACTAAAGTGAACAATGATAGTAAACCGCCACAGGAAAGGACTGCCAAAAAATCATCTTGCCTTGATGCGAAAGAACAGGATCCGAATGCGAGACCACTGCAAGACAATTCTCGTGCGGGTATCATTAATTATTGTAATGCCGACGTCTGTCATGAGAATAAACTTGCAGATGCTGACGAGTACAGCATCGGCAGTGACCGGCGGACTGACCACTCGGATGCTATGTCCACCGAGCAATCATCTCATGGCAACGCTGACCTGCAGAGCTGGGGATCGTATGGGGAGTTGGCTATCAGTCGACAACCGCCTGGGACCGCACCTCCGAGGAACGATAACCATGACGACCGGTCGTCCGTCGCATCACCAGGAGAGCAGTCCAGTAGCCCCGGAAGTCAACAGGCGCTACTTGGAGACAGGCGGTCGTCTCCTGCCAGTTTGAAGGGGTCTTTAGAAATCATCAGAATCTGATGAAGTAGAGGATTTGCTGAGATTTAGTTGTCCCGGGGTTATCTTTACATATCGGCTCTATTTACAAAGCTAAAAAGCAATATAAATGCTTTGTGTGCTTTTTTCGTAACAATGCCAGCGTTGAATTATTATTTGTCATCCGTAAGAAGAATTATTAAGTCTCATAATTTTTGTTTTCTGCTTCACGGCAAATTAAAAGTCAGCTGTCAATGGAAGGCATTTGTCTTGAAGCTTGCAGCGCCCTTTTTTGGCATGTATTGGACAATGACAGGCAAATAATGTATCCTCTTTGCATAAACGGTTCCATGTTTCATTCGTACTTATACCGTAGAATATAATTCTCATTCGTGCTTCATGAACAATTTTTTAGATGGCATAATACCAAAATATTCATGACACCAGATTTTTCCAGATTCCCCTGGAAAACGAACTTATTTTTTCATTCATATGTTGCTTCAAAATATTTACAGTGGCCCAAATACTACGATTTATGAATATCTTAACTCTATAACTGCTGCATCGAATCTATGCTGAATATAAATATATGCTCTATATTCCCAAGGTTATTTAGTTTCTACCATTAATTAAATATGTAAAAAAGAATATTTCATGAATTTGTGTATATACATTGCAGAAATAAATATTTAGAAGTATTCCGTCTTTGAAAAAAAAAAGTTCTATGGAATATCATTTGTTGTCCTTTTCATCTTCAATAAATCATGTTTTATAGGCGTCTCCCTTCACGCATTACAAGTCATGGAAATTCATCTTGGAAATTCATCGGAAAAGATTTTTTTCAGCCGACAAAGAAACAATTCTTACAACTGGGATTCGGACATGCAACCTTCAGAAAACTGCACAATGCTTTAACATGGATTACAGGGGAAAACAACTAGAGGCAAAAACAATATCAAACGGACTGCAAAACATCTGATAGATTCAGGAAACGGTTTATTCATCAGCACCAAAAACCACACCAATTTTGTTGTAACAATATAATACTGGAAATTCAAATATTTACGACAAAATTGTACAGATAACATGGACCAAGGAAGCAACATGATTGGTCAAGGGTTGAAATCACGCCGCAGAAATCACTTGATTATACTGCATCATTGCTTAAAACATGTATAAATATTGACTTCGTAAAAATGGATACTGAATCTAAAAAGATCCGTGATAAATAAATTAATCTTTAAGGTAAAAACAAATTACAGGGAAGGTTTTACACGAGTTGGAAAACATTGGTGAAAAGAAATTGTTCCCTTTCCCGTTTCATTGGCACCAAACCTCTCTGGAAAAGATCAAAACAAACACCCCCACCCAAAAATAAACCCCACCCAAATAACAAGTTCAAATTCAATCCAAATATTCACTACTTTGCCATTCCTGAGAACACTTGCAAGTAGTCAATAAATAATTGTAGATTAAAAGATATGTAAAAAAATAATTAAAATTAAAATTTCAAACACTTGTTCTGGCGATTTGTAAATAAGCTGGCATTCATTAATAAAAGTCTATTTTATAATTTACAATCCCTTCCCAAAAAAGGATAATTATTTTTGTTCACAGCATACGGTTGAAAACTGTTGGATCAAAAACATTATGCACTATCCACTTTTGAGCTGGTTCTATTTTTCTTAGCCTTCTTACAGACCTGGAAACATAGATTAAGGTACAAGAATTTTTAAAACCACAATGCAACAGATCGGCATCAAATTCAGAGAAAAATCACGAACATTTCTCATGCAACTAGATATTTTACTGTATTGGGAATAACATCAGATTGGCATCACAAGGGACATGGAATGTTACCTAAAAGATTCAATCCTTGTGTGTTTTTTTCCATCTCGAGAAAAAAAAGTCTTTTTTTCAATTGCCATTTTCCTAGCAATATATTTAAGTTATTAATTTGTGTACGAGACATCAAACGAAAAAAAATTGCACCAGCATTTACTGAGACCCCAATACACAGGGCTGCGACCTTTGGGCCTCCTTTGTGCGACCATAAAACTGGCCAGGTCGCCGTTGGAGGCTCAAAGGAGGCCGAATGGTTGCCGTCGATCTTGGCGATGCTTCTGCCTCCCTTGAGCCTCCTTTGGCCGATCAATATCGTGCATTGAACGATGACTGTGGCGACCGCTGTGCCTCCATTTGGCGACCACGAGCCACCATGGCCGTAGGTTGCACAATGGAAGCACAGCGGAGGCAGGCAAGTGGCTCAGTGGACGCACAGGTCGCTCGTAGCTCGACATGAAAATGCCCGAAAATTGCAGTTTTGGTGGTTCAAGGGAGGCACAAGGATCGCTGGAGCAGTTACATAGAAACAGGATTTTCTGGGTTTAGGCGACCATTGAGCGTCCTGGCCATTTTTGGTCGCTCATAGGTGGTACAAAGGTCGCAGCCCTGTGTAAAGGGGGCCTTATTGAATACTTTCTTCACAACCTTGAAATTTTTAGATGCCAGACAACAATTCTGCTCTCGCAGGGAGGGGGGGCATATGTGCACAAAATTAAAGAAGATTCCTGCTAAGAGGGTTGCAGACGCCCCAAAAAAGGGGGAAAAGTATTATTTTTTTTCTTGTTAAAACAAAACATACAAATTGAAACTTTATTAGGAGAACAAATCCTATGGGGCATGCATCTTTATTTGTAAAGTTTGGCTTTACATAATCACAAAGTTTCTTCAGATGATTGAAATCCCATTCAATAATTTACTGTTATCTAAATCATTTTGATTTTTTTTACATTTAAATACTCTCATGGACTAGGAAAAAAAGCTGGGGGTAAATACATTCTCGACTCTTTAAATCCAGCCTGATTGCGTGAATGCATAAAATAGAAGTAAATGTTTAAAAAGCCAAATGCTTTATAATTAGTATTGGTAAAAATGTAGTCAGCAAAAATACAGTTTTGGTACTGAGGTATTCCAAAAAAGAAATAAAAAAGGTATATAGTTTTTATTTTTTAAAATCCTAAATTACGTTAGCTTTTATACATGTGTACAACTTAAACAAATGCTTAGGTTTAAATCAAGCAGATAGGAAATATTGTTACACTCTTTAGGAAGTAAAAAGGGATTTCTGTTGCACTAAAATCCATTTATAAATCGGGGAGAAATTAAACAAAAGAACATTTGAAAACACTCCTCACGTTTGAAATTATAATAGAAAAAGGCAATTTAAAATATGAAGCTCTCAGCTCATTAGAAGAAAGGTTGACTCAGCTCAAACAATTAAAATTTCCAAATAACTTTTCGAGAATTTCAATATATCCCCATTTTTTTTTAATTTCTGATTAACTCTTTTTTTGGAGATTCATAAAAAATTAGTTTTGTTCATTCTATTGATGAGCTCAAGCTTGAAAAGATTTGGCATATAGTTTGGAATAATACATTTATTGATATACCGATATAAATGTCAGATTACATCATCTTGTCGCATCTTACTCTTATCTCCCCTCAGGCGACGTTCTTTTAGACAAGCGCTCGCACTTGGGGCATTCTCCAGAACACTTGTAGAAGCAATCCCTGCAAAAGAACCAATCCAAAGAGATGCAATGCGGAGAACAATCACAAATTGACACTCAGCGATTTGTGCAACTTTTTTTCCTGAAAATAAAGTTCACCTTCTGATGAAAAGATGGCAAATTTCAATTCACAAACTTGAATTCTAACAAGATTTTTTCAGAAAAATGAAAATTAATAGGAAAGCTGAAAACTGCTTGCCGACTGGATTGACCTGAAATAAAGGAATTATTGCGGCCAGACGTTGCAAACATAACAAGTTCTTCTTCAGAGGCAAAATGACGGAGGTACAAGAAACAAACATGTAGAAATTGACTGGAGCGGGATAATGTAGATTCAAACCCTGCTACAGTTAATTTCTTTGTTCAATCCGAAGGTGGCAGGTTCAAACCCCGCTCCGGTCAATTTCTTTGTTCAACTAAGAAACAATTACTACAATGCACCTAGTCATTTCCCTTCGTGGTTAAGTTGAAAGGATTTTTTTCAGGACATTTTACAACTAAACATTACATTCTGTGTAAGAAACATTACATTTTGAAGGATTTTGATCTCAAGCAAAATTAGCTGATGTTTTACAACATTAAGGTTGCATTCGTTATGGAAACATCGCAATGTCCTTACCTATGGAATACTTCTGAACAGTGTGAGCAGATGGTGGAATCATTATCAAATGGATACAGGACTTCATTAGAGTTTCAACATTAGGGTTGCATTTGTTATGGAAGCATCACAATGCTCTTACCTATGGAATACTGCTGAACAGTGTGAGCAGACGGTGGCAATCATATCAAAACAAGTACAGGACTTCATTAGAGTTGCAACATTAAGGTTGCATTTGTTATAGGAACATCGCAATGCCCTTACCTATGGAATACTGCTGAACAATGTGAGCAGACAGTGGCAATCATATCAAATGGGTACAGGACTTCATTAGAGTTGCACAACTCACAGATAAACCCTCTGGCTTGGCAAAGCTAGAATCAGATAGGAAATACAAGCAAGAAAGACAGAGTCTAAATTCTTCAGTTTTTGGTTCCAACTTTAAAAAATACTGCAAGTCAAACTTGCATGATCCCCCTGGCACGCTGGCAGTATTCATACAGTCAGTTAGTAAGCACACTTTTCAGTTGACCTAACCAAAATCAACAATGACCTAATTTGACCCCTAGATGACCTTTGACCTCAAATGTCGCAAGTCATCTGAAGTCCCCCTATCCAAAGATTATTGTCACCAAGTTTGGTTTTTAAGCCAAGAAAGTGGGATCTTTTCATATGACAGCACTAAACAGTTAACTTAACCAAAATGGAACACACACGGACACACACAGTCTTGTTGTGGGGACATACATTTGTCTCTACGAGGTATTTGTGGGGACTGAAAACGCTGTGGGGACAGCAGAAAGTCCCCATAACTCGGTCCTATTTTGCCTTACCATAAAATACTTCCCATAACGCGATGTAAGCCTACCCATACACATGGACACACAGAAGGAATACACTATTGCCAGATCCCCCTTTCTTGGCTTAAAAGTCAGGGGGATCAAAATAAAAGATATTGCCAGAGGTGAGATTGGGTGAAACGAAAAATCCACAAAACAATCGGCAGAGGGTTTGAGAATTGCTAAGGGCCCCAGAGCAACGTAGGGTCTATGGGTATAGGTTTGTATTTGCCTAAAGGCACCGCTTGCAATTCACATTTCTTTTGCTATATATAAAAATCCTAAAATCAGGAAAAATCCTGACACAAAAATAGCAACATCAGGCATAATCCAGAAAAAAAAATTCTGAAAAATCACTCCTGATTTGCGGCAACAAATATTCTTTGTTTCTTTGTCACAATAATTACACAAGACTCTTTCAAAGAAAGGACCAGTAATGATTCCTCAATGGTCAAGGAAATTTATTCTTTGTTGTTTTTCAGGTCAACTTAAAAAAGGTCACCAAGGATCGTATTTTCAGTAGTGAATTTCAAATTGTTATAGCAGTTCTTACCGGGCATTCTATCTTGATGTGGACAGCATAGTTGCCATGGATACCAGACAGTGTCCCTAAGAGAGTACCATCCTTAGCATCGATGAGATCCTGTAAGGAGTAGGTGTCTGGATTGTCTACAAAGTGAGGTCTGTTCTGCAACTGCGGGAGGAAATACAGGCCAAATTATACTCAACGTCTCAAGACATTTGCCAATGTTGAAATGTGTTTAACTGTTGTAAACTTGATAAACTTCCCAAGATTTCAATGATTCACGTTTGCAATGACTTTTGCGCCAAGCATGAATCTCATAAAAGAGTTGTATTAACCATAACCCTTAAGGCTTCATTTGAATTATCCAGAATCTTTGAAGTGAGCATGGTTAGGGTTAACGAGAGTTATAACAAACCTCACAGTTATCTTTAAGTCAGAATTTTGAGAGCACTTCACAAGAAACTATTACCCCAGATTGATAGGGATATACATTCCTGGATCCACCTCAAATTCCTAAGAAATACCAACAGAAGTCTTTAACCCTAACCCTGCCAGATGCAACACAGTGCATCCAGTGGAAAATCCTGGTGCACTTTGATGCATTCAGCTACCAACACCAGTGCATAAATGGCCACTTCTGAGACACTGAGAGCTAAGTCCCATTGAACATGCCACAGTTGTATCCTGCTGCATTCGGTGACCACAGACTCTGAGGCAGTTTGGCCTTTAGACTTTTGGCCTGATGGATCTTGCTACACTGGGCAGGCTTGTCATTTTGACAAGTGTTGCATGTTGCTGCGTTTAGCAGGGTTTCGAGCTAAAATGCCCTGGAGGGTTAGGGGTAAGGAATACTTTGAAAATCTGCCCAAACCATGTTCCCATGGTAATCCTCTGAACAGAAGAAACCCACATTCTCAAAGACTCGACCTGCGCCAGACACTTATTGATAGAGTTTCAGGAAAGCTAAGAAGTTGAATGAGTGCAGACCATACCTGCAGTAAGAGTTTGTCCTCCATGGCCTTCCTACAGGACAGAAAGTACATCTTCATGATAAGAATCTCCTCACGTAACTTCTGCAGGGAAAAATATTGAACATTGGCGTGATGATGAATTTTTTTATGGACTCCGGACGCAAGTGGTGAAAAAGAGTGCTAAAAGGACACTTAGTTTTCACTGCTGCTTTGTGTCTAACCTAAGGTGCATCTCATCTGCGAAGATGTTATGGGTTTGTGTACATTCAGCACCCAATTTCAAGAAGCCCTGCGACGCGAAACACATCTCAACTTGCAATGCATCGTATGATCCATTTCACAAACCTTAACGATGTGTTGAATGCGTCATAAGTTCCTTGACAACGGCTTAAAACATGTCGCAAGTTATGATGTATCTTGTGGTCATTGCAAAATAAGAAGCGTCATTTTCTTAGCCAGTTTTATGCCAATAAAATTACATAAACGAGACTATAAAACTGAGACAATGTGTGTGAAGTTGTAAATGGAAATGCATTGAAGTAACTATGAATTAGCCTGGAATATTACAGTTGAAATTGCAAAGTAGCTATACAGTCCATCGCAAGCTTGTTTTCCTTTAAACTACATCATATGTCTGCCATTTTGTTTTACGTTTTAACAACTTTTTGAGAGGAGACCCAACCACTCTTCTTTGCTGATAATCAGACAACTATTACTGTACGTTGAATAAATACATATAACAGTTACTGTGTTGTGCTATAAATACCCATACCATGCGTCACACTTACAACATGTTTTGTGAAATGAATCGCAGGATGCGTCGCAGCTTTGACGCATCGTAGGGATGTGACGCGTCGCAGCACTGCAATGCATCATAAGTTACAATGAGATTCATGAAATTGGGTGCAGATGAAGTGCACTCGGCGCCAAAAAGCACATGAACTTTTAGTCCAATGTAGTTGAAACAAACAAGTTCTGTGGTCCAGTCATTAGACACTGCACAACCCACCTTAATCTGACTGAGTTCTTCCACATAGTTAAACAGCATGGGGTTGAGGTCCTGTACACACAGTACTGCTCGCCGCTGCATCAGCTTCAGGTATTGCTTGGACTGCCGACACACCTATACCAACACACAAACAACAGTGGTTTAGCATAATCTTCTTGTTTTGGTTCTCAAGCTTATGAAACCATTAAACCTCCAATTTTAGCTCTCAAATTCTTTCAAAAAGTCCATTCATTCGTGTAGGTTGCTGGAGGGTGGGCCGATAATCCAAGAGGTCTGATTTCCTAAAGATAACTTTACTTGGCCTTATCCCTCCAAATCCCGGTTTTGGAAGATTGGGCAAGATTGAGGACAGTAGAGCTCAGCCACTCATCAATTAACAGTTCAAGTACAACGAACATGTCTTAGGCACAATGGTGGAGGATACAGAACATGTCTTGGGAGTTAGGTATATGGGGAGTTCACTAAACGGACACGGCAATTTTACCTTGACCTTTAATCCCCGAGAGTTTGAGATTGATTGAGGACGGTAGAGCTCAGCCACTCATCAATTAACAGTTCAAGTACAACGAACATGTCTTAGGCACAATCGTGGAGGATGCAGAACATGTCTTGGGAGTTAGGTATATGGGGAGTTCACTAAACGGACACGGCAATTTTACCTTGACCGTTAATCCCCGAGAGTTTCTGCTAGAAACCATCCTGCAAAATCCACCACTGTGGAAGAGCCCCATGGCAAATTCTTGATATTTACACTTTTAACGGGGCATCAAGCCCAATGTAAGGCAACAGTGACATGGCTGTACCTTCCTTCCACAACCTAACGGTGGATTTTGAAGGATTTTGAAGGGTAAGGTTCAATTAAGAGCATTATTAGCGGAAAGGTCACTTCAAGAGAGCATCCAGACAAAGATCACAGGGAATTAGGAAACTTTGTCTTTGCAGCACCAGAGACGTTGTCAAGAAAGTCTTGGAAAAAAAAAACCAAAACAAAGAGGATTGCAACAAGTTGATTCTTTGTAGAGAAAACTGACCTTTCTCGTGTCAAAGTCCCAGTTGTGGATGACCCTGGCAGGAATGACCTCCGTGTCATTCCAATGACACAGACTGCAGTAGTAATGACCGTCATAGTCACATTGCCTCGGCTCTGAGACGTCACCCTCTGATTAAAACCAATCAGGGAAATGAAACGAATCACAGAATATCTACTGTGGCTTGACACAAATGCATAATCAAGGAGAGCAGCAGGTTTGATTATTCCTAGTTATTCTTTCACAGGAAGATTGGATTGAAGTTGAACGTTCATATGACTTACTGAAAGACAGTTGCGTTCTGCATTCTGCGCAGCGATAATTCTGAGCTGCTAACCCTGATTCCGGACAAATATCCACGATATAACCGCGTTTAGATATCTGCCAACAAAACACAAAAATAATACAGCACATTTGAAATCTAGCAATGTCAATATGCATTTGTCCATTTGTTATTAGAAATGTTGTGTACAAGGTGAGTAAAAAAATACGAAACCCAAATGTTGGGACCATTGTTTTAGGGAAGTTTTGCATGTAGCATTTTCAAAATCTAGGATGTGAAAGCCCAATTCATAAGCTTTCTTTAAGTACAAGAATCATTCAAATCACTCATGTACTTTTGAAATTACGGAATTTTAAACACAACCACCATTTTAAGGTTCTGTCCACGGATCACAAAAAAGTTCATTGTTCTTTCAGCAAAACAAAAACAAATCACATAAGGATATGTGTGAATTGTTTTTGTTTTGCTGAAAGAACGCACACCTTTTTTGTGATCCATGGACAGAACCTGAAAACGCTGGTTGTGTTCAAAATTCTGTAACTGAAAAGTACAGGAGTGATTTGAATAATTCTTGTACTAAAAGAAAGCTTTTGAATTGGGCTTTCATATCCTAGATTTTGAAAGTGCTACATGCAGAACTTCACTAAAACATATTGGGTTTCGTTTTTTTTTTTTACTCACCCTGCAGTTAGTTTTACTATAAGAGACTACTACATGAGAGAAAATAGCCACAGGGAAGATTTGGCGACATCAAATATTGATATCAGGTCAAATACACACCAAAATTACTTTACTGATTAATTTACAATTTTAAAAATATTTTCTTTGCATTATCTTATGTGCCTCTTTTTCAAAACTCACATTAACTATTAATTATCTAATCCTGATTATAAACTTCCTTGTTCCCTTTTTTTTTTTTAAATCAAGCTCAGATTAACATAAAAACTGCACTTTTTCTTTCCGTTTCTTTTGCCTTGCTTTCACTTGTATCACTCTAATGACGGGAAGAAATAAAGAAAGCCAAAACATTTCCTTAGTCACTTAAATGATTATTATTATACCGGGGTGTCTTCCACTTTCACAACAATAGATATTACTATCGATTTCAGTACAGTACATTGTTAGCCATAATGTAACGGTGTTAGCCAAAATGTAAGGGATATATAGGTTCACTAGGAAAGTACTTTCAATTTTCTGTAGAACTTGAAATAAGAAAGGGGAAAAAATTGACTATTACAGTATATGTTACTGTACAAGACTATGAAATAGAGTGTTGCAACAGAGCTCATTTAACATAAATAAAATACATTGCTTGATTAAATTTATGAAAGTAGAAATATGGCTGCATAGTGAACATCCTTGCCATGACAATGAGATTGTGATTTCTACATTTTTCGCATAATGAGATGTGAACATTTAGTGCATGTCGTTTTTTTTCTTTGACCGAAATAATGTTGAAAAAGTTATTTAAAGTATCTAGTGAATCATATTCATATCCTTGCAAAATATTTTTACTTTTTTCAATTTTTTTTTTTTGGTAAGCCCCCTCGCAGTCTCGCACCCTCGCATAGCAAAATCATTTTCTCAAACAGAATAAGCTTATAATTGTATGTAGCAGCGCTGTTTTTTAAAATTTATTATGCATTTGGTTTCTTGCAAGAAAGGTTGAAGCATGAGTACCAGACATGGAGGGGTTTTACACATTCATGGTCATTCTAGTCAGTAACCAGAAATTAAAGTGTTCTGAACTGCTATTGAATAGTGTTGATGGATCCATTAATGTTAGGCCCGTTCCAGACACTGTGCTACTGCCATGCCTAACTCAATTAGTTTGCCTTTTTTTAAATTCGGCACGGCGATATCACAGCGTTTAGAACCACTTGGCTCGGTGAATTGAGTTCGGCACGGCACCATCCTTTGGCTCGACAGGGCTGCCGCGCTATCGTCATTCCGAACGGCAGTGGCACAGCAATATTCTAAACATCATGCCATTGCCGTGCCGAACTCAATTCAATTAGAAGTTGGGGGAAACAATTTAGGAATGCGCATGCTCACAATACCCTCTCTCACGTCTGTATCATGGGGAGTGAAATTGGCGGGTCTATTTTGATCGCGCTGAGGGTTCATTGAACTGCTTGAACTGCTTTCACCTGGCCCATTACTCCAGATGAAGATTCGACTAATACGTTCGGCATTTAGAGTACCTGCAGTGCTTTGACGAGCTGTTGCCACACTCTTTTCAATTAAGTTTGGCGCGGCGGTAGCACGGCGTCTAGAACGGGCATTAGTATAAGGTACAATTTTCCATGGCTTACGAGGCCGGATGTAATTTCTTGTGATTAGTTTCAATGGTTGATTGATACTAATTGCATATTAATTATTATTATGAATTTAGTTTTGTGCCAAAATTTGTTAATTTGTGCCAATGTAATGGAAAAATTATGATTTGAAGGTTGATTAAGTATTAGTATATATGCACGTTAATCCAAGAGTAGCGCAAGATGAAAATGACTTATGCTTGAAATACTTGAAATGATGAGAGCTTGGAACAGTGTAGGCATTCTACACAATTACTACCTGTGCTTTTGCAAGTGTGTTTTTGTTATCCATGGTAACGCTGGGTACTGGCCTAGCCTTTGTAATGCAATGCAAAATAAATACATTATAAAGCTATTAGAACATATGTTATGGTGTTGATAAAACAGTTCATTTTTCTGAAGCGTGCTGCAATTCATGGTTTTAGAGAGTTTTCATAGACATATGATACAAAGCTTCAGTTCACATCCGGGATGCGGACAAGTTGCAGATATTGTATCGGGTATAAGTTGCAGGATTCTGAACAACTTCCTTGCAATCTTCCTGCAATGAAGTTATCAGTATTGGTTAGTCAAGCAGTTGCTAATGAAAATGTCCCCGGAACATGTCGGGGACAAATGCAGAGCTTCTTTCAGACAAAGTGAATTATTCTACCCATAACTTGTCCAGAACTCGTCCCGGGTATGAACTGAGACGGGCCCTCACAATCCCTGAGTGGACAACAATCGTTAATTGCACAAGTATTGTGATCAGCAGAATTAAAAAGAATTATGATTAGTAAATGGTAAAGCAAATCTGTGATATTCGCTTTTATTACTATTGGTGTAAGGGAATATCACGTGACATTAGCCTTTTAATTTGATTGGTGGACAGCAAGCCATGTGACATTATCCTTTAGTGGGATTAGCGTACAGCATGTCATGTGACATGTCCTTCATAACAACAGGTGTGTATTTTTAAATGCAAAATGCTTAAAGGAATTAACACTGCAAAAACTCATCTGAACAAACCGCATTTACATGTGTTGTTAAAACTGGGTGCGTCACCTGAAATACAATTGACACACAAAGCATCCAGGTTTGGATTAAAAAAGCAACATGTAAACACTCACAGGTTGTTAAAGGTAGGTTAGATCACTTGTCATTTGTGCATTTTTGTTTGTTTGAAGCAACAAAAGTGCTCACAATCTGTAGACGGGTGCTTAATAACCTGATGAAGTTTTAGCTCAGTGAATGCTGTATATTCCGAGAAAACAATATTCTAGGATCTCGATTTCAATTCAAAAGTTGCCGAGTCATGTTTTGAATTGCGCCCGAAATCAGCATCCGGGACACGTTCTCCTTCAGCCGATTGTCACGCACTGAACCGACGAATGATGGCAACTGCGCGTGTGTGCGCATTGAATCAACGCTTGCGCACAACCATTCACAGATTTGCCGAATGACATACCAACTACTGATGGAAATTTCCAAAAATGTGTCAATTGACGCATCTTTGGAAATGGCCTTCTTTTATTTTTTTCTTCAAAATGACAGCATGCCAGAAAGAAAAATTTCACAGGGAGTTTATTGCCATTACTATCTTTAAACCAAGTCAGCTTTTCAACAATAATTGTGTCAGTTACTTTGTGGATAGCTGCAATGATCTAACTCTACCTTTAAAGAAAGCAAACTTTCTAACTGCAACATTTGGTTTTGAGTACATTGTTATTCTAGTAGAGTCAGGGTGGATAAAATCTGCCATAAATTTGTCTTGCTAAATTGTGTGGAAACACCCCCCATCCCCACCCTCAAAGCCCCCCCCCCAACCCCCTCCCCACCCCACCCCCTTCCCTAATGTTGGAACTTGTTTATAGTGTTTGCAAATATACATTGCCATAACCAAGTTTCAACTGCATATGTGCACATATCCATTGCATATGATTATTCGTTTTACTGTTTCCCAACAAAATAGCTTGCTCCATGAAATGCACAGAGACAACGAAAGCGCCTTCCATTGGGAAATGGTTGACCCACCCTACAAGGTACCCACCTTGGTGCTGGCACACTGCCGCTTGACGAAGTTGAGACATTTACTGTGGCAGCTGAACCCACATTCTGGTGAGGAAAGCAGGGGACAAAAAATAGGATTAGTATCTCAATTGTATAAATCTCAAGCCTGATTCATGCTTGCGATACTGTAAAACAGTTATTAGCAAAAAATTGCCAGAGTTAAACACAGGCATGCAACTGGGAATTTAGAAAAAAACGGAACCACACAAGACTTTGTACAGTGTTTTTCAATTTGTAATGGCATTCATGAGAAGGAAAAAACGAGAATATCAGCGGATCCGAAGAAAAGTTGCATGCCTGTAAACAGTGTTAAAGTGTAATCAATGTTTACATGTGCCTTCGACGTAAATCCATATTTCTATTCATAATCAGGGCTCAGGCTTACAATAACCCTAACCTTCCCAACTCCATCAAAATCCATCCCCCAATTTGGGCATTTTGGCAGATGAGCCATGATGAGTACCAAGTCCATCAAAATCCACCTATAGCAGTGGAAGATTTGTGGTGGATTTTGGCAGATTTGGTCCTGAAGCATTATTTGAAGCACAGTCGACGATGGATTTCGATGGACTTGGTACCGTTCTTAGTCAAACTCAGTAGGCAGGTAGGGTTAAGAGGGTGGGGTATACAAGATAACCAATGACTATCTCTTGGTTAACTTATTCATATATTCACGTACACTTTTTTTTTCAAAATACGGAGCACATCTGTTCAATTCTGAAAGCTTTTCAAACACACACAAAAATAAAGATGGAAAAATCTGACGAATCATTCAAGTATTGAAGTTGGCTACCAACAAATGGTTAATGCTAAAAATGGCTGAGAAACCATAGGCTTCTTCTCTTTAAATATTTGATGAGGAAAGGAGGCTACTTTTAGGATGGGTTTAGAATCTTGGCCATATTTCAGGTAGTTGATGAAAGCCCTTTTCTTAAACCCAATTTGTTTCTAGAGGTCAAGACAATTTTCCATGAGATTCCTCACCTATGCACCTGTGCCAGCTCTGCAGCATGCCCCAGATGATTGAGTTACAGGTCTCACATTGGTGGTTGGAACTCTTGCCTTTCCTCTTGACAAACTTGTGGCCTAGGACCTGCTTGATGTCGGGGTCGTCCTCGGGACCTTCCTAGAAAATACAAATCATAAGAGTAGTCGTAAGCTCTGGAAAGGCCGAGCTACAATGTAGTTCTGGACAGACAGTAGCAGAAACTGTCGATTTGTAGTAAAGTCTATCAAAAGTGACATCAAAAGCCAATTCGCAAAGTTCAGATCACAAATAACAATGGATATATCTACGGCAAAGAAATGTAATAATTTATCACCTGACTTGAGACTGGGTGACTTTTGATTGACTTGTGATTACTTGTCATAATTCGCCTTTGACTTAAGTTACTTGAGATCAGGGCCTTATTTCACGTCGCTGCTGACCAGTTTAGCAGAAAAGTTGTGCTTACTACAGTTGAAAATTGTATTAACCTTGAGCTCTTTTTCTTAGCGTGGATGTGCTAGCGGTCACGCACACATGGAGATTTCTATTACATTACTAAGTTAAGCACATATTTTCTCTGAGCTAAGCGTGCCTTTTGCTGTGCTTACTGCTTAAGGTCTCCATGAAATAGACGGAGGCTCTGTTAGCAGCAAATCATGTGCTTAGCAGAGCCATGAAATTGGGCCTCGACTTGTGACTGGACTTGTGATGGACTCTACTACACCACTGGTTGTGACCACTGGACGCTGAGGACAATATGAAGGGGAGTCTTGAATGATCTAACCTTGATTTCTAGTAGTTTCATGCGTAGCTGGACCAGCCTACTGATGAGTTCCCGCCGCTGCTCTGAATGCTCTCTAGTCTCCTTGACTGACTCCTTGCACAGCTCTATGGCAACCTCCAGCTCCTCAACCCGGGAGAACCCAAAACATCCCTGACCAAACAAACAAACAAATAAACAAACAAACAAATAAACAAATTCAGGACAGAATAAAACCCCAAATTATAAAGACAAGTCTGACCCTACAGTCCCTACAAAATACAACACACAGAGTGTCATGTTACATTCTTTTGTATACAAGAAAAGTAACATTTTTTCCCCAAACCATCAACCCGTTTTTTTTAACCATTACAAGGAATTTAAGGGACAAAAATAACAAACAAAGCCACACCTCGGGCTGTGAGAAGTGGTCTTCCGTGATGCCGAGATCTTCGTTGGTGATCAGTGCAAGATCCAGATCCTTGGATGGGAGACTGACTTCAGTGTCAGTGTCACTGGAGGTAGACTGATTCTCATGCCGTGGGGTACCTGGGAGAAAAAAAAAAGACTCTTTAAGTACCACATCAAAGCTGCTAGTCACTTTCTTTTCCTGCACTAGGGACACACATTTGTTCCAAAAAAAAGAGAGACTTGGTTAATGGTTCATAGAAAAGAAATAAGACAAAATGCTGTAAATGGTTATAAAATAGTGATAACAAAAAATTTGATGCATTTTGTTGAAGATAATTATTAACAATAATAAGGACAAAATAATGTGTCTTTATTTGTGCCCCTGGCCACACAAAAAATACCCCTCATCATTGATTCAACACCATTCACTCATAGAACAAGCGATCTGCGATCGCAAGTGTAGACTTTTTCCGCGGTCAATCCCTAGGCCTACATGTACATGTATATGTTTTGTGTTATTCTTGTTTCAAAAGGCCTAACCTCTAATGACCCCTACATGACCTTTGACCTCAGTAATCAGATGCACAATTGTGTCTTCCCACCCAAGTGTCACTGCATCCAAGTTTCATCAAAATCCATGAAAGCATGTAGAAGTTAGACAAAGGTCAAAATGTGAACAACATTTATATTAAATAAAAACTACATGTGTATGTATAGTCTGCATTGCTTAACAATAACACTTCAAAAGGGGTTTTTGAAACTTAAGTTTTGTGACCAGCTTCAGCTTTTAAAGGGAGATTTTTAGGCTCCTTATTTGGAGGAAATTTAGGTCCTTGTTCTGCATGAACATTAAATCCTATAACCTGAGGCTAATGTTTAGAATATTTCCGTTTGGTTTAGACACTGAAGGCTTTTTGTGATTCTTGAGCCAGAGATACCAGCTGATTTCTTCCCCAGAAAGTGAAAAAAGGATGATTAATTTTTATTACAGCTTTGAGGAAAGGCCAATGGTATCGCTGATGCTTTGCAGCAACCAGCATTTAAACACTATTCAAATTTACCATGCTTAAACAACACGGTCAAAGTAATAACGCTGTCAATATGAATGTGAATGCAAGGTCTGTCGGTAAAATGTGTACTTCAATAGAAGAGAAACACTTAAAAAAAAGTATTTTTGGCATAAAAGTTATTATATTTGACCATGTCTTTGTTTTGTGCAGAAAAAAAGAAATACATTTACATGTGTGAACACTTAAATATTCAAAACAGTCAGAACATTACACCTGCCCCCCCCCCCCTTTGGGTAATTTTTTGATGGGAACTTTATTGAGTCTACCAAGGTCTCATCCCATTGCTGTCTCCAAGAAGTTGGTTTATTTTAGGGTTAACATTATCTTCCCAATAAATAGCTTTTTTCCCAAAACAATTTACATTAACATGTGTGTGTTGCAAAGGTGAACATTTTTTTTTCTCAGGATTCCCACCGGAATTATAAAATGATATTCCACGACTTTTCCCTGGACTTTTCCAGGACAAAATTACGGCTTTCCATGACCAATTCCTACATGTACATGTACGTTGTTTTGGCATTTTTGTTTTGGAGCTTATTTACAATACACTAGCCAGTCATCACACTGAGGCAAGGGGTGCCACTCCCAACCAGCCTCCCAGTTTGACACAAGACCACTGAGCACCACAAAAGCATCACAATGGTGCAGTGAACATGCAACAAGTATAGAGCATACATAGTTAACTGGAATGCAAACTGGAAGACCCCCCCCCCAGGATTTTCCATGACTGTGAGAACTCTGTTTTATATTAGATCCAAAAAAGAATTCTCCTTTTAATTCAGCAAATGTGTAGGCAACCTCCTTCATATAAGATTAATTCAATTATATTTTCCAGGCATCAAGAATGGGTCTTTGAACTCACCAAAGTCGTCTCTATCTCCTGAAAAACTGGTGCCAGAGACGGACGGAAAACTAGACATGTTGTCAAAGTGGTCATCGTGGATGTAAGGGACCCTGTTGAATGGATTAAATCTCTCCCGATGTGTGCCCCTATCACTGCCTGTGCTTCGTGGAGAACCCTCAGCCTGCGATGAAACATTCTCTTTGGGTGAGGACGATAAGGAATTACCAGAAACTGTTTCTGCAGATGTTTCGGGAATGCAATCATTGCCTATAGTTGATTCTAGAACTGACGTTTTATTGAGTACTACTTGATTGGGACTACGTTCATTATCAGGCCTGATATCTGTTGATTCCTGTCCCGTTTCCGATACTCCATGGTTCTCCTCCCTTCTGAGACTCTGGGCTGTCTGTGAGTCGCTGTTGAACCCCGAGTCACTCTTCCAGCTTTCCTCCGTCCAGTTAGCTGTCGGCGTTGATTCCAAATCTGTCCTACTAGCGTTGGATTTGGAAGTGTCTGGTTGGCTTCCGTCAGGAAAGCTCTCCTCGTTAATTGGTTCGTCGTCTTCTTCTTCTTCGTCATTTTCCGAGGAGAAGCTGTCGGAGTCTGATCCGAGGCACGTCCCACTGAATTTGATCACAGCAGTAGAAGACTCAAAGGTCTGCGTGATCTGCGCAGGCGATGGAGTGTCTTCCTGATCTGGAGTTGTTTGAAATATAATGTGGCGAATGGTGAATTTTATGACAGGCCCATAACAAAATTTTGTCAATGTTCAAAGATGGAATTTGCGTTCGCCAGACCATGTCCAAATGTTAAAAAAGGCGATAAGTTGGGTCCAAGCTACTCGGACTAGTCATATTAAGGAATATGAGTGGTGGCCCAGTATGGAATTGTTCCACCTCTGCAATTTTGATATCATAGGAATGATGGTAACCAAATAATGAAATATGATGCATGGATCTGGAGGAAAGTATGGGCGGCCGGCAAAATGTAAACATAAAAAAGACAGTCAACACAAACAATGAAAAACAAAACTTAATTCACAAGTAGCCTACTCCATCATCATCATCAACAATCAGGATTTTTACCCTTTGTTTCTGCTTCCATTTTCACAGCAGTCCATGGAACATATTCTCAAAACAGGTCCATCGTCAGGTCCGGGATTTTCCAGTTCACTGTACCGTTTCATAAAAACAAATTTTATGCTGCCCCATGACATGAATGTCACTGAATGTTATTTATCAATTTGCAATAGCGCCCTCTAGGTTTTTTAATGAGTCACTTGACAACAGAGGGCGTGTGTCACTAAATCGACCTCCAGCCAGTTTCTACATTTTGGGAACGCAGTGTTCATATCATTTCTCATTTTAATTTTCGCGGTTTCTCACATTTGTAACAAAAACTCATCAAAACAAATTCAAATATGGTTGCTGCGTGGCGTCAAGCAGGAATGAGGTAGTATTTTGTGAATTAATGTTCATAATAAAACAATAAAAATTGCAATTTTCATGAGGACTTTTTTTTCAGCCGTCTCTCTCAAACTCAAAGTAACCTAGCCCTAGCTGAACCCCCTAGCTTGAGTAACTCCAGCTGATTCACCCTCCAGCTGACATGTTCCATATTCATTCACATGTGAATGAATATGGAACATGTCAGCTGGAGTTACTCAAGCTAACCTAGCCCCATAATGTGGCCAATTTATTACTGGACTACCTCCATAAATAAAGGCCACACTTCCACCATGTACAAAAACATGTCAAACTTTGTCAAATTTTGATTTACACATGATAGGCTTAGTTTGTAGTTTATTTTTACTTTAGAAGCATACTCGCCCTCTTTCTTCTTCTTCTTCCTTCTTACTAGTGCTGCCTTCATATGTTGAAGATAAACGCACTGGCTAATCAGAAAGTGCTGCCTTTTTCAGATGTCTAATTTTTGTAAAATTTCACATTGAAATTTTTGATACGCAAACGTGTGCAAACGAATCTGGAAATTTCACAAAAAAGAGACATCTGAAAAAGGAAGCACTTCCTGATTAGCCTATGAAGAGGGTGAGTATGCTTCTAAAGCAAAAATAAACTACAAACTAAGCCTAAATGTGAAAATCAAAATTTGACAAAGTTCTACATATTTTTGTACGTGGTGGAAGTGTGGTCTTTATTTACGGAGGTAGTCCAGTAAATTGGCCACATTTTATCTCAACCATGGAGCAAGGAACAGGAGTCAGAACTCCCCTACTTAAGTTATTATGATTGTGATACATTTTATACATGAATCCAAGACCATTGCTGAGACTGATGACTGAGAAACACTTAAGAAATGACTCTCCATAGACTTTGTACACAATCGCGGAAGTGGCGTCAGGTTGCAACATTTTTTCCTCGTACGTCAGTTTGGCCAAAAAAAATAATAGTTGTGCTTCCGATTACATGGCATTCCAAAATAGGGTAGGTAGGTAGGGATTTTAAATTTTTTTTGGCCAATTTTTGTTTGTGTACGATCATATGGAGGCGTCTGCGTGCAGTCAAGGGTAAAAGGTAGAAATTTGTGGGTTTGGATGGGTTTTTTTCCTCATTTTTCCCATAAAAAAAATTAGTGTCAAAATACGGTAGGTAGGGAAACCGGAAGCAGAACTATTATTTTGTTTGGCCTTATCTGCCAGTGGCAGTGCCACTAAATACTGTCATTGTTCACCTAATCTTGTGATTTTACCCAAGGCGAATCCAGGAAGCTCCGGCAATGTGAAGACATTTCAGGAAAAAATGTGTTTTTGGATACTGTAATTTCATTGGTCGAGAATGGCCATGTGCCCAGTCTGTAAAAACTCATGACCCATGTAGTGATGTACAATGGTCAACCTCATATACAACGCGCATTGCATATGCGCGCGTGTTGAGCCTGCACGCGCGCAGAGCCTGCACGCACGCTCGCGACTGAGAACTGCATGCAATGTGCAACCGCTCAGCCTCATGTCTGGCAGGAAAAGCTGCACTAAGGGTTACACAGCCCTGACAAATAACTGATTTAATTTCTTAGAACCATTATTCTTTTGACATATTGGCACGATTGTTTTTGCACCCTCGGTGTTAAAAACGGCATATCCCACATCACAGTAGTCAACATTTGTTAATTGTGTAGAAATAGAGACTGGGTACCAGATGCTTCTTTGGACACAGTTGATTGATGCAGCATAGTAATAAAGGGTGTTGGACTGGTTGTTTCATGCGCTAATTAACAATTGTTGACTGCTGTGATTTAAAACATGACTTTTTAAACACCTGAGGGGTGCTATGCGCCCCGCGGGGGTTAACAACGGCATATTCCACATCACAGCAGTCAACAGTTGTTTTGTATATCATGCCAATAACTCAGTAAAGATAAATGATTGTAACTTACTGTGTGAGAAATAAGTTTAATCACTGCGATGTAACCGTTGGTAACTGAAGGCGCAAAGCTATAGCATGTCGGTAGGCTCCACGCGCGTGCGCAATGCGAGCAATACACAGAATTAAGTGACCCAAATTTTCGGACTTAGTGCAGCCCAGTTAAAGAGGTTGTGGAATGCTCGAAGACATTTCCGTCATTTTTCGGGTATATGTAGCCTAAGGTGTGATGAAATAAAAACGACTATTGTGTCTGTCATGAAATGAGTAATGAGTACAAAAGGTACTTTTGAGAGCTGTTTTTCAGGTCCTGTTTCGAACCGAACGTGCAATTTGTGTAAAAGTCGTCGTTGGGGGCAGCAAACAAAACATAGTAAATCGTGACGTAATAAACAGGACTCCCGATGCAGCGTAGTATAAACGAGTCCTGTTTATTACGTCACGATTTACTATGTTTTGTTTGCTGCTCCCAACGACGACTTTTACACAAACTGCACATTCGGGTCGAAACAAGACCTGAAAAACAGCTCTCAAAAGTACCTTTTGTACTTGTTTCATGACAGAAACAATAGTCGTTTTTATTTCATCACACCTTAGGCTACATATACCCGAAAAATGACAGAAATGTCTTCGAGCATTCCACAACCTCTTTAACTAAGAGCATGTACATGTAGTATACTGGCATGGGCTGAATGCAACCCTCCAAAAAAGAAATTTAAGGGGCTGATCATTGAAAACTCTGAAATCCAGAGACTGATAGTGATAACCTTTCAGTATGCTTAACTGTTTTAGTTTTGTCACATTGTTAAACGAGATTGATCTTTCTTATTTTGCAGCTATATCCAGTACTCAGCGCTGTGTGCTCGACTACTGAGGCGTGCTCTGAAGCCTGAATACAAAGCCGAGGCGCTGAAGATAGAGGACACCGCTATGCGTGTCACGCAGTGGGAGAAAGGTGTACCCAGTAAGTATCATCTGCCACTGGATCATTGGTCGAGTCATGACAGGTGTCCCAAAATAACTATTGTGATTTGGACTGATTTTGAAGGATTGAAGATAAAAATTTGGTTGGTTTTGGAGGCATGGGAGCACTCTCAATAATTGTAGTTGAGTTGCAGATTGCAGGTCAAAGCACAAGTCCAATGCAATTCAAAATACTTGTCAACCACCAAAATTGTTTGTCTTCTATGCTGAATTTTTTTATCTTGATTATTTAATTTAGGTTACGAATGAAAGTAACGGAAAATGAAGGGATTAAATGAGAACTTACCTGGGCCCAATTTCACGGCGCTGCTTAACAGTTAGCAGAAAAGTTGTGTTTAGCATAGCAGAAAAATGTGCTAACCTTAAGCACTATTGCACAGCGTGTGTGTGCTAACGGTCGCACGTGCATGGAGATTTCTATTGTTACGTCACTAAGTTAAGCAAATTTTTCCTCCAAAGTAAGCGTGCCTTTTGCTGTGATTATGCTTATGGTCTCCATGAAATAGACGGAGGCTGTATTACCAGAAAATCGTGTGCTTAGCAGCGCCGTTGAAATTGGGCCCTATTTTTAATTTAACCCTAACTCCCTAGGCCTTTTTGCTAGGATGTAGCCTCAATCCTGCAAAATCCTCCAATTGGCCTCATGGAAAAATAGCATATAGCCTCAATCCTGCAAATTCCTCCGCTATTTCTTGAATATGGTCCATGGAGGGGTGACCACTGCCTGAATCCTGCAAAATCCTCCGGCTATGACTGTCAATAGGCTGAGGCAGAGGCAGTGACATCCTGGAGCAGTGTGGAGGATGTCAAGTATAATCAAGGGCTAAATTTATGCACGGCTGAGCATAAACAACACAAGGTCCGGCCCAAGACCTTGACACAGTGCGTACTCCGAAATCAGCAACCCACTTTTGCCATGTAACCTCAATCCTGCAAATTCCTCCAATTTGCAAAAAGGATTTTGGAGGATTCAGGGCGGTTAGAGTTAATCCTGATTTTGTGAGAAAGGGCGAGTGAGAGATTACGTGAAATCCTGCCACGCACATGCACAATCATTAAAATTATCAAAGTGAATCATGTGTGTGTAAATTTAGCCCATGTTGTTTAATGTGTTTTGCCTCTGTTGTCTTGATGCATATAATAAAAAAAAAATTAAAAAAACCATCTATGGGCTCCGTGCGCCAACAAAAGAGGGTGCGTTTTTACCTCTTTTGAGAGCTCCATGGACGGGACACACAGTGTGCGGCGGGTACTGTACGAGTACTGTACGCATGAGCATCAAGCGTCATCGGCGCGCAAATACGTTTGAATTGAACTTGCGATGGTCTCCCAGACTAATCCCCGCCTCCAAATAACTTTGGATCATTCGAAATACACAGTGCATGGACAAAGAACCAGTCTAGGTCACCCCCAACTCTCTTTTTTCTGGCTGTTGAAGGGGTACTTGTGCACGGATCTGTGCACGGATCCCATACAGTGTGCTAACCAAGTAAATTGTGTTCTTTATTTTCCTCTACATAAACTGTAGAACAGCTGAAAAGCCTGTGAATTTGGCTTTCTAACATTTGGTCTTTACTTTCTGTTATTTCAGAGGGACAAGCCAAGAAAGATTAGCCAGTTAGGACATTCGGACCTCCACACCTCCAACCTCAGATCAGGTCAAGCCAGGACAACATGGGATGTTCAATAAGTGACCTCACCGGCCATGTTTTCTTCTGTCTTGGGCACAGATGGATGTTCAGTGAATTGGATCTTTTGTACAGTGAATAATGGACTGATTGCGTGACTACATTTTTTGATGCTGTGAGGTTTTTACGTAGTTTTTGTGTTGTAAAAGAATGTTGCAATAAGATAATTATTGGATAGGACTAATCGGTTGCACAGGTGTCTCTAAAATGCCCTCTGCTCTGTCACTAGGCAACAAAATTCCATCTGCTATTCATGCAATTTCCACAATTTTGCAAATAATAGAAGAAATTCATATTTGTTTAAAATCAGTTTAATTTTAAAAAACAAATGTGGTTAATTGTTACCAGAAAAACTTTCTGTGGGTGAATTTTGCCAACTTGTTCCTTCCTGGGCCTGGGATGTTGAGGGGTAATGTTTTTTTGGTTAAAGCTGTATTTAACCCTTTAGTCACTGTAGCACCCAAAAACCACCCTGCCTGTTACTCACTGTATCGCCCGAAACCGCCCAAGCACTCTATGGTTTTGTTGATTCTGCAGTGAAAAAATACAGTGTAATACAATGAAGTTCAGGGGCTAATGGGTCAAGTTGACAAAATGAGAAAAATACAACATTCTTTTTGAACGAATTTTGGGAACCGTTTTCCCTTTCTGAGTGGCAAACTTCCGACATAATGTACTCCTGGAAAACTATAAAGGATGCAAGGAATAAACAGCCTTTGTGAAGTCATGGCTGCCATTAAACATGCAGGAGTGGAATGCCCTAAAAGTGGGCAAGACAAGTTGAAGCAAAATGCCTCACACAACAGCTTATAGGAAGCTTTTCCTTGGATATCTTCACTAAACATCAAACGGCTGTATGCAAGTTAATTTACAAGAAGCAAACACTTATTTGACACTGTTTGAATTTGTGCTGGAAAAATCTGAGTTACACATCCATGTTGTTTTACATTTGGTCATAGTGTTGCTGAATAAAACTTTCAAAGGAACAAGGTTTTCCTTTGAAATTATTGTTGTCAGTTGTCAGGAAATTTCATGACACAAAAATGTGTTTATTGTATGCAGGCCATTCATTTGTTAATTTTCCTCAAGATCCTGCTGTTAGCGATTGGCTTTCCAAAAAAAATGTTAGTTGTTGATATCATGCAGTGCTATTCATAATGTCCACCTTCCCAACAATTACTTTGCTTGCCAACTAATGGTCGAAAATACACAATAGGTTTACTCATGCCTATCCTAGCGATACAAAAGTTGCCCTCGAACTCTGCCTTTAAGCTATAGTCCATCATTTGCAGCTATCCGAAAAGTAACTGGCGTAATTATTGTTGAAAAACATACTTGGTTGAAAGATAGTAAGGGGACTAAACTCCCTGTGAAATTATTCTTTCTGGCAAGCTGTCATTTTGAAGTAATCAACGAAAGAAGGCCTTTCCAACGGTGCTTCTTAAGACGCACCGTAGGAAATTTAAATTAGTAGTTCGTTTTGTTATTCGGCGAAGCACGTGCAAGCATTGGCACGACGCACATGCGGTTGCTATAATTTGTCGGATCAGTGCGCGACATCGCGTAGCTGCAATCGGCTCAGTGAGAACGCGTCTCGGACGCTGAATTCGGGCCGAATTCAAAACATGATTGAGCAACTTTTGATTTGAAATTAAGATCCTAGAATGCTGTTTTTCTCGGAATATACAGCTGAAGCTGAGCCGACACTTCATCAGGTTAACTGTTCAGAACCCTTCTTTAGATTTTGAGCTCTTTTGTTGCTTCAAAAGAACTAAATACACAAATGATGGACTATATCTTTAATGCCCAAGGTCCATATTATAGGAAACATACAAACTAAATGATCACATGTGAATCATGCTGTTGAATTTTCATCACTTCTTGTTTTATTGTTTCAAACGTTTCAGGAACTTTCTGTAAGGCAAGACAACGGCAAGACAGAGTGGCATAAGTGAATACAATGGGACACACTGACAATTTTGATGTGCAGAAATACCAGTCATATTAGTGGCTGTTTTTCCCCAAGATGAACCAAAACTGGTAGAAATTGAGTTTTTGTGGTCTTTTGGTGCAAGTGTGTCCCATTGTATTAAGGGTCACTTTGACCCCCTTTTTTCAGTTGAAGTTATTTTTTGAATTTTGTTTCACTTTTCTGCAGAACAAAGTTTAGTTGAATTAAAAACAGTCCAATTTCTTTTACATTAACATTGACCACACTAAGTAATGAGCTGTTTGGTCCTAAACTTGTTTGTTTGATCCTAAACTTTTGTAGTATTTTTTGTTTAAGTGTGAGTTCCTGTTGTCAATCTGGATGTCTACTGCTCCTGGTCACCTTCTTCCTCTTCTTCATCAAACTCGCCTTCCTCCTCGGCTGTTGCATCCTGGTACTGCTGGTATTCAGACACCAAGTCGTTCATGTTGCTCTCAGCCTCAGTGAACTCCATCTCATCCATACCCTCACCGGTGTACCAATGCAAGAAAGCCTTCCGCCTGAACATAGCGGTGAATTGCTCAGAGATGCGCTTAAACAGCTCCTGGATGGCGGTGCTGTTCCCGATGAAGGTGACGGACATCTTGAGGCCTCGTGGTGGGATGTCGCAGACAGCGGTCTTGACGTTGTTGGGGATCCATTCCACGAAGTAGCTGCTGTTCTTGTTCTGCACGTTCAGCATCTGCTCATCAACTTCCTTCATGGACATGCGGCCACGGAACATAGCTGCAACGGTCAAGTAGCGGCCGTGACGCGGGTCGCAAGCAGCCATCATATTCTTGGCATCGAACATCTGCTGGGTCAGCTCGGGAACAGTCAGGGCACGGTACTGCTGGCTGCCTCTGCTGGTCAGAGGAGCAAAGCCAGGCATGAAGAAGTGGAGTCGTGGGAAAGGTACCATGTTAACTGCCAGCTTGCGAAGATCAGCATTGAGTTGACCAGGGAACCTCAGGCAGGTGGTAACACCACTCATGGTAGCAGACACAAGATGGTTGAGATCGCCATATGTTGGGGTGGTCAACTTCAAGGTGCGGAAACAGATGTCATACAGAGCTTCGTTATCAATGCAGTAGGTCTCATCTGTGTTCTCTACGAGCTGGTGGACAGAGAGAGTGGCATTGTAGGGCTCGACCACAGTGTCAGATACCTTGGGAGAAGGTACGACACTGAAGGTATTCATGATGCGGTCTGGGTACTCCTCACGGATCTTGCTGATGAGAAGTGTTCCCATTCCTGAGCCAGTGCCACCACCAAGGGAGTGTGTCAGTTGGAATCCCTGCAAGCAAAAAAAAGATCTATTTTAATTCTGCTACCTTATAATTTATCAAGTCTATAATTTATCACATCTCATTTTATACCAGCTATAAGCAAATAAAATATAATCTAAGGCATGCTGTATTACCCACCTGTAGGCAATCACAGCTCTCTGCCTCCTTGCGGACAACATCAAGAACCGAGTCTACCAGCTCAGCCCCCTCGGTGTAGTGACCCTTGGCCCAGTTGTTTCCAGCTCCACTCTGTCCGAAGACAAAGTTGTCTGGTCTGAAGATCTGACCAAATGGACCAGAGCGGACAGAGTCCATGGTGCCTGGCTCCAGGTCGACCAGTACAGCTCGGGGTACATATTTGCCTCCAGTAGCTTCATTGTAGTAAACGTTGATTCTCTCCAACTGCAAGTCGGAGTCGCCATGGTATGTGCCCGTTGGGTCGATGCCATGCTCATCAGAGATCACCTCCCAGAACTGCAAGTAATTATGAAATGAAATACATATAGGCCTACTGTTTGTATTATTTTGGGCTATTTCCACGAAAGGGCTCCATAATGTGTTTTTCATCAGTTACGGAATTGCAACATAACATTTATGAGGTTAAACATTTTCATAGCAATCGAAGCTCTTTGGTAGCTCAGGACAGTAGGATAGACCAAGTAAATGAGTTATCATTAAAGGGGCACTAGGTCCTGAAATCCCCGGAAATTTTATGTTTTGGATTATTTACTTATCCTATTTCAAACATCTGGTTGAAAGGAAACCAACCTAATGTCTTACCGTTCCCGAGAAAAGACGAAAAAAACCCGGTTGTTTACATCGGACACGACGGAGTACGAATACGTTTTTCGTGTCGTTCTCAGTGTACGATATACACATTGTGTGTCTCGGGAACAGCGGTGACCAATCACCAATGCAAAAATAGTGGTTTCTTCAACGTCCGCAAAAGTCGAATTCTTTTATGAATGAAATCACAACTAGCATCCAAACAGCTCGAATTTATGGGGTCGCAAAAGTGGACCCCGAATTTCGTTCTCGCACGCATAATACAGGAATAACACAAAAACGCCCAGTTTTGAAAGGATAGTTGTGTGGATGTTTATATCCTACTTTTAAATGTTATTTCCGATTAACATCATCTCGTTAAAAGCGCATTTTGTAGCCCAATTGGGCTGTTCCAGGACCTAGTGTCCCTTTTAATGACTTCTTTTTTTGGGGGGGGGGCATGGGCATAATGAAGGGCAACAGCGGATTGGGGGGGGGGGGGAGTGACGTCGCAAAAAAGGCAGCCACTGCATTCACCACCATCTTTTCCAAAAAAAAAAAGTTAAAGTGGTCAGAAATTGCCTCAGATCACACCACAGAGCATCTAGAATGAAAACAAATTCCGGGACCCTTAAGCCTAGGCTTGGACCCGAACCCCACACCGTACTTTTTTGGACGAAATTTTTTGGCGACCCACATTTTTTTGGCCCCCCCAAAAATTGTGTTCTGGATCCGCCCTGGGGGGGGGGGCATTTTTAAGTTGGTTTGTTTTCTTTTTAAATTTGGCTGAACAAAAATTTACAAATAAAACAAAAACAGTTAAAACACAACCATGACAACCCCCCCCCCCAAAAAAAACCTCAACTGACTAAGGCAAAGGCAGCTATTGCTAAGCATGCTATGACTGAGGCCCCTACTGAGTTTTAGGATCCAAAGAATGAGTTTTTAAACAAATCTTAACTTTTTCTGATCTCTCTTCTTTATTTGAAAAAAGGTCCCGGGGGGGGGGGGGGGGGGGGGGGGGGGGGGGGTAGGTCTAGCCCTGAATAAAGTTATCTAGGCTTTGCATGGTTGGTAAACAAATTGTAGGCTAGCTGTCATGGCTCATGCTGTACAGGGCCCACGGCCTATATACAAATCCATTCCTTCGTAAAATTGCAAGCAGAGGAAAGATGTCAGCTATTTTAGTTGAATGAATTAGGCACTAAGGCAGGTAGGCCTATAGCCCCACTAGTGTGGCCGTCGGTATGCTGCGCTGAACCTAAGGCCACACACCGTGGTCCGCGCACTACTGAGGACGTTTTCATAAAATTTGCAGGGAATTTCTTACATATGGTTGTATTCTACGATGTCCCATCTATCACTTCTGGGATGCTTAGGTGTAATGATGTTCAATTTTCCGAGATATTCTTGAATCTTTCTGGAGCCCATATGCACTCGTGAAACGTCCGGTGATGGCAGCCATTTTGAATGTGACAAGAGATGACCTCAAGCTGTGACGTCGCGTTTATGCAAATTGCTTGTCGAGCGAGGGCGCGAGTTGCAAATGCGACGGCTGTTTCCTGTGCCGTAGATCCTGAATAGAGATCAGTGCACGTGGCCCCCAGACGATAAATGCATGGTACAGGAAACAGCCATCGCATTTGCAACTCGCGCCCTCGCTCGACAAGCAATTTGCATAAACGCGACGTCACAGCTTGAGGTCATCTCTTGTCACATTCAAAATGGCTGCCATCACCGGACGTTTCACGAGTGCATATGGGCTCCAGAAAGATTCAAGAATATCTCGGAAAATTGAACATCATTACACCTAAGCATCCCAGAAGTGATAGATGGGACATCGTAGAATACAACCATATGTAAGAAATTCCCTGCAAATTTTATGAAAACGTCCTCAGTAGTGCGCGGACCACGGTGTGTGGCCTTGGGTTCAGCGCAGCATACCGACGGCCACACTAGTGGGGCTAGTACTGCCTAGGGCTAGCTGGAGTTACCCAGCCCTGAGTTTTATCATTGGGTTGTCTATAAAACTCAGGGCTGGGTAACTCCAGCTAGCCTAGGGCTAGGATTAGGAATTAGGAATGCAACAAAGAATGCAACATGCATGGAATCGGGCCCCGAACTTATCCTAAGCAGCATGCTAGGCCCCCTATTGCAAGACGTGACATGACCCTGTTGAATTTTATTTTGCCATTCTGACAATGTCTGACCACAGATTGCACAGTCATGAAAGTGTTCATATCCCTAACGTCATGATGAACGTTAAAATCAAAACACAAATATGAAGTCGAACTAAAACTTTAACTCCGACCTAACGTTCGTTGGGACAAAATGATCAGAATAAAACGTTTTATTCACATTGATTTGGCCCATGAGTGAGTGAGTGAGGATGAGCCTGGCCCTCGGACAAATGCTTTAAGCCCCCCTAATCAAAATTAACGTTAGGGCCTATTCCGTATTCGCGTTTTGTGCTGTCACAGTGTCAAACTCAATTCTCATCCTCAATCTCCAGATCTCAGTCATTCATGTCATTGACATTGTCACTGTCTAGGCCTATGTCATGACTGTCATGACTGTGGTCAGTGTCAAAAGTTCAACTTCAGCCTCAGCTCAGGAAAATTAGGGCTTACTTAGCCTACTGCCAAAAAAAAAGGCTTATGCAATAATGTATAGCTTACCTTGGCTCCAATCTGATTGCCGCACTGGCCTGCTTGGATGTGAACGATTTCACGCATTGTATGGTTTGGTGGATTTTATTTGTTAAGTTGAAAATTTCACAATGGTTGGAAGGTGCATGCACTTGCTGATTTGTCGAATGTTCGATGTGACGCGATTTTTCGAAGGCGGTCAAATTTAAAAACTTTTGTGCGTGTTCTTCCGCGTAACGCGCGACGTAAAGAGGGAACTACACTCCCAAATAACTTTAGTTTTATGTTTTTTCACAGTTAAAATTCAACATTTTCTAATTTATGCAGATGACTTGTGTTATCATTAATTATTTCAAAATCTTTAAAAGTTAGGAACAAAAATGCCCCCAAAACTTGAGATTGAAAATTGTTGACATTATTCTTCCGCGTTGTACACGGGTTGTTGGCTGGTTCCGAGAAACAGCCTTACGATTAATCAACCATTGTTTTTTTTATTGACGAGAACCAAGTAGATAACGCACCATATACAAATTGGCGGTGAAAAGGCTAACCTAGATACGCTGCCGCGCGCGCGGGAGAACTAGTGTTCTGTAAACAATACGCGTCGTTAGGCGCGCTCAATCTTGCGATTGGCTGATGACTTGTTCTTGTCGTTATCAGTGCTAGATAGTCCAGCGGATATGGGGAAAAAAATTGTGCACTTGCATCGATAGCATGAAATAACTTGCCACATGCGAGAAAATGTTTTAGATGTGGAGCCATCGCAAATTTACCCTTTTAGGGGCGTGGCAGCCATGTAAAAAAGGGGAGGGGGACTCATCATGCCCGCAGTGAAAACGGTTCTCAAAGACAAAATTACATGTATATAGATTATAAGTGTTTTCCAGATGTGGAGCCACCACAAAAGCACCTTTTGGGGGCGTGGCAGCCATTTAAAAAAAGAGGGGGGTAATTATTATGCCCACCTTGGGAAAAATTGTTCCCACATTTCATGAACAAATAAAACGTCCCACCAGACGTTTATATTCGTGGGAAAAAAAATCCAGATGTGGAGCCATCTCGAACACACTCTTTTACCGGCGTGGCACTTATAATCTTTATAATTATGTCTTTGTGAAGTTTCCTGCTTCTGTGACAAGTGGGAACAACCGTTTTCACTGCGGACATGATGAGTCCCGCCCCCTTTTTTTTTAAATGGATGCCACGCCCCTAAAAGGGTGACTTTGCAATGGCTCCACATCTAAAACATTTTCTGGCATGAATATGAACATCTGTGCCAAGTTTCACGCTTTATGCAAAAGTGCACAATTCATCAATATTTTGTCACATATCCGCTGGACTAAGAGGGCTAGGGATGTCCAATCAGTCAATGGTGACGTATGTGACTATGGGATGAACGGTGATGACTTTGGCTGCTTCATCATACCTGTTTGTTTTATAGGGGGGGGGGTAAGGGGGTATTTACCCCCCAATATTTTGTAACGACTGCCCTTTTCCATTCAAATGCCCTTTTTTTCACCAACGTTTACCCCCCCCCCTCCAAAAAAAAAGTTTTGTAAAGAGTGCCCCTTTTTTAAAGAAGTGCCTTTTTTCTGAACAAGTGCCCTTGTTAAAAAGAAGTTGTGCCCTTTGACATCGGCCGTCCCGGGTGCCTTTAAAAAAAAAAAAGAATTTCACGGATGTATCGCCCTGAAAAGCACCATACATGTATATTGTTCGTTAGTGTGCATAATCGTCGGTTTTAAACAGCGCCCCTATCCACAGATGGTAACCCCCCCCCCCCCCGTTTTTTGATTATACGGAGCCCAAGTGTACGGAGATAAAAATGTGTCTACATTTAACCGTGACGGATGTTACAACGCTACTAGAAGCAGTTACTGATGTACAATTTTTACATCATGTCAGTAACTTAACTGCTTTAGTAGCGTTGTAAAAGTGCAGCAGCACTTTATTATCAGCGTTTGAAAATAAGCTTTCATTACAAGTTGAAGGTGTGCAGGCGTGGATCCGGGGGGGGGGGGGAACCAGCTCCGTCGATTGTTAATTTTTTTTATAGAAATATAGCAAAACAAAAGTTGGGTTCTTTTTTTGGGGGGGGGGGGAGGGGCGGACAAGAAGTTTCATGTATGAGAAAGAAATTTCATATTTTGGGAAATGAGGAAGTCGGTTGAAATCGAACGCCGCCTACAAGGTTCCCATATCAAAAATCGGCAATCACCCGCACAGGAAATCGCCTCAACACTCCCTAGATTTAGGACACATGCTCCGTCTTGAAATTAATTCCAAACATCACATGGCAAAATAAAAGGAAATCATGGCTATCCTGCTGCAGTGGCTGACATTTGTTTATTTTTTAGAAGTCAATTTTTTTTTCAAAACATTTTGCCCAACATTTTTGGCCGCAGATTTTTTTTTTTTTTTTTTTTTTTTGGGGGGGGGGAACTATTTTGACATTGGTGGCGCCACTTGCACCCCTATTATACTACTCGGAAATAGGCCACATATCGCCAAGGTCAAATCGTGGGACTGGGACTAAAAAAAATATAAAAAGTTATATTTTGAAGATCTTAAATTTTTAGATGGTGCGGCAACTAAATAATTGCTTCATTTATAATGTGACATAACCCCCCCCCCCTATACACGCACATCGCCCTCATTTTTTGAATAATATTTCGCACGCATGACTCTTAATTAATTTGCTGGTGAAATGTGCATTTGGGTTATTCTGGAAATTTGGTACATCAGTCCCCGTTAACATGGTTGTAGTGGCGTAACTATACGGGGGCGGGGAGGGGAACCGGGCGGATGTGCCCCCCCCCCCCCCCGATGCCCCCATTCAAAATCTGGAATTGAACAAAAATATACACCACCCCCGCCACACCCCCCCTCAAATGACACATTAGTGCACCCCAAGTTGCCCCCCCCCCCAAGAAATTGAATAGTTACGCCACTGCATGGTTCTTTGTATTTGCTATTCAAATACAAGATGTATTGCATCACTAAAATTGACCTCAAACGATTTGGGTTTTGGAGGGTGGTTGGTAGTTTGCTATACATGTACAGTCGAGTCTCGTTAATACAAACTCGTTTGGACCTAGCCAACATGTTTGTTATATCAGAATTTCGTATTAAGAGGAACATCAGTCCCATTCATTGTGCATATAAATGCACAGTCGGGACCAAGGCCTTATGTTTGTTATAACCAGAATTTTGTATTAACAGAGTCTGTACTAACGAGAGTCGACTGTACTCATAATCACTCTTGAAGGACGACTCCAATGACAAGAGCATCCGAATTATAAAATCATAAAGTAAAATGTCACAGGGAAAGGACAAAAAGTGGACCCCAACTTTATAGAATGACCCATTTTATGAGTAATAAAGCTGAGGAAAGTTGTCCAGCTACTCAGGTCGCGCTATATTCACAATTTCACATTCGAAAGAAATCCGAAATCATATCGCCATAATTATGTGCTTCTGAATGATTTTTTTTTGGCAAATAGCAAAGTTTATTTCCCAAACCATGCGTCGATAAAAAAAAACCACCCCACAAATACCCACTAGCAGAAAATTGCAAAGCAGATGGTCCCGATAGCAATGAACACAAGCCGGCGAGACTTATTGATTATTGCGGGTACTAAAAGCGAGGGTATCGCCCACGTTTCATAAAACATAATTAGAAGGCAATGGCCGTCATTATCACCCGTATTTTTTCCAAATAAAACAATCGCGATGCATATCGCATATGCATTGCCGTCAACAACATAATGGTTTCTGTACTTATTTGTTCCAGGGTGTAAATACATTTTAAAAAAGTTTGCAAAAATTGGGGAATCAAGCATACTCTTTGGCAAAGAGGCAGTACTGACTTTAATTTAAAGTTACAGCACACTACATGTATAGTTTAATTTGCTTTTATTTGGTTAAAAACCTGAAGTTATAAGTTGCGGTAGATTTCAATATGTTGCAATAAAAACGATCAACGTTAATGTCTTTATTTATATACGTTATCTGAAATAACGTATATAAATATGTACGTTATCTGAAATACATGTATATACGTTATCTGAAATATATAGATTGGAGCTATAAAATCACTCATGATATAAGTCCAACGAGCCAGTTTGTTTGATTGAGTTTCTTGGTTGCGTATCCAACGCCGAAGCATGTGGGCGCAAAATTAATTTTCTTCATCCTCTTAAATATTTATAGAGATCTGAAGTATGGGTGATGAAAGCATGTACAAAGTAAAAATGCAGTTATCAGTCCAGTGAATTTTGTTTATTAATTTAGAGTGTCTTTGGTTGAAGTTTAGTTCTCTTCCTCCCCTTCTTCCTCCTCATCAAACTCGCCCTCCTCCTCGGCTGTCGCATCCTGGTACTGCTGGTACTCAGACACCAAGTCATTCATGTTGCTCTCGGCCTCAGTGAACTCCATCTCATCCATACCCTCACCGGTGTACCAATGCAAGAAAGCCTTGCGCCTGAACATAGCAGTGAACTGCTCAGAGATGCGCTTGAACAGCTCCTGGATGGCGGTGCTGTTGCCGACGAAGGTGGCAGACATCTTGAGGCCTCGTGGTGGGATGTCGCAGACAGCGATCTTGACGTTGTTAGGGATCCATTCCACGAAGTAGCTGCTGTTCTTGTTCTGCACGTTCAGCATCTGCTCATCAACTTCCTTCATGGACATACGTCCACGGAAGAGGGTAGCAACAGTCAGGTAGCGGCCATGACGAGGGTCGCAAGCAGCCATCATGTTCTTGGCATCGAACATCTGCTGGGTCAGCTCGGGAACGGTTAGGGCACGGTACTGCTGGCTGCCTCTGCTGGTCAGGGGAGCAAAGCCAGGCATGAAGAAGTGGAGACGTGGGAAAGGCACCATGTTGACTGCCAGCTTGCGAAGATCAGCATTGAGTTGACCAGGGAACCTCAGGCAAGTGGTAACACCACTCATGGTAGCGGACACAAGATGGTTGAGATCACCATATGTTGGGGTGGTCAACTTCAGGGTACGGAAACAGATGTCATACAGAGCTTCGTTGTCGATGCAGTAGGACTCATCAGTGTTTTCTACGAGCTGATGGACAGAGAGGGTAGCGTTGTATGGCTCAACAACAGTGTCAGATACTTTGGGAGAAGGCACTACACTGAAGGTGCACATCATGCGGTCTGGGTACTCCTCACGGATCTTGCTGATGAGAAGTGTTCCCATGCCTGAGCCAGTGCCTCCACCGAGGGAATGTGTGAGTTGAAAACCCTGCGGGGAAAAAAATCATTTTAATTAGTTCGGCAACACAATCAAACAGTTGAATAAAGTAATAAGCTGACTGTCCCTTCGTCTGTTTTTATTCTTCCCACTTAATCCTTTCAACCCTAAAAACATCTGTTTTAAGACCATCAATCATCGATCGCGACTTACCTGTAAACAGTCACAGCCCTCAGCCTCCTTGCGTACAACGTCCAAAACTGAGTCTACCAGCTCAGCCCCCTCGGTGTAGTGACCCTTGGCCCAGTTGTTTCCAGCTCCACTCTGTCCGAAGACAAAGTTGTCTGGTCTGAAGATCTGTCCAAATGGACCAGAGCGGACAGAGTCCATGGTGCCTGGCTCCAAGTCGACCAGTACAGCTCGGGGTACATATTTGCCTCCGGTAGCTTCATTGTAGTAAACGTTGATTCTCTCCAACTGCAAGTCGGAGTCGCCGTGGTATGTGCCGGTTGGGTCGACGCCATGCTCGTCAGAGATCACCTCCCAAAACTGTTTGTGAGAAACGAAGAAAATTTAATTTGCTTTGCTCATACAGAACTGAAAGAAGGGATCCTCAAGGGAATGTCTATCTATAAAAAATATACATAACATGTACTGGAAAATCTTTCTTATCATTTTTCGTTAGCAACTGAGATCTTTACAACAGCTGATAATTTAAATTTTGGGACATGTATTATGTTCTTGCACATTATGTTTTTCTTTCAGAAGGGCGATTCACAGAATAAACCTCAATGCCAAAATTGAAAAATAGTTTAAATGCCACAAACTGAAAAGTATATAATTCTGAAGCTTATTAGCTTTATTTCATTGAAATGTACATGAAGAGTTTATTTCTAACTATGTTCAACAGTTCGGCTGTTACTTCCAACTGAAAAAATAATTAATGGGTACAAAATAATTCAATTTGTTTGAGTACGTCCGACACCGTGGTGTTTCAAGCTGATTTCTACAACAGCAAACTAACGTCGGATGAATTCATTGTATTGTGAGTTACTGGTACTTTCTGATTATAACAGTTGCAATTATTTCCACTCTTGACCCGCAAAGACAATGATGAAATGCCTAGAAACTTTCATTAATATCATCACTTTATAGATGAACTGCAGGTCCGAGGTTTTCAAATTCGATAGTTCTGACTGTTCTCCCATTCGAAATTCCGCAAATTTGGAGCTTTTATTTCGACGAAAAAAAAATCCCTATACTTTAACAAAATTTGGGGACCTGAATTGTCGAATCGCGAATAATTCAAAATGTGTATACATGTAGGCTACAATACCTTTTTTTTATATAATACGCCGACGGATTATTTTCGTTCGAAACTACCATGGGACAGTCACTTTAAATTTATTTGCACTATTTGAATTTTGTACAGTCTTTTTTAATCCGTTCGGTTGGTACTGTTATCATTCACGAACGGCCACTAAGTCACTAAGTAAATATGAACTGGCCGACCCACGCAATAAGCGTCAGTTCGGTAGTTCAAATCTCGCTGCGTAGGCCTAACCATGTAGGGGCCTAACCGTTACATTCCACTGCGGATTATGGATACAAAGGTTGTCCGAAACGTGGACGGCCATTCTATTAATACAGTCCTTTGCAAGATCATTATTCCTCCATGAATACGTAGAAATGTCAAGCCCATAAACCCATGGTAAAATTACGTACATGAAAATGATGAATTTTTTTCATGCACACGAGTCACGTCATCTATGCCTAGCCTATGATCGTATATCGATCGATTCGACCGTACATCATCCTGACGAAAAATGACGGTCAGTAAAAAACTACAGTTCAAGGACACGCTAGCAAAATTTAATGTAGTTGCTTAGATGGTACGAACATGGACATGATGGATGAAGTTTTATTCCTACATGGTACAAAATAATTTTTTTTCGAAGTTCTACGTTCCGAAGTAGTGCACGGCATTTCGCACGGTAATCACGGCTCGGCAAAGTGCTCGGGAAATTCGCCAAACATGTCAAGTTTTTATGCAAGGATTGATGGATGTCATTATAGCCCGGGCCCATGATGTCATTATATGAAATAATCGTCAACATAGGGAGAACAGGCTGCATTAAAAAAAATACTAAAACAGTTTCTTCTATACAAATCAGTAATCATGATGTCCAGAGCAGCTATAGCTCCATGGTCTGATGGTATAGATCATGCAATCATGCAATTGACATAATTGATCAACTTCTGGTTCTGGTTGTGACATGACAGATTTTTGCCTCACTCACCTTAGCACCGATCTGGTTACCACACTGGCCGGCTTGCAGATGCACGATTTCACGCATTTTGTTAATTTATGGAATGTAATGTAATATAGAAATTTCACAGATCCTTCTCTGGTGGATGTTTAGTTGATACTGACGACAAGTCCTAACGGTCGTCAAGTATTAAATGAACATGAGTATTTGACTTACTGAGGCGTCCGCGACCAATAAAGTAGTGCGATCGAAACTTCAATGCATTTGGTCATTAACTCACCTGGATTTGATGGCAGCAACAAAAACCAAATTCGATTTTTGTTTGAAGTGAAGAATTTTAGACCGAAAAGTCTTGTATTTGGCATTAATTTTATATTTTGGGGTTTATTCATGCACGAAGAATAATATCAATCCGCATTGCTAACCGGTAAGGAGATGGTTCCCTGTCGATACGCTGTGTACTGTTCTTGCGGGGAACCAAGGAAATTTCTTGGAGTGACCCAGGCGGTTAATAGTCCCCCACACGGACTGCGGGTAGTGATACGTACAACAAATATTTTGTCGTCACAGTAACGCTCAGCCTAGTGCTTTGACAACGTGGTTGTTATATGCTTCAGTGATCTTCAAGGCTTTTGGTTACCCGTCGATCCTCTTCATAATGCATGCCGTTCATAGTGCTGGACCAACAACAGATCAATCAATCATTTATTGACACAACTGTTTGTCCAGGACTTTAAAAGAAAAACCAACGGCTCGGAGGCATGCAAAACATTTTTGAAAACTCTTTTAACCGACTCATGCTTTCACATTATCGTCTTTACTTTTTAAATATAAGTGTAAATTGTTTTGTCTACATTTTATTATTTTACACATGTTGTTATTTTGTTTTAGTTTTCATCTTCCCTTGTTGTCTTGAATTAAAAAGGAACACCTTTTAATATTTTTTTTTAAAGTTTGGATTTCATTGTTTTTGTCGTTGGTTTCATTGATTTTACTTATTTATTAATATATTGCAGTACAGCGGATTATTTTAAATATGTAAATAACTTTTTTTAAAGTTTAGATTGTTTATTTCTTTCTCATTTGATAAATAATTTTCCGGTTGTTTCAATAAATTCTGCCATGATTTAGTTCTATTTTCCCCCTTTTTTCCCCTTTTCTTTTTCCTCTCACTTACCGTGATACATTTTTTTTCTATTTTTTTTCTTCAGTTTATTGCAGTCTGATATCACTTTGCCATTGTCACTCATTATAATTTGTTCTTTCTTCTTTTTCTTCTGCTACAATATTAATCCATTTGAAAATGTATTTGTTTCGCTAGCTCTTCGCGTCGCCCAATCATTTAAAAAAAATTATTTGTTTGAGTATTTTTGTTTATTATCTTAACTATTCTTAAGTGTTTTTACAGAGACCTTAAAGATGTACGGACACCTTTAAGTGCTTAGGCCACCCTGTTAAAATAACACTGACAGTAAATTTCAATTGCTCATCCACATATTCAATTCCTTCTCCAAACTTTTGCAATCTGGAAACATCTTTGTTAATTTTGAATGATCATTTTTATTACCACTTTTTTAATACTACGCATCCGTTCAGTTCATTTTATACAAGCAGTACAAATTAATATGTTGATGAGTTAAATTATAAAATGATAGGGCTAGAAGATCCCCTAACCTTCAGTGAATAAATTATCAAGTCCAGATGAAACCCCACTTGCACTGAATCGCCATCTTGGAACAACAGTGAGCTATCATGGGCGTCGCTAGGACGGGGCAAGGGGGAGGGCGCTTGTTCCCCCTTTAAAAAGCCACACAAAAGAGGAAGAGAAAAAAAGGAGAGGTGTGAAGTCATATATTTGCTATTAATTTATGGGCGTCTGCAGGGGTGTCAATGGGGTGGGTAAATTTCCCCCGCCTTCCCTCGAAAAAATGGTAAATTGAGAATATGCTAGAGAAAGTACAAGGATTGGGGTGGGGGAAAGTGCTTTGCCCCCCCCCCCCGAAAAAAAATCCTGGCGACGCCCATGTGAGCTTTACAGGATAAAACATTCGAGTTGTTACGTACATGTTGCTTAGCCGTTACGTAAGATCCATTCTAGTTTGTCATCTCTATAGTATACTTCCACGTAGGCAACACTGATAAGACGGATTGCCGCGAATATACGCGTGATGAAGGGATAAGGGCAGTTCACCGCTCAGTCAAACTTCAGTACCAGTGATGCTATGTGGCATAATATGACATGATTTTGGATTTCCTTTCATTTAATTTTAAATAACAAAGGCAAAAAGAGGCTAATGTATGCTATTTTGAAAAAATAAAATATAATCCATTAATTTCCCCACGGAAATAGAAGCATTTTGTTCGCCCAAAACCGTGCGTATACAATGTATTTCCTACAAGCCTATATTACGATTTCTTTGACGACATTCGCGTTCAGCACGCACCAGATTCAAACACATGATAAGTTCATTGCAGCCACAACATTCGTTGTCGTCAAAATTAAGATGACTCGACACAGACTGACCGTCATTGTGACGTAATTTTAGTGGTTTCGAGGCTCTCAGAACACGTACGACAGACAACGGTACATGTATCGCATTACTATATCATTTCTTGTAAAGTATCTTTTTGTCCTTATTCTAAATAAAAATGGAATTAATGCTTGAATTTTACACAATATGCCAAAGCCCTCAACTTCAAATCCGAGACTTACTGTAGCCTACTGAAGCTCTCTGGTACATTGAAAATGAATAAGCTCGATCCCACCGGTGACATGGAAACGCAGAGGATTATGGGTAAACCTAGCTAACCTATGTATACTTCAACATAAAATAAAAAAAGAAAGCATTGAACGGCTCTTTTTTCTCGTATACTACAAGTGCCGTAATATCTAAAAAAAGAAAAAAAGAAATGAAAGACAGTGCCTTCATCTGTAAAAGCATTTTGTCATCACACACTGACTGGTGCCCTATCCCATAGGATCGATGATTTAGGGAGAAGGACCGAGAACCATTATAGCTGCAATGCATTTTGGGACTGTGATTTTGATGAGGCGCTCGGTCCAATTAGTAATTTGTCAGACTTCTGGGATAGTATCCCCCTCGCCTGTCCATCTACACCGCGAATAATGTATCATTTCCAGATATGGAGAGATAATGTAAATGAAAAAGCATGAGCAGGATAAAGTCCACTGATGACAGAAGATTAGTGAAGTCCAAACTTGTTTTTGTCGGTAGCCTACGCCTTAACAATTAAGCTGCCTTTAGTGAATGGCATTTTTCATCAAAACCTGAATTGCATACAAATATACGGCAATCGGTTTTTAAAGCCTCTCGCGGTATACAGATAAATTGAATTTTACTAAAGAATCTCAAGTCTGGTTACAAAATGAGCTATAGTGCAATCTTAACACCTGAACATCATGGGCGATAACATTCAAGATGAATGACGCATTCAAATTCAGCTTTTGAATATTTTTATCCAAGGTCTACGTCTCAGTACCATGTATTTTAGAGAAATATTCTGAAATTATCATTTTTCGAAGGAAATATTTTGTGACTTCCATTGATACTGTAGGGTTAAATGACAATAAGGGTTTGGATATAATAAATAGGCAAATCACAGCACGTTTCCACAAGATCTAAAGTATAGATCAGATCCAAAAAATAAGATCACAAATATACGGTCAACGAGTTTTGTTGATCAATTTCAGATACATGTTCCGTTTAAACACTGAAGAACAACGTTGGCACAAACCAATGTTCCTTTGATTTATTTTGCTGACTGTGGTTTCAATTATGGTTACGGCTCAACCTCCCCCTCTTCCCCCTCATCAAACTCGCCCTCCTCCTCAGCTGTTGCATCCTGGTACTGCTGGTACTCAGACACCAAGTCGTTCATGTTGCTCTCAGCCTCAGTGAACTCCATCTCATCCATACCCTCACCGGTGTACCAATGCAAGAAAGCCTTGCGCCTGAACATAGCGGTGAACTGCTCAGAGATGCGTTTGAACAGCTCCTGGATGGCGGTGCTGTTGCCGATGAAGGTGGCAGACATCTTGAGGCCTCGTGGTGGGATGTCGCAGACAGCGATCTTGACGTTGTTGGGGATCCATTCCACGAAGTAGCTGCTGTTCTTGTTCTGCACGTTCAGCATCTGCTCATCGACTTCCTTCATGGACATGCGACCGCGGAAAATTGCAGCGACGGTCAGGTAGCGGCCGTGACGAGGGTCGCAAGCAGCCATCATGTTCTTGGCATCGAAAATCTGCTGGGTCAACTCGGGAACAGTCACGGCACGGTACTGCTGGCTTCCTCTGCTGGTCAGGGGAGCAAAGCCAGGCATGAAGAAGTGGAGACGTGGGAAAGGTACCATGTTGACTGCTAGCTTGCGAAGATCAGCGTTGAGTTGACCAGGGAACCTCAGACAAGTGGTGACACCACTCATGGTAATCGACACGAGATGATTGAGATCACCGTATGTTGGGGTGGTCAATTTGAGTGTGCGGAAGCAGATGTCATACAGGGCCTCGTTGTCGATACAGAATGTCTCATCTGTATTCTCTACGAGCTGGTGGACAGAGAGGGTTGCGTTGTATGGCTCCACCACCGTGTCGGACACCTTGGGAGAAGGTACGACACTGAAGGTGCACATCATGCGGTCTGGGTACTCCTCACGGATCTTGCTGATGAGAAGTGTTCCCATTCCTGAACCAGTGCCACCACCAAGGGAGTGTGTCATTTGGAATCCCTGCATGGAGAAAAATAGGATTTATAAAAATATTATTTACTAACAGCTTCTTACCTTCTGTCCGGTAACACACTTACAGTGTTTATACGTCGGTAAAGGGCAAAACCTAATATTGAATTGACGCAAATTCCATCTTATGAATAGTTTCATTGCGGTACCCGCTGCTACATCTGATTCGAACCTGCCAACCGATCCCACAAGCTCGGTGGTCGAGTGGTAAGACGTCTGCACTAGAAAGCAGGAGGTCGTGGGTCCACCCGAGGGACTTTTTCTCACTTTCACTCGGGAGGTATAACACACTGAGTATACAGCGTTTATACGTCGGTGAAGGGCATACCTAATATTGAACTTTTGTCCGCGGTCATCATTATTGCATTTTCGCTAACACTAAAAGAAGCAAATGCGTCTCCATTTTTTTTTAAGATTAGGGAAGATCGAACTGAGCACACAATACTAACCTGTAGGCAATCACAGCTCTCTGCCTCCTTACGTACAACGTCCAATACGGTGTCTATGAGCTCAGCCCCCTCAGTGTAGTGACCCTTGGCCCAGTTGTTTCCAGCTCCACTCTGTCCGAAGACAAAGTTGTCTGGTCTGAAGATCTGACCAAATGGACCAGAGCGGACAGAGTCCATGGTGCCTGGCTCCAGGTCGATAAGCACAGCTCGGGGTACATATTTGCCTCCGGTAGCTTCATTGAAGTAAACGTTGATTCTCTCCAACTGCAAGTCGGAGTCACCGTGGTATGTGCCGGTTGGGTCGACGCCATGCTCGTCAGAGATCACCTCCCAGAACTATTGTAAAAAAGAAAGACAGAAAAAAGATATTTAGGAATAAAAAAAAAAAGCAATATGGAGAGTCTTGGAAAGCAGAAAAAAATAGGCCTACTATAAAAATATTTGGGGATGGATATTAATATTCCCGGTTGTCATGCAGTTTATTAAGTTGCTTCGTGAACTTTCATAAGATAAATTATGCTTTGAATCATTCCACAATACCATGTATATGTTGACATTCGTATGAAATTCTGGTGTTTAGGTCCCCGCGTCTGTTTAATAATTTTGTGTGCGGCTGCGCACGTTTTCGTTCCTATTGCCACTGCAAGTGCAACGCTGTTCGTATGATGTGCGCAGTCGATCCGTACGGCTGATGTACGGGTGACGTAAGTGCGCACACAGCGACAGAGCGGCATTGCCACTGTCATCGGCATAATTATAGATGTAGGCCTACATCAGGGGTTGTATTGTACACGAGAATGTCATTGCATACATGCAGACATAAAATTCCTGATAATCCTTTATGCTGCGACCCGTAACCTTACGGCAAATCACACGAGTTTTAAAATATTCCCACGGGTCGATCGCGTCTTAAAAAAACCTTTGTGATATGAAAACCATTGGGAAAACACGGAAATGCAGGTCATATAAACATAACACGTTCGTGCATGAACGTGTATTTCTGGTCAATTATTTATACACGATAGACAATTGAATAATTGAGTTTTGTATATTTTTTCATCATGCGACGACGAATATCTGGTTGATTTAATGGACATGCTGTATTGTGTTATAATCGTTTGTTTTTTGGCGGAAATTAATTAGTCCAGTTTGACCGAATTTTAATTTAAATCAAATCATCTTACCTTTGCACCGATCTGGTTGCCACACTGTCCGGCTTGAAGATGTACGATTTCACGCATTTTGAGATTAAGAATGTATCCTACACTCAAAATCACACGAGAGAAAAGGCCAACAGTTTGTCAATATAGACCTCAGTTCACCGAGGGATGCGGCGTTGTCACTGAAGGGAGCGGCCGTTAAAGAAAGATGATTTAGCCCGTTTGTGAAAAAAATCAAGACGTCCTCAGCCTGAAAAAATAGGGCGGTCGAAACAGTGATTGTTCATAAACACATTTTCACATTTCCAAGATTCAGGGCCTAATATCGGATTAATTAGATTTAACGATATATTAATGTTCCAGGAAGAAGGTTGATAGTGAATGTTATTCTTTATGTTGAAAATATATTATTTTGTCTCATGAGACTGATGACGAATTTTGAAGCCAAGAGTTTATTAATCCGCGCTGTAAGGCGGTGGTTCAGATGGGGACTCCTCGATGGTGCAGTGTCCCTGCTGCGAACAATGGAAGCTCCCTGCATGAAGCAAATTGCTGATGTCCCGCACGCTACACGCGCCTACTGAGCAACAGCCCTGCATGTCGGCAATACTCATTGTAGACAGATGCTTTTTTCTTGAAAATGTGTATTTATTTTCTGTATTAAATTGAAAAAAATATGGTTGCTAGTGTCTTGGAAAAATGGACACTGCACTATAGCACAGCGCAGAATAATAATCGTTGAGTCAAATACTATTGACCTTGAATGAGATTATATTTACATAAATAATTCAATTGCAGATCTGCGTGAAGGGTTTGCAGACAGCACCGAGCAAAAAAGTGTCATTGAATCAACACTATATTTAGGCAACACAATTAAGTCTCTGCCTCTGTGACCATCCTTCCAGCCTGTAGTACAAAAACAAAGTTTAGAATATAATAACAATATGATATAATTATTCAAATATTAAATAGAAACTCTCAACCTGCCTTCATCATATCCCAATACATTTGGGCCCACTGTGAATAAGTGCTTAATTTATGAGATCGAATAATAATAATAATAATAATAATAATAATGGCATTTACTATTGCGGAAAATGCATAAACTTATGTCATAATGCGCATTACAATACAAATTACTTGAAGAATAAAACCGTACTATGATAATGGTACTTTGGAAATTAACCCACAAGACACAAGTCATCGTAAATTGCGTATTAATAGCTTCAAGCTGATGAGGAGAATTCCCGCCTGCTATGTATTATCATAATGAGGTAAGGTCTGCAACGAATAAACATGCATAATGAGAAGTGAGCAATTACTTTCGGCATAAATTCACTGACCTGCTCAATTTGGACAAAAACCCCGAAAGATGCCAATTACATCGCAAAGCGCTAGGTGACGCCATATCGATAACGACGATGAGGCATAAACTCAACGCTACATTGATGAGTACGATTTGAGGCTATATTGATGCATAGAGCAGGGAACAGATACCACTTTTATGAACAGGGTATATAAACACTGGGATGGTATGATGAGACCCACTACTATAATATTTCGAACAGAACATTTTCATCGAACCTTTATCATTTCATTGTTGAGGTCACATGGTTGTATTAATGCGGTTTGCCTTTAATCGTGCGTTGGCAATTTCTGCCTCTAGAATGAATTTTAGCATGCAAAGAACGGTTGGTAATAGTTCCGGCTCAGCCCCTCCGGCAAGGTACGTGTACGACTTCGTAGATTGCTTGCATGTGTACGCTCTCGCTTTGCAATGCGGCTTGCGTCACTGACGGAGAGCACGAGCAAGACGCGTGCGTGATCATGCACGTACGTCCAAGCTGACTGGTGAGGTGTGTGTAAGTTTGCAATGCGTAAATTAATACAGAATCTGGAAAAGACTGTTGATTAAATCATTGTAGTAACTACATGTACATGCATGTACATGTATACAACATGTGAAAACGAACCCACTCCAAGAAAGCTCAACGGTGTGGTTCTAAGTAATATCAGAGATAATCAACCAACTTAAGCGGCCAGGATAGAAAGAAGGATGGTATTAACACATACACTTTAGGAAGGTTTTACTGATTTTAATGGACCTAATAATACATAGGAAACAAAACATTTTAACCTTAGCAAAGATTTCAGAATAAGAATTCATCTTATGGATCTTTACCTGTAATTAAAACCAGTCTGTGATATATTACTGGCTTAAGACAATATGACCGGTATTTAGATAAAAATGACTTTTTAAAAAAATATCCAGTCGTCTTCCCTGAACAAAGTGAAGCCACCGTTACATGTCTTGTTATCTTAAGAACGAAAATCGGGTTCCTTCTTTTCCAACACTTTCTTGATAGCCTCAAGGTGGTCAATTTTGAAGGAGTCCCCACAACTGTCAAAGTACTCGGCCACGCCCTTAGCAACCTCGTCGCTCACCTCGGCAAGCTCTTTTCCTGTTGCATCCGCTAGCATCTGTTCATGAGAGCAAAACGGGAAAATGCGGTATACAGGGTGGGTAACATAAAAAGGAAACCCAAATGGCAGGACCAAGTATTTAATGAAGTTCTGCATGTAGTACACTTTACAAATCTAGGAGTAATTCAATCCACTCATGTACTTTTGAAGTTACGAAATTTTGAACCCAAAAACCGTTTTAAAGTTCTGTCCACGGATAAAAAAAAAAGGTATTAAGTGTTCTTTCGGGAAAACGAAAACAATTCACACAGGAAATGGTCCTGACATTTGGGTTTCCTTTTTTTTTTTTACTCACCCTGTATTGCGAGAGTTTGGTAGTTCGTCAGTCCCCAGAAGAACGTTATAAATGAGAGTGTTATATTTATTAAACAATGGAAAACAAAATAGACATTTTATGGTGGGAAGGGTGCATGATGTTATAAGAGGATCAGGTTTTTTTTTTATTCCTCTACCTCTGTAATGAGCTGATGGCGGGCTCTGGATTGTTTTAAAGAACGTTCAAAGGTTCTTAGGTATTTATTCATAGATCTTAATTTTTGAATACCTGATTTCGTATAGGATTTGATTAATATAAAGAAGGGTTACAGGGACACAACAATTCCAGGTAATAATACAGAAATTGGAGCTATTTAAATTATTTACGGAATCTTGGGAAAATGTTGGGAATGGTTTTAAAAAAGAAACACTCCATCCCAACCGTTTTTAGAAGCGCTCCTCTCATGTGGAAGAAAACACTGAAGTTCTATAACGCTCCGAAACGCGTGCCATTCTCAAGGGTCATGAGATGATGTTTTCTTAGGAACTCATTTTGTGCAACTTTCTACTCCTAAAAGAATTTGACATCCCTTTTCGGTTAATTTAATTAAAAAGTGCACTTCTTTAAAAAAAAAAAAAAAAAAAAAAAATTCCACGCTTTCTGCATGGACAACTGAGGACGCTGTTGCTGTGATGTCATTTCAGGAAGACAGTGTTCAGTTAAGGAGTTTTCTGTTCAAAATGTGAACCCACAAATTTGATCATTGAAAACATTTTGGAGAAAGATGTGCTCATTGGTTTACTGCCTTTTACTGACACAACAACAAATCACCAATGAAAAGAAAATCTAGGATATGAAACCCCAAATAATAAGCTTTCTTGTAGTACAAGAGTAATTCAAATCACTCATGTACTTTTGAAGTTACGAAATTTTGAACCCAAAAACCGTTTTAAAGTTCTGTCCACGGATAAAAAAAAAAGGTAAGTGTTCTTTCGGCAAAACGAAAACAATTCACACAGGAAATGGTCCTGACATTTGGGTTTCCTTTTTTTTTTTTTTTACGCACCCTGTATTGCGAGAGTTTGGTAGTTCGTCAGTCCCCAGAAGAACGTTATAAATGAGAGTGTTATATTTATTAAACAATGGAAAACAAAATAGACTTTTTATGGTGGGAAGGGTGCATGATGTTATAAGAGGATCAGGTTTTTTTTTTATTCCTCTACCTCTGTAATGAGCTGATGGCGGGCTCTGGATTGTTTTTAAGAACGTTCAAAGGTTCTTAGGTATTTATTCATAGATCTTAATTTTTGAATACCTGATTGCGTATAGGATTTGATTAATATAAAGAAGGGTTACAGGGACACAACAATTCCAGGAAATAATACAGAAATTGGAGCTATTTAAATTATTTACGGAAACTTGGGAAAATGTTGGGAATGGTTTTAAAAAAGAAACACTCCATCCCAACCGTTTTTAGAAGCGCTCCTCTCATGTGGAAGAAAACACTGGAAGTTCTATAACGCTCCGAAACGCGGGCCATTCTCAAGGGTCATGAGATGATGTTTTCTTAGGAACTCATTTTGTGCAACTTTCTACTCCTAAAAGAATTTGACATCCCTTTTCGGTTAATTTAATTAAAAAGTGCACTTCTTTAAAAAAAAAAAAAAAAAAAATTCCACGCTTTCTGCATGGACAACTGAGGACGCTGTTGCTGTGATGTCATTTCAGGAAGACAGTGTTCAGTTAAGGAGTTTTCTGTTCAAAATGTGAACCCACAAATTTGATCATTGAAAACATTTTGGAGAAAGATGTGCTCATTGGTTTACTGCCTTTTACTGACACAACAACAAATCACCAATGAAAAGAAAGAAAATTCACGACAGCAAAATATCTAAAATTTTGGCAACTTTTGGAGCTGTTGTAACATTGAAGTTTCTGCCTGAAATGAGATCACACTTTTGCTAATGAATGTGGAAATTCTCATTAGCAAAAAAAAGAAAGAAAGTTACCAAAAATACTCCTGAATTGGCAAAAAGTTGAAAATAAGGTTGAATGCATGGGACACAAAGGTGCATTTTCAAGGATTGCATTAAAACAGTACATTTCATGGTCCCTGTAATTGCATGAGCCCTGTATGGGGGGCAAGGGGGCACTTGCCCCCCCCCCCCGGAAAACGAACAAAAAAAAGGAAAAAGGAAAAAGACGTGCGAAGCCATATTGCTGTTAATTTGATGGGGGGGGGGGTAGGGCAAATGCTCCCCTGCTCACGCTCGGAAAATGATAAATTGAGAATATAATGAAAAAGTTAAGGAATTTTGGGGGAACATTTGCTTCCCCCCGGAAAAAAATCCTGGCGACGCCCATGGCTACAAAGGGGATTTGTTTCCTCACCTGAGTCATGGCAGCCCTCTCAAAGTAGTAAAGATTATCGAAGACGGCGGCGGCCGACTTGCCGATTCCCATTATGCCGTGGTTGCCCATAACGAGGATCTGCTTTCCCGCCATCTTGCTAGCCAGCCTGACGCTTTCGTCACCCATGCAACCCGCGCCCCCGTACTCGGAGTCGTAGGCAACTTTGCCGTAGAATCGCATGCAGGTCTGGTGGATCATTTTCAGCCGAGGTTCCTTTAAGCAGCCTGCATAAAATGAAAGAAATAAAAAACCCATCGTTTGATTAATTGCTCATCAGCAACACAAAAATCAAACCTTCTTTTCAAGCACTTTACGGTATAAAACTACACACAAAAATAAGGGTTTAAAACAGAAAAACTCGTGACCTCATTAAGTTGTACTATACATCAAGCGTTCTGAATTCAGGAGAGCACTATTTGAAGAAAAGTTAAGAGCAGAAAATTAAAGCACATCTATTCTTGCTGCGTTTTTAATTCACTATGGGACCATTAATTTTCATCGGTTAATGAGAATCTTCTAATGGATGCCCCTTTTTCCAGCGGAAGCTACCAAGACCTGAAATCCAACTGTCAACGTACTCACATCGCAACATTGAAATGAATTTTTTATTTGGCTTTCAGGAAAAGTTACTCACAGAGAGCAGTGGCGTAAGGTGCGTGGATGTGCATAACGCAATTGATATCCTTCATAGCTCTGTGAATAGGCACGTGAATGGAGACGGCATTTTCTTCTCCAATTCCCTCACCCTCGACGACTTCTTCCGTTTGCATGTCAATACCTATCAGGCTGCTTGCCGTCATCTTCAGTACACATTTGTAAGAGGTGCAAATAAAAGGTGATCATAAAACACTATCAAGTTCCCAATAAATTGACAGACAGAATATCAGAATACGTCCAGTCATCGGTGACATCACTGTACAGAGGCACATACACATCAACAAATGTTCCAAGTAATTTTGTTATAAGGATAAGGATCAGTCCTTTGCAAGAAAAGGACTGGTTCGGATTCGATTTGTAATAGTAAACATTGTAGCATTATTTTAAAATTTGATTAATTATGGACTACGTGGCCGTGCATGAACAGTTAGATGATCTTTGGTGACCACTCTCGACAGCCCTAGTGGGAGGGGGAACGGCATTGGAGGGTGCTATGAGTACGTGACGTATTCTGAATGTGCACAGTGGTCTCCCCCAATCCTCCCTTTGTAACGATGGAGGAGGTACTTGTATACAAGGAGTCCATACAGAAGTCTGCCTTTCACTAAACTTCGAATCCTCCATGGTTCCTGAAAGGCATTGAGACCCACCTGGCTCCAATGTATCCCATACGGTACAAGCAGCATGACATCTCCCTTGCCATTGCGTGCCGGTGCCCTTAGTGATAGGTGATTGCATATGCCTTCTGCCAGCCCGTAGTATTCTAGACCACGATAGCTGGCCGCGAGGTTCTCTCTGGCCCGCTGGTTTGCTCGCTCCGCCTCGGTCTTCTGAAGGCTGTAGACAAATCATCAGTGCATGGATTTATCGACTCCGTGCATACACTAGAGGGCGTTTCGTCACCACACACGAGATAACTGCTATTATATACACTGACTGGATAGTTCATGACGGGAAGACAGCGTCTAAAAAGGACAACTTTACGTTTTCTAAAGGTTACATAATTTAGCAATATGTGACAGAGGGACAGTGGACACCCCCCTCTTTTGCGTTGGTCATTGTGTTACTCAGGAATTCTTTTGAGATATCGGGGGGGGGGGGGGTAGGTAGCAATGGTCTGGAGGTGTGTATGTGGAATGCGAACAACAGAACTTCCATGGACGGAGCATCACATGCACAAGAGAAAAAGATTAAAAAGATAAGACAGTTCCTTTTGGGAGCCTGACATGGTGAGGGAAAATTTGCAAGATAAGGAAAAAGTACAACTTTATCAAATATTAGTAAAAAGAACCAAAATGCGCGACATTTTTTACCCTTCTCTTTGTACAACTCGGCAGATGGTTCTTAGTTACGAAGTTCTTAGTTACGGAGTTGCGAAGACCCGAAGCGACTGGAGCAAAGCAGCCACGCACGAGTGACAAAGCCACGAGGCCTTTCCCAACTTGATTTTGTTGAATTATTCATAGTTTGTATGCAAATAAGAAGAGTGTTGAAGGCTAACCAATCACAATGCGGATTTTGCCTAGTCGCATCCATTTTTAAAAGAAGGACGAGTAAGGAAAACGTAAGTCAGAGCAAATATTACTGTAAGTTCAGATGAAAAATAAGTTCATACTCTCAAACAATTTCTTGAAATACTTTTATAAGTAAAGTTAAAATGAGATAATGTAAGAACAATTACGCGGTCACGATCTCGTGGAAAACTATAGACTCGCATTTTTTGTTTTTACTAAAAACGAATTCCTTTGGGGAACTTTTAGGGTTTTTGGTTGATGGAATAATGGAATACACACGATGTTGGTCGTACAGCAACTTTATTCTAACAATCGAACAACTAGACTACCGTATTTACAAGAGAGGATTTGGAGACATGTGTCTCGTTTGATGGTTGAAAGAAGAGTGAGCGAAGAAAGTAATAAAGGAGAGTGAGTGAAGAATCTAATAAGTAATGTGGGGCTGACTATCCAATTTAAAAGCAATAAAAACTAGAGACTGAAGGAATGTACTAATGGACTTTGTGGTTAGGTGATAAAATGTGGTAAGAGGGACAAAGTAATAAAAGTGGGGCTTGGCTCAGTAATAGTAATCAATCAATTAGGGAGATTGATACCATAGGGTCATAACTTTTACCCACCACTGGACTGTTGCTGGGGGCAATGTACGAGGGGTTAAAAGTTCACAAATTAAGCTATAATTATATGGAAGAAAACGCTACAGGAGCCCCCTTCCAGTGAGTGAGAAGTAACAAAAATTGATAAAACACTTAAGAACGAACGAATGTGACATAGCGTTTGGGCCAATGAACTGTGCGGCCTGAGCGGGTTGTACGAGGAGGTGGAATGTCTGAGGTTGGGATATTCTGCTCGGTATTTACAGGATTGGTTTGAACTATTGGGATAGAGTGGTTGGGTTTGGGAAGAGCAGAATGTGTAGCATGACCTATATCCAAATGGGCAGATTTAAGGCGATCTATGCTAACTGTGTCCTGACGATTGTTCAGTTCAATGACGAAATGTTTAGCTGAACGACTGAGTACTTTGAAAGGTCCGTCGTAAGGCGGTTGTAGAGGTTTGCGCACTGCGTCACGACGAACGAAAACATGAGTGCATGTCTGAAGTTCCTCGGGAACATGCACTGTGGGACGCTGCTGTGCGCGGGTTGTTGGTGGCTGAAGATCCTGCATGGCGCGTTTCAAGCGATGAACATAGTTCGTAGGCTCTAAGGCAGTGGCATCAGTGGTGTTGTCAAAGAATTCGCCAGGCAGGCGAAGTGTGGTGCCATAGACGCGTTCGGCAACACAGTGACCGAAGTCGGACTTGACCGCAGTTCGGATTCCCAAGAGAATCAGCGGCAAAGTCTCTGTCCATAGGCTTGCGTCTGGTTGTGCCCGTAGTGATGACTTCAGTTGGCGATGAAAACGTTCCACTAGTCCATTCGCGATTGGGTGATAGGCTGTGGTACGTATGCGGGTGGTACCAAGCAGATTTGTGAGTGCGCGAAAAAGTGCGGATTCAAACTGGGCACCGCGATCAGTGGTGATAACCGATGGAACACCAAATGAGGCAACCCATCGCGTTACAAAGGCACGAGCGACTGTTTCAGCTGTGATGTCCGGTAGAGGGATGGCTTCTGGCCAACGTGTGAAACGGTCAATACAGGTCAACATGTATACACATCCATTGGATGTGGGTAATTGTCCAACAAGATCAATGTGAACATGCGAAAATCGGGCATCTGGAGTAGAAAACTCAGACAGGGGTGCAAAGGTATGGCGATGGACCTTTGAGCGCTGACACTGTATGCATGATTTTGCCCATTGTCGCACATCACGGTTAACACATGGCCAAATGTAGCGGTCCGTGATGAGGCGTTGCGTAGCGCGAATTCCAGGGTGAGATAGGGAGTGTAGAGCGTCAAACACTGCACGACGCATCTCCACTGGAACAAATGGACGTGCGTTTGCAGTAGAAATGTCACAAGTTAATGTAATGTCACATGATGGTAGGGGAACTTGTTTGAACGTGAGCGAGGATGACGATGTGCGCAAGCGTTGAAGTTCCTCGCTGGTGTTCTGCAATTCCGCCATTTTGTGGAAATCGATGAGTGCAGTATGATCCGTGCGAAGAGCATTGAGTTCGACACGAGATAGGGCATCTGCGGCAGGGTTATCTCCACCTTTAACATGTCTGATATCACAGGTAAACTGGGAAACAAAATCGAGGTGGCGAATTTCGCGAGGGGAGTGTCTGTCCGTTGTGGTGCCGTGAGCATATGTGAGCGGTTTGTGGTCCGTTAGCACATGAAATTGACGACCCTCGAGTGAGTGACGAAAATGGCGGATGGCAAGGTATATGGCCAAAAGTTCGCGACCAAATGTGCTGTAACGTGTCTCTGCTGGTTGAAGTCGCTTTGAGAAGAAAGCGAGTGGTTGCCATGCATTGTCAATTCGTTGTTGAAGAACAGCTCCCACTGCGACATCCGAAGCGTCCGTCATGACGCACAGAGGCGCGTCTGGCTTTGGATGTGCAAGGAGAGTGGCGTTAGCGAGGGCAACTTTGATAGCGTGAAATGAAGCGGTGGCAGAGTCATTCCAAGGGAGTGGTGCCGACTTCTTTCCGGCATTAGAAAGTAGATCGGTGAGTGGTTGGAGGACCTGGGAACACTGGGGAATGAAACGGCGGTAGAAGTTGACGAGACCGAGAAATTCCCTGAGTTTGGTGAGAGTTGTAGTAATCAATCAATTAGGGAGATTGATACCATAGGGTCATAACTTTTACCCACCACTGGACTGTTGCTGGGGGCAATGTACGAGGGGTTAAAAGTTCACAAATTAAGCTATAATTATATGGAAGAAAACGCTACAAACTAACCCACCGGGCCGGTTTTTATGTGCAACCTCTATGAGAGAATGCGGCGAAAAATCATTAAAAACGGGCCTTTTTTCACATCTGTCGCCACCACTTCATTATTCTACAAGGTATACCTTAGATCTCACTACAGTGTGACCCTAACAATATACTCTTTCAGAAAATGAAAGAAAAACTGAATAAAACACTGAGTTTTACTCGCGTATTGATGTTAAACATTGAATTTTTAGTCAAAAATCTCCCTGTTTTGTGTGTAAACCACGCGTTCAGCCAAGAACTGGTCCATTAACATCATCATAACGTTAAATAGCGCCACCTGGGAGCTTAGATCTCTCGAGTCATTTTTCTTCGTCTCATCAGCTTTCCAACAATATAACCCTTATTGTGATTGGTTAAGGTTTAGGCTCGCGTGTATTCATTTACTAAAGAATTGTACATCTAAACTCCAATAAAATTTGCCGTTGCTCAATGGCTCAGCGCGTAGGGTCTGTTTATTGTACACGTGCTAGGCAGCGCTACTGTATATACACAGAGCCCGGGAGCTCTTATCTCTGTGTCCAAGGTCATCTGGCTGTGCGCTTTTGCCAGTTTACATGGGGGTCCTTTTGACCACAAAGGATTTGATATGAATTTTGTGCAAGCACCCAGGCGCGTCGACGCGTCCGGGTAATAGCCATGCACGCACGAAAAGGCTGATGATTGGTTGGAATTTTGCTACCCTTTTGGGGTAGCAAAAATCAAGATTATAAAGAAAAACATAAGAATTTCTCGACAAGTTAGGAAAGGTCCTCGCGGCTTCGCCACTCGCATGTGTGGTCTCCATCTCCAGTCACTTCGCTATTTCGCCACTTTGAATGCGGGCAAGTTAAGCCACGATGGCCTTGGTAAAAGGCTAGGGGCGTACTTCGCTATTTCGCCACTTTGAATGCGGGCAAGTTAAGCCACGATGGCCTTGGTAAAAGGCTAGGGGCGTACTGGCAACGTTAAAAGAGAAATTCCTGATACCGTAAATAATAGAGTTGCCGTCCTAGTAGAGTCGGGGAGGCCTACACCACACACGGCTACGGGTCAGCGAGGTCAGAGGTGGATGCATGGGCCACGTCAAATACTAATCGTCGGCAGTCGGCACACACACACACCGACTTAATTGACGAACCCAGCACCTGTGTCCTTTTTTCAATGACCGAGCATGAAGGAATAATCCACAGTTAACGAGTTAACATATTACCTGTCCAAACCGGTCGCCATGTCAAATATCTAGGAGTATGTGAAACTGTTTTTCATGCGGATGAGCGCAGCGAAGTAGCATGAAAATGTGCATGCGGTGTGGTCTGAACCGGTGTGCCGGTCACCATACGTATATCTGTTCTAGACTTGAACTCAAGTCGGTAATTGGCCGGGTTTTGTTCACCCTCTCCAAAGGGCATTTTCGAGTGCTTCTGCAGGGTAAAATGACTTAGATGTTTTCGTTTACAAATTGTAAAAAATGTACACAACAAGAAGCCTATACAAATACATTAAATTACATTTTTAAGAGCTTTTGTGTTTAACTCTAAAGTCTGAAAAACTTGTGTGCATTAAAACAAAGCGCTTGTCGATTTTACCTCAAAATGTGCATGCGGTGTGGTCTGAACCGGTGTGCCGGTCACCGTACGTATATCTGTTCTAGACTTGAACTCAAGTCGGTAATTGGCCGGGTTTTGTTCACCCTCTCCAAAGGGCATTTTCGAGTGCTTCTGCAGGGTAAAATGACTTAGATGTTTTCGTTTACAAATTGTAAAAAATGTACACAACAAGAAGCCTATACAAATACATTAAATTACATTTTTAAGAGCTTTTGTGTTTAACTCTAAAGTCTGAAAAACTTGTGTGCATTAAAACAAAGCGCTTGTCGATTTTACCTCAATTCTGCCTCGATATTGAATAAGCCCAATAACAAGGTGTTATGTGTGAGTAGTATATTTTGTATGCCAGGGTTTAAACCGGGGACGTTAAGCAAAATTTTGTGAAAGTTGAGTGTATACATGTTTGACGAGGGTACATTCGGAACGCAACGGTGCAGTGCATCGTTTAAGTACTGTGAGGTACAGAGAGAATTCCATCCCATCCCATCCCATCCTATCCCATCCCACCCATCCCACCCATACCATCCACTCCATCTCATCCCACCCACCCCATCCCATTCCATCTCATCCCACCTCACCCCACACTTCATCCCACCCTGCACCCCATCCCATTCCATCCCACCTCATCCCATCCCACCCCATCCCATCCCACCTCATCCCATCCCACCCCATCCCATCCCATCCCATTCCATCCCACCTCACCCCATTCCACCCCATCCCATCCCATCTCACCTCATCCCATCCCACCCCACACCATCCCATCCCATCCCATCCCATCCCACCTCATCCCATCCCACCCCATCCCACCCCACCCCACCCCATCCCATCCCACCCCACCCATCCCACCCCATCCCACCCCATCCCATCCCACCCACCCCATCCCATCCCATCTCATCCCACCTCACCCCACACCCCATTTCACCCCACCCCATCCCATCCCACCTCATCCCATCCCATCCCACCCCATCCCATCCCATCCCATCCCATCCCATCCTATCCCATCCCATCCCATCCCATCCCATCCCATCCCATCCCATCCCATCCCATCCCATCCCATCCCATCCCATCCCATCCTATCCCACCCACCCCATCCCATTCCATCTCATCCCACCTCACCCCACACCCCATTTCACCCCACCCCATCCCATCCCACCTCATCCCATCCCATCCCACCCCATCCCATCCCATCCCATCCCATCCCATCCCATCCCATCCCATCCCATCCCATCCCATCCCATCCCATCCTATCCCATCCCAACCCATCCCACCCCATCTCATCCCACCCCACCCATCCCACCCCAGAAATGGATATTTTCAAAATTGATATTAATTAAGCCAATTTAAAGTTGTAGCTTGCTGTCGATGTCATTTTATTTATCCACACATTCGCCACAAATACATTGAAAAATAAAATTTGACATTGATAGAAACACCTCAATCACATAATTAAAAAAATTATAAAAAAGTACACTTAAAAGTAAATTGCAGATTCCTGAAATGTTTGTTCTTTGGGCCTGAAGTCCGATTTGGGTAGGGGCGTAAATCCCAGGGGAGGGGGCCCGCTTTTCTTTTTTCTACGGCCGGGCAATTTTTTTTATTATGGTCATCCCCCATCCCCCCACTCGCTTGCACAGATTTACGCCACTGGATTTGGGGCTATTAAGACTGCTATGAAGAAATGTCAAGTTTTAAAAAAAAATTATTAGTCTTTACTAAAGGATGACGGATAATTACCTTGGGTAATCTTGGCTTGGCAGACTTTGCTTGAATTGAATAAAATCGGCAATGAATTGTGAAATACGTTTTGATGCCTTTGGTAGCAGCAGTTCGGGCTGAACCGTCGTTACTGAGTTTTTAAGTATTCATTACACAATCAAGTGATAACGTGCACTAAAGAATGATGACTTGAGAACCTGCTCCAATTTAAGTATTATTGTAGCATGTGGATAAGGTAATGGTATTCTTTAACGAACTGTCACTCTTCTTACTCACTTTTTCATTTTTTTTTAACAAACAAGGGACAAAACCTGAAGCTTGGACTTCAGGGCAATTACATATTGGGATACACCTATAACACCCATGCTCGTCTGTTGCCAATGAAAGGCTTGTACTTTTTTGTTTCATTAATTGATGTCAAGGAAGGCAAAGACGAGTGAGTTTTTGTATGTATTATGCAGATCATCGAAGCTAGTTTATGCTTAATTTAATGTATGCCATCGAAATTGAGTTCCATGTTGGTAATGCTTGATCAAGTTTTAAGCGTCTGCATCTTCGCCTTCTTCCTCCTCTTCGAAATCTCCCTCCTCCTCAGCTGTTGCATCCTGATACTGCTGGTACTCAGATACCAAGTCGTTCATGTTGCTCTCAGCCTCAGTGAACTCCATCTCATCCATACCCTCACCGGTGTACCAATGCAAGAAAGCCTTGCGCCTGAACATAGCAGTGAACTGCTCAGAGATGCGCTTGAACAGCTCCTGGATGGCGGTGCTGTTACCGATGAAGGTGACAGACATCTTTAGGCCTCGTGGTGGGATGTCGCAGACAGCGGTCTTGACGTTGTTGGGGATCCATTCCACGAAGTAGCTGCTGTTCTTGTTCTGCACGTTCAGCATCTGCTCATCAACCTCCTTCATGGACATACGTCCACGGAAGACGGCAGCAACGGTCAGGTAGCGGCCATGACGGGGGTCGCAAGCAGCCATCATGTTCTTAGAATCGAACATCTGCTGGGTCAGCTCTGGGACACTCAATGCACGGTACTGCTGGCTGCCTCTGCTGGTCAGGGGAGCAAAGCCAGGCATGAAGAAGTGGAGACGTGGGAAAGGTACCATGTTGACTGCCAGCTTGCGAAGATCAGCATTGAGTTGACCAGGGAACCTCAGACAAGTGGTGACACCACTCATGGTAATCGACACGAGATGATTGAGATCACCGTATGTTGGGGTGGTCAATTTTAGGGTGCGGAAGCAGATGTCATACAGGGCCTCGTTGTCGATACAGAATGTCTCGTCTGTATTCTCTACGAGCTGGTGGACTGATAGGGTGGCGTTGTATGGCTCCACCACGGTGTCGGACACCTTGGGAGAAGGTACGACACTGAAAGTTGCCATGATGCGGTCAGGGTACTCCTCACGGATCTTGCTGATGAGAAGTGTTCCCATTCCTGAGCCAGTGCCACCACCAAGGGAGTGTGTCAGTTGGAATCCCTGGGGAAAAAGAAGTCGAATACTTCAATTGAGGTATTTTTTCATTAATTGGTTCTGGCAACGATATTTGGGGGAGGGGGTTCTTTTAGGTTCCTCGTAATACTCGCTACAGGCCTAGTCTTTAAAAGAGACTCAGCCCATCCTTTAACTTACCTGTAGGCAATCGCACCCTTCAGCCTCTTTGCGCACAACATCAAGCACAGAGTCAACCAGCTCAGCCCCCTCGGTGTAGTGACCCTTGGCCCAGTTGTTTCCAGCTCCACTCTGTCCGAAGACAAAGTTGTCTGGTCTGAAGATCTGTCCAAATGGACCAGAGCGGACAGAGTCCATGGTGCCTGGCTCCAAGTCGACCAGTACAGCTCGGGGTACATATTTGCCTCCAGTAGCTTCATTATAGTAAACGTTGATTCGCTCCAACTGCAAGTCGGAGTCACCATGGTATGTGCCAGTTGGGTCGATGCCATGCTCGTCCGAGATCACCTCCCAGAACTGTCGAGATAAAGAAACGGGAGAGCGAAAGGTGAATGACCTCGGCACAGGGGTGAGGCACATCTTCCGTTCTATTTCTTCTGTTTTTATTTTAAGTCATTTTGCACATAGTATAGACTCATGGAGTTAAGAGTAGATGGCGTTAATGCTACGTGGATTCATAACGGCAGTCAGTGGAGGACACTCTTGCGCACCTTTGTGGTGTCGATCATAACACTACCAAGCAGCAATTGAAAAGTCCCGTATATAGCGTCCAGCTCCGTAGAGTGACCTGAGCAGTGCGAACACGGACACTATCAATGGCGATCAAGTGACCTGCAATATCGCCGTCCTTTTCTTAACCTTTGAATTGGATTGGACGGAATTTAAGAGGTTTCATTGAACCACAAAGAATAATAAAAATACACCTGCATAATTATAATGGTACAGTGCCTAGGACAGAAGTACTTATTCGGCTTAAAGGGAAAGTACATCATTGGCTTTTGCAGTAATTTTCAGAAATGAACTTTTTGAGGGGTTAGTATAATAGATCAAATATTGTTACACTGACATGTTTGAAGTTTTGTGTTCGAAAATGCTGGAAAAACCGAGAAAAACAAAAACGTTCAGATGGTCTGGTCTCTGACTCCACTAAAGATGAAATGGATCAATTTATAAATGCCGGAAAATTGTAAGGTAAGGGAACCAGTCTAGCTGGCCTGCACCCGTTCATGAACATGTAACCAATAGCAAACAAAATTTGGACAGAAAAAAAGTATATTTGGAGCAGTGGTTGAAAAATAGTTAGGTTTTTCCAACGGTGGTCGGCCGACCACTGTTCGGGAAATTTATACAAAAATACTACTTTTCTTGAAAATGAGTTCACACCAGGTGCCATAATTTTACAGGATACCTTAGATTGCCATTTACCAACATCCTAGTAAGGTATTTCTTTACAATTTGGTAGTTTTGTTTTTCGATGTTTGCAAATGTTGTATATTTCCTTTAACGATGAATTAGAATGATTAGCGAGCGCAGGTCGGTCACTTCATAATCGACACTGTTCCCACAAACTGGGGCTTATGCCTGTATCAATATTAAATTAATGTCAACCGGAAGCAGGTGAGCGGACAAATATTTTTCTTCGGTCTCTTTTAATGGAAATTAAGATGGATCTTCCTTTTAAGCCTTGTTTTTATTTCAGTGTTTTATTGGGGAGTCAGGTTGGCGCAGTGGTTACTGTCCTCGATTTCTGTAGCCTGGGTTCGATTGTCCTGGTCTACATGTTGATTTGGTTTTCAGTCCCTACCTGATTCCGTGTTTTTTCCCGAATATCTTCTGGGTTTTTACTCCCACCTCTAAGACTTTAATTTCTTCCCATTGTGTTCTCCCTACATGTTTCATCAGGCTTCCGAGCTATAGTGCTTGTAGCGGCACTTTTGAGCCTCTTGGTTTAATTACCAGAAATAAATAAATAAAGAAAAGAAAATAGAATAAAAATATTATGCCTCAGTCTCTGAATATAGTGGTTTTTAGGCCTGCCAAATCCTTTAACAAGTAAAGGATGCGTAAACGTATAAGCGCAAGCCTTAATTAGATAAATGTCCTGTCCGTACATTTTCCACTATGGGATAAAACCAGCATACTCTGTATATAGTACCCAGACGTTTTTTTCAAAACCCGACAAGAATTTCTATTCATTGTCGAAGAACTCTCTTCAAATGTTTTCTCACGAAAAAAACCCAGGTTATATTTTCACAAGCCCACCCAAAAAGAGTTGTGTTAACATTACAAGTAAAAACACCTAGATTTGACTAGAAAACAGTCAGACGCGCACCCAGCTGACTACAACAAGGGTCGGCTGTGAGCAACTTGGACTGATTTCTATAGTCAAATTTAACTAGAGTGTTTTAGAGTGTAGAAGCTGCATTGTGCACGATGCAGTCAACGTCATTGGAATTTCGCAGCAGCATGAATGCCGACGTACTCAACAGAAAATAATATTGAAAGTATCCCAGAACTGTGTCCTTTTTTGGCTACGATTCATTGCGAGAAGTTCTGCAAAAACATTCTTGGAGACTCGAGGCATGTTTCCCTGACAATGTGATCGAACATCGTTCCCCAATTTCTCATAATGTACACGCCGTATAAACAGTCTACACTCTACAAACACCTTTCTCAAAAATTGACTGGTTTTCCTAGTTACTGAAAATTGACTAGAAATGAGTTTAACATTAAAGTTTCATACTATGAATAGAAAAAGTAGTTGGGTTCGACTCCAATTTTAGTTATTTGCATAACTATTTTTCCAAAGTCAATTATATTGACTCGAAAAATCTAGTCAGATTGACTGAATTTCAGTTGCACCCAGCTGACCCTGAATGGCTAGTCAAATGTAACTGGTTTCTATTGTCAAATCTGACAGATGCTTTTTTTAGGCCCATATCTTTTTAAATGCTCTTCGAATATGTTAAACGCATCAGTATGATGTGTTTCATCTAGTCTCGACTTGCTGCTGCCTCAACCATAGAGAAATAAATGAATGCAGGCTGTCGTCTTCTGATCAGTTCCCAAACGAAAACAAGGAGGAGCCAGCGTGGTGCTCCATATGTTACATTTTATTGCACATGCATTGCTTTGTCATCCATTAAACACGTCTCAACGAGAGGACGAACAACCAAAAATGGTAACTGTACAGGAAAAAACTACAGTGCGTCTGTTCTTGATTACTCTATTTGCCATTTAGAAAATTTGTTTCCATTAAAGTATTCTCCAAAATCAACATAATTGCGAAATTTTGCTTAATTTTCATTGCATGCTTGTTCAATTTCATTATAATTGTTTGAACACGCTTCAGGTTATTACACACATTTTCTTATTCATCACCTATTAAACCGTAACCTAATTCAATCGTTATTCGAAATGGTAATTTAAAATTTCAAAAAATAGAGAACGTGGAAATACCCATATTCTTACACCTTTTTTTCAAATTAATGTGCCTGTACATGTCGTTTGACTCAATTTGGTCCTTTTACTAAATATAACACTATATCTGAATGTGGATGAATCGACAAAAATAGTTTACATATATTAAGCAACTGATATTCTTAAAGACATCAAGAGGGACAAGAAAATACTATCCCCTTTACTCAATCGATGACGGAGAATGCATGACAAACGCTGATGACTCACTCGATATACTTGTCAAGTAATGAATGTTAAATTATGCGGGATGGGCATAACCACAGTAAGAAACATGTCAAGATGGAAATAATCAGGTATTCTTAAATTCACAGTCTGGGCATCTTGCTGTATATCGGATCAAGTAATAAATTCAACTTCTTTCATCGAGAAATAAATTCAACTTCTTTCAAATTTTAAGCTTTCTGGGTTTTGTTCATGGGTTTCAAGCCACTAATTTACAACCAGTTGAAATATCTTTTACTATCAGATTTTCCCCCCCCAAAAAAAAAAATTCAAAAGAGGGATAAGTTTACAGGTTTTATACTCACCTTAGCACCGATCTGGTTTCCACACTGGCCGGCTTGGAGATGTACAATTTCGCGCATTTTGCTGATTTCTTTTCGGAGGGGAATGAAGTGATTGCCTTGGTCCACGCGCGAGCTCTGAGTCCCGAGTACTGATTTTGTCCTCCGCCGGCTTCTGAATCGTTAATGAAAGGAACGTCCCATGCGAACCGACTTGCGCAGTGATGACGTTGACCCTCCGCGCGGAATAAAGCAGTGCGCCGAACTACCATAAAAGGCAATTTATTATTCTTCTTTATTTTGATTTTTCTTAATCATTGTACATGCTTAAGGACATTTTGGGGAAAAAAAATACAAAAAAAATGATGATAGCATATAACGACTTTTTGAGATGCCTATAGCTTTGGCTTAGCTCTGTAACTATCAACAACAGTTTTGCTGATGTAAGAGTTCATCCGCGAGGATTCCACGGTCATCTTAGATGGTTCCCCATGATACAGCGGATACGAAATGTGCACAGTTGTCGACAGAGAGCCATGGAAACGTTGCCTCCGAGGAGGATTCTAATTTATCCCAGATGGGACAGGCGTGCCCATGGGCGTCACCAGGATTTTTTCTAGAGGGGGGCAAAAAAAAAAATTTGCCAAAAAAATGCTTGTATTTCTCAACACATTCTCGATTTATCAGTTTTAGAGGGGGGCAGGGACATTTCCCCCCCCCCCAACTCGTTACATTTACACCACTTTGTCTTCTCGCCTCTTTTTCTTTTCTTTTTTTCCCTTTTTTTTTTTTTTTTTTTTTGCTTTTCCAAGGGGGGGGGCAAGTGCCCCCCCTTGCCCCCCCCCCCTTGCGACGCCCATGGGCGTGCCTGCGCGATGCGGTCGCTGGACAGATTGGACCGTGCTATGTGCCTTCTTCAGCAAAATGTAGGGCCTTATAACAATGACGTAAAAGGGCTGGGGTGGGGCAAAAACATAATTTTCTCAGGAAAGTAAGGAATGGTACCAAATGTTAAAGGGAAAATACAACATTTGCAAACATCAAAAAATAAAACTACCAAATCATTTTGAAATACCTTGCTGGACTGTTAGTGAATGACAGTGTAAAGCATCCTGTAAAATCATGGCACCTGGTCTACTGTCATTTTCAAGAAAAGTGGTATTTTTGTATCAATTTCCAACGCTGATCGGCCGACCAGCGTTGGAAAAAAACTGGCTTTTTTTCAAATACTGGCCCCAGTTGACCATCGCACTTGTTTGCAATCGATTACACACCTATGAACGGTTACAAGCCAGCTAGATTGGTTCCCTGACCTTACAATTCCCCAATGTATGTACACTGCTTTGTTTCTTCTTAAATGGAGTCAGAGAAACCAGACTACAGGAAAATGATTGTTTTTCTTGGTTTTTATAGCATTTTCGAACCCAAAACCTCAAAAAAGTCAGTGTAACTATAGTTGCTTTAAATTTCCAACCCCCCAATTCCATCCATTTCTGAAAATTACAGCAAAAGCAAATGATGTTTATTCCCTTT